TTTTTGCAGCTTCAACCTTTAAATTAGCTTAAAAATGCATTTCAGGATGTTTCTTGCAGTCATTTTCTTGTAACTGCTTAAAATTTTATACAATTATATTTTTGTTACGTTTGGTTAACTCTATTCTCAAAATGGAGTTCATTTTTTATGAGCCCCTCTAGACCTCGAAGTCCTGATGCAATTTGCCCCCTCTGCCCCCAATTGGCAGCCCTGGGTGTTGGTTAAAATTACGTCATAATCTGCTGTTTGTATCCTAGATGTATTGCATTTGTATCACATTCGCAATCCGAAACTTTTCCAGCATCAGTACAATCGAACTATTTTATTGCAACGAAGTGTGACAAAAAAATAATTAAATAACAAAAAACTTCTCTTTGTATTTTCCAACTCCACATAATTTCATATCCAGCTCCGCATTTTGAATTTCATCTCCAAGAAAAGGGCCTAAATCCAGCTTAAAATAAGCTCTGCTCGTAAGCCATTTCCGCATCCATAGTTCTCATTGAGGGTTGACTAAGAAAAACTATTTTGATTATGTTTCATCATTTATGGTGGCAAGTAATTTGCACATTGTTGTAAAGAGCGCACTTGTGCTCCATGTTTTCTGGCTTTTTTGTTTGTTAACAAAATTCTTTTTTGTAATCCGAGAAGCAAGAAATATTGATTGATTTTTTAATTGAAAACTTTGATATTGCTTTTGAACTTCAATTTAATTTGTTTAACACAATCATAGAGAAACGACTTTTTATGCCATAAAATGAATTAGTACTAAGCTTATTAGTGTACCAGCAAATTCATTCGATGAAAATCTCGCCTGTCTTTTCATAAGGAAGGTTTTCAAAATAATTTGTTTTGTGTAAAATTGAGAGGAATGAAATAATATTTAATTGCTTTGTATGGTTTATCGAAAAATATTCATGTGCATCCCGTACACCTTTTGTGAAAATCCCATTGTTTTATTCGAAAATCCCCGGAAATCCTTTTGTTTTAGGCAAAATCTCGTACGCTATTTGCAAAAGTGAAATACCCATCGAGTGCAAGCGTGAATCCCATTAAAAAATGAAGAAAAAAAATTATTCACACCCGTCGGATAATTACAAACAAAGTTCTCTCGGCCTCGTGAACATCATATTTCTAGTGCATTTTGTTTCTTGTGCTATCTTACAACTTAGAAACAGATTTTCTTCAAAATAAGTTTGAATAAGGGTTCAGTTTTCAATTTATTGAAGAACAGAAACTCGTAGTTGTTTTTTAAAATGAATAAGTTTTCTGTAATTAATAGCAATGTGTAAATTCTAATTAGAGTGTAAGGGTTGAAGACCCAAAGAATTCTTGAAGCACGAGTCCCATCTCAACAAGTATAAGCAAATGAATTTGATCCTTAGTAAGAAAGGTACCTGCTTCATACTTTGCTAAAACTTAGGAAAAGTAATTTTTCCATTTTAGCTCTTAATGTTTCTCTAAAGCATAACGTTATTTCAATAATGTAAATCCCAGCGCACAATTAGCAGCAACAACGCAACTTTCAAACTTGCCTCAGACTTGCAACAAAATGGAGCTTCCTGTCCAGGGTTTTTTAAGGAAAATTTAGAGTTGCATATTATTTTCGGCGTTGAAGAATAATTATTGGTTCTTATTAGTATATGTGTACATGATGCGCAGGTAAAGATTGACAATGAAAATATGCATGTTTTATTGTCATGCTTATTGCCATGGAAATAAAACGTATAAAGAAAAATATTTCCTACTAGATTTTTAATGCAACATCAATTTGCAGAAAAAGCAAATAGAGTTTTACTCAAATTTGAAACAAAATATAAAGTAAATTAAAATTGAAAACAAACCAAGCTCAATATTATAAAAAATCCCAAGAAACGAAATTGTGGTTATGGAACGAAATTAAATATCATCTTTACTAGAAGGACGGAATTGATGTCGATAAAGAAAGGTATAGATAGCAATTGTACAACAACTAGAGAAGTAGAAGTTAAGTTCCTTCCAATTTAAGACTGATTTTCATGTGGTGCTTCATTGGTGATCATCGCAAACACTGTCTGCAATGATCGCATACGAAATACATCATATGAAAATTGGTTATCTGCAATCTTCTGCAATGGTTACAGAAAGTGTAAAAAATTTTGCTCAAAGAAATAACGACTTTATACAAGAAATGAATAATTGAGACAACGTTTCAAGCATAACTCTTCATCAGGAATAAAAGAATAGAAGCTTAATTTTAAACTTTACGTAAAAAAAACAATCACCGACGAATTATACCATATGAAACTGTAAAATTTAAATTCTAAACTGGTGACATGATTTATTTCTGGCTCTGAATTCTTAATAATCTTTGATTTAAGTGTTTAAATAGGTTTCTGCTTTGACGCTATAATTTCGTGCTCCTCATATGTGTGACTCAAAAACGAGATAACCTGGCTATGAAGTTTCGTAAAAAATATAATTCCTAAGCGTCGAATGCACGGTGGCCGATAGGGGCCAAACCAAAATCTATTCAAAAATCGCAAAAGTTTCTTTAAAATCGCCAAAAGTATTTCAAAATCGCAAAAAATGTTTTAAAGTCGCAAACAATATTTCCAAATCGCAAAGTATATTTCGCAATCCTGATTTTTTTAAATCGAAATACATGTTCCTAAGATATTTCACAATCTCGAAATATATTTTGAAATCGCGATATTGAAATAAAAATCCTGAAATGTATTTCCCAATCTCGATATATATTTTGAAATCGTAATCCAGATTCTAAAACCTAGAGTGTCCCTGTACTTCAACTCTAGTTGTACCTCAACTCTAGTTCGGACACATCCACTGTCATTTGCATCATGTTTTGTTTCAATTGCCGCCATAATACAACAGATGAAACTCATTTTTGTACAGTTTGTGCGACACATCTGCAGAACAGACAGTGTCTGCATTTGCAGGATCATCGTTCCTTCTTTTTCTTTCGAAACGGGACACCCTTTCTTTAGTTTTTTCAGCCATGAATAACGCAAGGGAAGCTGTAGCTGACCGATTAGCTGGCTCCTTTACTTCCTCGATCATCTTACCGCAATGCATACAAAATCGGTCCCCATCTCTTACTTTTTAACCACGAGCTGGACAAAACGCATGCGCCATTTTGTACTGGCGAACAGGCGGGGTGATCATTTTGTACTGGCGAACAGGCGGAGTGATCATTTTGTACTGGCGAACAGGCGGAGTGATCATTTTCGCGCGCATTTCTCTAATTCGAGATTTTGAAACATATTTCAGGATTTGGAAATACAGTTGGCCATTTTGAAAAATATTTTAGGATTTTGAAATTTATTTTAAGATTGTGAAAACATGGGCGGCGCCAGATTGGGGCTAGGGGGCTTAAGACCCCCACTTTTTTGCGAAAATGTGTTTTTATAAAAACAAAAATAAAGGTAAAAAGATAGAAGAAAAGAATAATGGTATTAATCCTTTTATTGCTTAATTTCTCAAGGAATAATCGAGGTCCATAGTGCCTCATAAAGTAATGAATTCAATTTTAAGACTGGAATTAATCAATCGTAATAAAAGCATGCCTTAAAAATGGTAAAATGTTTTAAACGGTTCAAAAAAACACTACAAGAAATGTTCTGAAATGTATTTTAAGCTAATCTAAAGGGTGTGCTTGCAAAAAGTTTTCTGCTCGCTTCGTTCGCAGGGAAGCCTCTTCTTTCAGATATGCTTAGAGCCTCCAACAACTTATCGGTTCCATAGCTAAATCTTGTCAACTTAAAAGATCTAGAGTGTATGAAACGCGGTTTCACGGCTAAATTGAAACCCTCCACAATGCAAGTGACCTAACGCGGGTTGTTACGCGCTTTGTAAATTTAAGCGCGTGTAACAACAAGAAAGATCTCTAGTTTGTCTGCATTAAGGACTAGAGGAGGGTTAAAGTCGTGGAGGGTTTGAATGAGATTGATTTCAGGTTTTCAGGTCTAAACGTATGCTGCGGCAAGTTCATTCACGATGTACAGAGGGGAAGGGGGGGGGGAATGAAAAGGATTGATTAATATTCTAACTTATCACTATGGTTTATAAAGTAGTTGCACATTGTAACTGTTCACTGGTAAATGAATCTGTAATTTAAAAAAAAATAAAAATACGAATCGTAGTCTAAAACATGTAAAAGGACCCATTACGTTTACGGCCTCAAGTGGCAGTGACCCAAGGTTTGTAGCAAAAACCTGATAGAGAAGATTGAAATTCCACTCTTTGTGATCTAAAAGATGTTGCGGGAAGCTCAAATTTCAAAACTGTTTTTGCCGTGACAAGGCTGTCTTTTTAATTACATTTGCATTCTTAGAATGTTTCCATTCGCTTCCCGACTGAAGTCCTTTTGCCAGTTGCAGAGAATAGAGCTGACTCGACCAAAATTAAGTTATTCACAATGACCCGCAGGGTGAACAGTACAGTAAGGAATTTTGCGGATAACGGACAGAGTTTTACGGTTTGGAACGTGTGCAAAATGATCTGCATAGGTCGAGAGAATGAATGGAATCGGCCGGGTAAAGCAGGGCAGAGGCGGTATGACTCAATAACATCGTGCTGCTTTGCAGTTTAATGGAAATGTTCAGATGAACTGTCTTCATGCCACGGTGCCAGCAAATAGACTATGTTGGGGGGGGGGGTTTGAATTGGGGGGGTGAGAAGAGGAGGGGTGGGAGACTCAATAACATCGTGCTGCTTTGCAGTTTAATGGAAATGTTTAGATGCACTATCTTCATGCCACGGTGCCAGCAAATAGACTATGTTGGGGGGTATGAATTGGGGGGGGTGTGAGTAGAGGAGGGTGGGAGACATAGTAAAAAGCTAAAGGCCGAGCCTTTTTTAAGAGGGAGCGCCAATTTTACGTGTAGAAAAAGGCCCTTGAATAAATCTTGGTTACACAAAAGCAGTATTTCAAACTGTAAAATTGCAAAGGCAGCATTTCAAACCGAACTTTCGAATTTTGATGCTTCCAGTCCCTGGATAATGCAATCTCTTGAACAAATTTTTCTAAAGCAATCCTCCATTTCCTATTGAAAATTCATTTATTTTTGCAAACTGGTACAACGGCTTGCTTTTTATCGAACGATGGTAAAAACGAAGTTAGTCCAAGAACTGACAATTATGATGATGATGCCGACGATAAAGATGATTATGAATTCGATATAAATGAAGATAATGACACAGTTGGCATTGACCAGATTGAAAGATTTCTGGCCTCATATAATAGGCTTCCAATGGGAATTATCAAAAATAATAAATGCAAAAAATTCGGTCGTAACCCAATTCCGTCCCATTTTGAATTTGGTCAAAGAAAATTTGGTAAAAATATTTGTCGAAATTTTGTCACGACGAAACTTTTTTAGTTAATGGAGATGGGATTTCAGCAAGGACGTAGCACTGAGTAGGAACAAGATAAAGTTTGTAGTTCTTCTTCAAAGTATTTTCTTCATTCCGGAAAACACATTTGCATCCTGAAAGATGGAAGTATTGGTCCCTTGCTGGTCTTCTTTCTGTGTTCCTGGCTCGGAGGCAGGGGTAATTGACTAAAACAAAATACAAAAGAGAAAATAAAAGATCTTAATAAATTCCTCAATCTAAGATAAGAGGTAAGCTGTGGTTTTTACCGAATTTGGTATGCGAAGCCCTCCTCCCCTGAGGCAGCTGTTGCACATGGGCGCAGCTGTGTGCACGTGAAAACAACAGGTCACCATTCCATTCAGATTGGCGACGGTATGGTTGCCAGCCTTGACTAATTCATAATTTAAGCAAGTCTAGGATTGCTTGTTGCTCTAGTACCACCCAGAAACACTGTACTAAAAAAAGTTTTTGGTGAAGCTTTCCGGTAAATATTCCGGTAAAGCTTTAACAGATAACAGAAAATTCTATCAAGAATTCATTGTCTTTATACTGTGAAACATAACTGCTATTACCAAGATAAAACAAAGAAGTTCTTGCATTTACCTCCCTCTGCCAAGCGATCCATTATCCATCATTACATTCACGTCTCTCCGTTTGCTCCTTTGCATCAAGATTTATCACTACCAAAAAACGAAATGTAAAACAATACTTCTCATTGGGAGTCACTTCAAAAACTTTGATTATCTCCATTTCCTATCTCTTCTTGGCAAATATTTGACAATTTTTTTCCTTGCTTGGTACGATTCCAATTTTATCTTTTTATAATTCACTGTTGAATGCAGTGGATTCCCTAGACAGACACAATAAGCCTCATTTTTATTTCTATTTTTATCATTATAAGCTTCATTTATTTTTATTATTGAAGATTTTGCCTACAATTACGGACTATTCAAGGAGATTTAGAAACACCATTGTTCACCTAGATGTAATTTTTAATGCTTTATGCTAAAATGTTAGGTCTACTCTCAAATTACATTTTTTTCTCAATTGTGTTTAATCGAACACCAGGCTCTTCTATCTGATCTGTTGATGTAGTAGTAGCTTGTTCAACCTTGTTGAAAGTAAATTGGTTAAGAGCACAATAGCAAGTTTTGAAGACCAAGGGGAATCTGCAACTCAGTAACTTCAGCCCTGTAATGGGGGTGGTGTTGGGTTAGGGTACGTTGAGACAGGTGGCTGGTTACCAACGCCGCTGGACGGGAGGGTCTCTAGCTACGTATGATATGATTCAGGCTTTGCTTACAAAAACATAATTTAAATTGAGATATGTCTTTGTTGGATGATATTTTTTCAATTTTCAGAAGACATTGGACAATGAACATGTTCTGTTTTCAGGAACCTTTGAGTCATTCGTCAGAAAAATGACTTTATTTGGGTTCAATTTGATCCGGCCAGATAACAGCTAGCCTGCGTCGCAGACCATATTCTCCTTCAGAAGACCATATTCAGGCTAGATAACAGCTGTAGGCTTGCAATTGACTGACTGCCCTGGGTGCCAGAGTCTCCATTAATTATTCTCAGAAATATCGTTTGAAACTAGTCACTGAAAACTTTGTGCCAGCGCAGCCGTCTACTTTATCCCTGGATTCATGAGACTCTGGTCCCCAGGGTATTGACTGACCTTATTTTCTTTAGCAATGGATTTTGGTGTCTCTTTTTAGCCATCCTTCGATATTTTGTCCATTTCTTCTTCTTCACATACCTATTTTTCTCCCCATATTTCAACTTACCTTACTTGTACTTCAGCCTCGGCTTGCTCTAATTTATTCTTAATTTTTGAATGATTTCGAGGCTTGTGTTTCTAAAAAGTTGTCGTTACGATCAAAAAAAGAGTTTATTTTGTAACCATCGCAAGGCACCATCCCGAAAACTAAAATTCCAGTGCGTGCTTGTCTACTTGAAATCGAGCGAGAAAGGTTAATAAGTCAATTATTTAAAGGTCAATGTTTTATATATTTTAGTGTTAACCTGAATGCCAATTTTCTAGTGTTGGATGAAAAGGTGAAACGTATAAATAAATTTGTTATTTTTCGGTGGTGTCCTGTAAATGAAGCCCTTTTGCTTATAAAGGAGGGTCACAAAAAATTAATGTAGTGGCTTACTGAATCGCTTGAGTTGATTATCAAGTTCTCCCTCTCTTTTCTAATAAATGGTATATTTCAACTATTAGCAAATCTAACTTTTATTTGATTCAGCCTTCATTACTCATGAAATTTAATCAACACATCCCTGATAATCAACACATCCAATTTCAAGTTCTATCAAGTCAGAATAAATAAATTGAAGCGTTGTATTTAGTATGAAAAATCTTAACTTTAATTTCTAAGCAAGCTAAGTATGAAAAAAATTACAAAGCAAGCTATGGTACTTTCTGAGCGGTTGGCCTATTACTGACAATAGAGTGCTGCAAGTCATTTGTTAAAAAGGTAAAAGCTTGGGACGGTCCTATGTTTTGTTTTACCAGCTAAAGATGTAGTAGTTAGATCTTATGATGAAGTTTGATATAAGAATGTTACACACTTCGAGGAAAGAAGAGGATGCTTGACCAAAGATAGCAAGTGAACTACCCATATATAGTTTTTGGTCAAAGGGAAGCACAGGTTGGGTAACTTTGGGTTCCAGAGCGTCAAATGTGCGGTAGGGCGTTGCGGGAGAGTGCGGAGGAGGCGAGAAGAGATGAGACCGCCTATTCTACAATTTACGCTCTGAAACCAAGGCTAAAATTGAGTTTTCATTTACGCTGATTGCACTATCTGTAGGCCTGAAGCAAAAATGAGGAAATTTGACAATGCTTACAGAACACTATAAAATGTTTATCTTTAAAGTGAATACCCATTCTGTTCTTGTTGTGTTGTTGCTTCTCTTTTGCATTCAGCTTAAAGTCAATTAAACAGAGGTAGAGTTTTTATTTGCAACAAACACTTCTGTTGATCAGGAGTTTCGTTTGCAATTTTTTTAACAAACATCCTTATAAAGCGTGTTTCGTAACATCAGAATTTAGATTGCATGTAACGGGTGGTTTTCTATGGAAAATGTGTGAAGATACAAACACTAATTTGTCGCTTACAAAAGGCAATTGTTTTTGACAAAGGAAATAATTTTTATCAGTTGGTGGGAAGAAATAACAACGCCAACGACGCAACTTGACTTTTTAGATAGAGTGTTCCTAAATTGTTCTTTAATTATTTTGGATATTAAATTGATACAAATTGAAGGGATTTTGACACGAAACAATATGTTACTGAAAAAAAAACATTAGGAGGGTATTATAAAAGTGCATGTATTGTTTCTTTAGCAACCTCTGCATGATCTTTATTATGTTGTGAGAGATCTATACATAATAACAAATTTTTTATATTTTAACGAACCTTAGCCTTAGCTTGTTCTAAATTTTCTCTTTATTTTTTACCAATTTTGAGGCTTTTATTTTCGTACAACCGTTCACATGAGAGTGTATCTTAAAAAAAATAAAGAGTTTTGACGACGAAAGTAATTTTTGGCTTTTTTGAAATATGATAAATATTCATTCGGATGGAAATTTCAAGTTTAAGCCCGTGTGATGATGGTTTTGCCTTTTTAGTGATTATATTCGCAAAATATGGGGGCAAATTTTGTATAATGCTTGCGTGCCGCCGAGCATGGTGAATTGAGAATCATATCTGAACATAGCATGAGAGCATAGAGTTTCAAGAAACAATGCTTATGAATAAAATATGAACTGGTTATGTGATTTGGTTTAGGGGAACAAAGGGCACGGTATTCGATGAATGACTGTTGGTTTCTTTGGTCGGGTCTTTACTCGTCTTGAAAGTGCAAGCCTCAGCGAAGAGCCACATCTGACAAGAGACACCCGAGATTGGCGTCCTGGTAACCGCCCAGTTTCAGTCAGGAGAGTTGTCCAGAATTAGGACGATTGCCTGACATCCATATTCAAGGCATTAGTGACTGCTAGCTTTTGAGCGAAGCTCGGCTTTCCTTATGGTAAGTTACCTTTCCATTTTCATGCTCTGGGTTGAAGCCCTGTTGTGTACTCAGGTAGCCACTTCACGCACTGCCAGATTTCGTGGAGGCCATCACGGTTTGTTTACAAGGCACGCTCCTCAAGATTCAATCACCTCTTGATCGCCCATTCAGAATTTCGCCGGCGCACAATCAACGCTGCAGCCGATATATCCATTTCTTCCAGGGTTTATTATTGTTACCCAAATGCACGACATCTTCAAAGGCAGCCCCGCAATACAAGCAAGTCTCGAGGCCTTTTATAGTGATCTGCGTTAGGAATGCGTTTGGCGTACATTTAATTACATGGCGTAAACTTATTGAGTGAAGTTTGAATCGCAAGGTTTGAAAGGCCATTAACAGGTACATGGTATTCAAAATGAGCTTGGTAGGCCGGCTGGTTAGGCTGAGCATGTAGCCCATTCATAGCAGTTCTTAAGCAAACAATGTCCTCAGATATACCCTTGTTGTTCAAAGCGACCGAAGTGAAAGAAACGTCGAAAATCTAAGGACTTTCTTGTTTAGCGTGCCAACTTTAGCAAGTTGGGTGTTGCCTTACGCAGGGATCTAAGTTCGTGTAGTTGTAAATAGACGACAAACGTTAGGACAGGTCCTGTTGGCCTCAAGTAAATATACTAGCATAGCAGGTCAGGATTAGAATACTAAGCTCTTTACAAATTTTCGAGATAGTTGAATAACAATCCATGCACTGCTTCGCTTTGTGGTCACATTTCCGTTCACAAAAGGTACATCAAAAGTGATAAAATATGTTTAAAGCGCCCCGCTGATCTCCTATTGTCTTTTGGACAAGAAGCTTGTTGCTCAACGCTGATTGGTCAAAGCCATGTCATTTCGAGTGTTTTTATCACGCAACGTGTGTTGAGAACAATCAATAGAATCCAATAGAAAGCCGCAATGTTTCGCCTTGGTATGCATGGTATTCTCAGAAATTAAGCCCTTTCTACAATTACAACTCGAGTCTTTTTGGCGTAACTACACAGTACACACACAAGTCGATCTCTAGGAAATGCCGGTATAACTCAGGCGCTTTCTGCACATCTCAAGTCAAGAAACATTGTTTACATGCGTGATAAAGGCATCTCAGAAGGAAATCAAATGGTTTGTATTCATTGCATGCCTTGTTTCGTTACGATAATAGGGTTAATCAGCCCCCTGGGAGGGCAAGACCGTTAAATTCAGTTCACTGTCTAAACAGTTGTGTTTTTTAATGTTTTTAAATGAACGGCCTGTCAAAATGTGAAAGTTTCCTGTTTCTTTTGATCAGGATTTTGTACGATTTCATGAATAAGTGCTTACAAATGATAACCTGCCACCGTTGATGTTCGTGTATTATTCATGAATTGTAAGTTCATTCAAAAGAATCAATCCTAGATTGTGAGCCGTCGCCCTCGGCTTCGCGTGAGTCGTCCTATCTCTACGCTCGTCACTCTGCTTTTACGCAGTAACAAGATTAATGGCATTAATTCAGGACCAGCATACAACTTTCTAAATCACTTGCTTCTAGCTTGCGACGAAGATTCTAGCTAGATACCCTCTATTTGAGCTTTTATTTTTCATTTTGGTAGTTGCTCACAGCTCAGGCGCCTTTGAAAAGCCAGTGAGCAGCTGGAATAAAATATTTGTTTTAACCGCAATCGACCTTTGTAAATACACCGTATCGCCTGATCCCAAGCACGGAAGGGAAGAAAACCCGCTCCCCTAACTTGCAAGGAGTATTCCAACATATGCTTTGTACAAATGATAAATCTGGCATGCAGCCTTTTGGCCATTAATTTAGGTAAAAAAGCCTCAAAATACTAGGGCTTTGTTGTGGCCAGCTTCAAAATTGTCTGTTAATAATGCTACACAGACTTGTGCTGTCTCTTTGCCTGTGTCCAATTTCCTGCAGTTCTCAAATTGGCCTCCGTAGGTGAGCGAAAGAAGTGATGGTGATAGGAAAGTGGACGATAAAAAGACACTCGATAACATAAAAACGAAAAGCCCGTTGCCACACTTGAACTCGAAAAGCATTTCAGTCAATGGGACAGACAAGGACGCTGATAAGAACATCATTTTGAGCACCGGCAAAGCTACGTCTCCAGTCCTGGTCATCGAAGAGGAAAGTATGAGCAGCAGTCAATCAATAGAAGTTGACGGTAGGGTGGCAAATGGACAAGATAGTCCCGTTCATGACCTTGAAGTTGAGAGTGACGACATAGGAGATGCAGATTATGAAAACAGAAAGGTAATTTCCTCGCAAATTAATTTTATGTTTGAGCTGGAACTGTTAGCCTGGCTGTCCATTTGTTATTTGTAACAGTAGATCTTTGTTTAGCAGCCTCGTGAAATTCCTCTTAGGGGGGTGTGTGGCCGACCTGGAGAAATGAAAACCGGCAGTGTTGACAGTGCTTGAATGTCATGTCCCGTTTCCTTCTTTTATGCGAGGTTTTTCAACATGTAAACAAGACAGGATTAATCCGTCGACAAATTGAAGCAAGCAACAGCCACCGTGAGGCCCGCACGGCTCCTCGGTAATTGAATCGCAATTTTAATATGCGGCAGCCAAATCCCAAAAGGAACATTTGTTAGGAAAGTCTACAAGATTTAAAATTTAGCCCTTCATCTTTGAAAAGGCCTTTTGCATTAACCGTACTCAGTTGATAAAGACAACTTTGACAGTGGCTTTGGTATCAATTCAACTTTAACTTGCAAAATTCGACTCCAACCATTTGTGCTCTTATGCTCTAAGCCGTTTCTCTAAGTCACTGCAATAGAAATTGCCTTTTCCAAAATGTCAGGCCTCATAATTACCCAATTCATATAATCTTTTGCTTTGAACATATACAGTTTTTTAAGGTAATGCGCACCCCTATCAGAATCCCCTTAAAACTTTACCCTTCGTCCGATTTAATTGCACTTCCTCGCCACTCACAACCCCCTAATCCCAGCCACACCCTCAGTATGTTCAAGCAAGCGTTTTAAGTAACTCAAGTGTAAAACACGCACCACATTTTCGGCATTGTCAATATTCAATGTTAACTGCTTTGCACATGAACTTCACTTGCTCCCAGTTAACTACACTGGCAGGGATGTATTAGTATGAAAGGAAAACAAGGATACCCGAGTGTTTACAGAGACAATATTTATTGCCCAAATAGACAGTATTTTCTTTTCAAGGGTTCAGTTCCTCTATGTCCCCACACACCAACCCAGCATTAATGGTTAGGCCAAAGACGCCCTCTCGAACCGATTTTATTTCCCTGCAGAAGTCCATATGTCTTTTCACTGTTTTGAAAGGTGTGGCTCTTTTTGCACAAATTGGCAAAATGGATGAACCATACCGGATGCTTGTTACCTAAGGAAGTTGGATTTCAAACCAACAGCACAGTGTTGGATGACTTAACGACATGGTTTATACCTCGTACGGAATTCTAGGTTAGATAGTCTTACATCCTGGAGACTGATCATTAATTGACTCTGTGCCTTAATTAATTAATAACATTAAATTGATTTTAATATAAGTTTCATAAATCTAACCCTAAACATAGCATTTATTTAATCCATCAATAGATTTTAGGAAGACACTTTAAATAGAGCTTTATACTTTTCAGCCCAAGCTCCTATGTAGTATTTGAAATTGTAACTAAAGTTCTTTGCTGTGGCATCGAAACATTGGACTTGTTTTACATAAAAACACTGGACATCCTCTGCGTTTCATCCCCCTTACTCCTCTCAGTGCAAAATCTCATATTTGATTAAGGGTCAAAGTTTTTCAAAATAAACGGTGTTTGAATATGATAAATTGCAAGTAAACAAGATATTTATTATCAGCATATCGACAAGAAACAGTGTAAAATCTGTAAGAAAAATTCATGTATTTTAATTTGTTTTAAGATGCTCTTTTCCAGGGAGTGGGAGTTAATTGAAATCCTAATGTCAGTTTGAAATGACCCCATTTGTAAGCACATTTTAGTTAACTTGCATCGCCTATCTGCTCAGGTTTCTCGTTCGTTTGAGAGAAGACCTTTATGATGGTAGTGAAGGTCAAAGAGAAGAACGTTGATTTCTAATGATCTGTAGTAACCAAGTATCATAATAAAGTTCATTAATGATGTATACACTCATTAAGTTAGAACAAATTAAGAACAAGCTGAGGCTGAGCTTCTGCAAATTGCAATTTTGATCAACGTTTTTTCTAAAATCGAGGGTTTTTAGCGATGTGTGGGTGCTTTTTCGGTGAATATTCAAATTTGTCAGCAAATTAAGGCTGTCTCACTCATTTCGTTGGCAAATGAGGCCTGTACAGAGCGAAAAAGCTAGCACTCGCACTGCTTACACCCTATTAATTCAGAACAAATTAAGAACAATCCAGCCTCAGATTTTCGAAAAAATTAAGAACAGTCAGCCTTAACTTAAATTTACTGGTTCTTATAAAAGAAAGAGTGTACCCCCAACTTTGACCCATAATCCATCAGATGGACTTTCCCGTCTGTAAGGATCATTAGTACCCTCTGAAGAATGGTATGACCTGTTGAGAATGCCCTTGCGTGCCACCATTAGAAAAACCAGCTAGTATTTTTTTTGGACCGGTTTGTTCAATTCTCATTCTTTGCATGATCGTTCTTGTTAAAGAACATGCTGTGATTCATGTTCCATAAAGGAGGAGGTAATTTGAGGTTTGTGGAAGAAAGGCAGTTCTTTTGTGACACGGCGAATGCATAACCACAACATGATCTTTGCAACAATGCAGGCCTGTGCTTCTGTGTGTAGCTTATTTCATTCCTTACTGCATCCACATCGAGCATGTTTTTGCTCAAATATTTGCAATGTTGTATCCAGCCTAAAAGCATCCGTTACCAAAGCTTTGTTTGAGATTATTTCTGTTTACATTGTTTTTGTTGTTTACTAAAGACTACACGATAACATAGAAGTGCTGGCGCTACTCAAAACTACTTTTTTGATCTTTTACTAGAAACTAGATGGAAAATTTGTGCATCAATTGATAGAATTGTCAAAAAACTGACTTGCTACTTAAAACAATAGGGTATTATATCAAACCCATTTATATCAAACCAAATGATACAACTGTGTATACTTGAAAAACATTCGAAAAACAGGCCCCAGAATGTTTAGACTCTTTAGTTAATACTAAGACCTTTTCTTAGTTCTTTATAAACGCAGATAAACAAGTTTTTTGATAATATTTTTCAGCGAAATAGCCATGGCTACTAACATCTTGGATGCCATGTTCAAGAATTTTTCTGTTGGTTTATAATTGATGGTGCTTTCGACATTGCGTTTTTCTGATTTATTTCTTGCGAAATTGTAAAAATAAATTTTATATTTCCTTGTAACTGGTATCAAGTCCTGGCTCTGTTGAAAATGTTTTTTAAACTGTGTTGTGGTTGGCTGTTGCGTATTTCAAATAGCTTTGCCAGCCTTTCTTTCTGCAGAATTTGCTTAAGAATTTCATTCCCATTAATCTTGGTAAATGTTTAATTTGGTGGAGGCTGAACACCGCATATTTTTGTACGAAATTGAGACCAACACTTTTGTAGTCGCTTCATTTTACACTGTCAGCCCAACTTTTAAATTTCAATTTTGCCCTACTGGCAATGACTGCTGCCTGCACAGTACAGTTTCAAAACAAGTCTTGTTGATATGTTGATACTAGAATACACATCCTTGGTTTCGCTCAGCTTATCAGTCGAGGCATCAAACTTGCAGTATTCAAAATGCCGGTGCTCATCTTTATTCGCAAGTTCTTCAACAATTGGATACACATCAATTTTGCCAACCACCACCTTTGACTACAACATATGCAGTGTACACAACAGTCATTAGTATTCAATACAAGGTATCATGGAATGCCTTACTGCACAAGCAGAATTTGGAATTCGCTTCCAGACCACCAGTCGATACCATAAAGTTTTGGGCGTGACCGACCTGACCACGACAGAGCAATAAGAAGAACCGAAAATGGTTTATTGAAGTGACGTGCCTGATCTTGTTGGTAACCCCGTTTGTGCTTAGTTTCAGTGTACAATGCAAATTCCCCCGTCGACAGAAAACTCCTCTCTTTATGTGACGTTTCTTGCTATGTGTTGTATTCCACAAGCCTCCTTTGTTGGAATACTGCTTTTTATGATTCTCTTCAATAGCTTCGTGAACTGCAGTAGCGTGAAAACACTTTGAGATGGGTGAAGCATAATAAACTTTTATTTCCTGCCAAAATTTTAGAAAAGATGTTGGTAATTTTTGCATTTCATCTTTCTGTTAGTGATGGCCGATTGAAACCCATCCCCCTATTATGCCTATCACAAAACATGATTTACATTATTACGGAAAAAGAAATTTTGATTGTTGTTGCCACTAGGTTCCTTCGGCTGATCTTTTCAGCAAATTATTGGTTTGGGATTCTTTGTTTTGCAACTTGTTTAAATTCTTTGAAAGATGGTTGAACCACACGAACATTACACAGCATCACTGCCCGAGGGTCTGCATGTCATATCGTTGATTCCCGCGTGTCTGCGTATCACCATCTTGTTGATTGAAAGATATTGGATATGCACACGGTTGTAGCATGGTTTCGTTTCATAAACAACTGCTCAGTTTACAGTTGTCCATAAACCATATTACGACCCGGGAATAAACTTACCAACCACCAAACCGTTCACCGGTATCAGTTTTCTTCGTTCTACACTGGCCTGTACTGTTAGTTGATAATGCATGTCAGATTAGATTTCACTGCAAAGGTTTGGATTTCCCAAGCAAAAAAGTTATCGTCTCTAACTTCTCAGCTCCTGGAGAAGAGCAGGGCAAATGAAATTTGTCATATACTTGCATTTGCTCGTTATTGTTTCAGATGGTCTCATTTGAGGGGCATGGTTAGAATAAGATGTCTAGGGTGTTCAGGAGAACATCTTTTCTGTTAGGAGAAAGCGTGCATCAAGACAGAAAGTTGGAATTTTAATAAACCCAAAGGCCAACAATCTTTTGGTGGTACAAAACTTGTAAATGGCTTTGAAAAAAGCAAACATTTAGTAAACTAAAGCTTTTCGTCTGACACTCTTCAGAGGCCTAAAATTCATCTATTTATCATCTTGGTGCTTTTCAACGACATACTATCTGGTTGCCATCCTTTGAATGGCAAGCGCAGTTCTGAACGTAGTAAACTTCAAATGCTTCCCTTTCAATGGCCTAGTCAAAATGCATTTGTAATTTTCAATAGCTGCTAAGAGCAACAGTTCTTGAGTTTGGTACGGAACCTCGTATGTAGTGGTTCATATGCTTCTGTAGCCTCGTTTTGGTTAAATGCCAGCACTCAATAAGAGTTGAATTCTTGTCACGAACCTTGGATAATTCTAACCTTCCTTTTGCCACATCTTTGTGTCGCTATCTTGTCTGACTCTCACTGCGGTCGTGCCAAAGTCAAAGGTCCTGCCCTAAATATGCACCGTAACTTCTTTTGTTGTGGCCTGGAGAAGCAGTTTTCTATTCGGCCTTCGAATTCTAGGCATTTTATCCATAGTTAAAAGAATTTCTTTGATATGTAGCTGGCCAGAGAAGCTTCGCAAGGAATGACTTTACTAACCTTGCGAAACAATAAAGGTCGCCAATATGGTAAGAAATAATTGATAAGCCGGTTTAACAGAATCACATGATGGTTTGTCATGAATGTGGATGTGTTGTTCCTCATTTCTCCACTTCCTTAATTCTGCCCAAAGTAGATGAGAGTGAACATGCGGAGATCAAGCGTTATAGGATCTTCTTTACGTTCATCATATTTAATTATGTAGGCAATTTTAATTACCAGTGAAATATGTCCTCAAAGTATTTGTAGAGACTTCACATACGAAAGTTCATTGTGGTTTGTCAAGTTGCACCGTTGTAAAATGCAAACGGTTTGTCAAATTGCATTCTTTAATTCACAAATATTCGACAACACGAGCTATTTCAAAGCCCGGATTCTTCCCAATTTAGCAAACCTAAATCGATTATTCATCTATGGTAAGCCAAAATGCTCAAATTTAATATCGTTATTGCTCGGTGAAGGGTTGCTCCCTCTTTTTAATTCAGAATACGTTTTTGCACCTGCTTTTTTCCGATTGCTGGTTGGGATCTGGGCCCGAGTTTATTAAGAAGTGATCGTTGGATAAGGAGTCTGGGTCTAAGTCTCATTCAAAGTTCTAAGATAATGGATAAAACAGATTATTGATATCGTGGCATCATCTTTGCTGTGATCGAGATTGCTACTAAAGTCTGACATGCTTATCTTTGAAATTTAAAAGCCATTGATTTTGACACTGAATTAGGATGTAACTCAAATTTTACCTGCTAACATTAAATTGCTCGATTTTTCCTTTTAAAAAACAAAGTTTCTTCCCGTTTTTATTTTTCTGTTTGCAAAAATGTTTTTTAACATTCCTTTTCAAAGATCAATAAAACATCAAACGAGACAAATCGACACTTAGTAAATTGGACATTAAAGTACTGATAGGGGTTTCAAGTTTCGGGGCGTAGCGTGCGGGGGGGGGGGGGGGTGGGTGTGGGGGTGTACACCGTCGGTAGAAGAAATCGTCGGTAGAATTAAAATTTTTGTCGGTAAAATATAGTTTTGCATCTCTTACACCCTTACAGCGAGAATGGTCACGCGACGCCATTGACAACTACCAAATAATTCTTTTGTACTCTATTATTCTGTTGTTTAAGTCATTGATTCAAAATGACCTGCTCTGGAATTTTTCATCGCCTTCTGGAATCCAGATGTTTGTCTGTTACTTAATAGGGGTACACTCAATCAGTAATATTTACATGTTGAAATCCGCCGTGGTAAACACAAGTCGTACAAACATTGATTATGACGACCGAATAATTTCTTTTTTAGAAACAAAGTTCACATCAACAGCAACCGAAGAAAGTTATTCATCGTGAAAAAAGGTCAGATGATCGGAGACAAGTGAGTATTTCAAACCTTTTCCAGCAAATTATTCCTCTGTCATTTCTCTCGAATAAACGATGACTTTTTGATAACTTTTTGAAAAGATTGGCAAGCGAAATAATTTTCAAAATCTGTGGCCCCTTTCTCTTCAATGGAAGGACAGGACATTTCTCCAGTAAAGTAGGCAGGAAAAGCATCAGTTTGTTGTGTGCCCAGTGATGGTTTTCGGGGGTTTAGGGGGAGGGACACGGTCAAAGAAAACAATTAAGAGCAAAGGACTCTGAATTGTTAAGAAATTAAGATAATGTCTGCAGGTATATCTATTTGCTTTATCTATTTATTATTTTATCTTTTGTCATCTGTTCCGATTCCCAATGGTACCCTACTTTCTCGTTTTGGGATTGAAGCTTGTATCCTCTGGGATTTGTCAGTCACAAAAGCTGTCTTCGGAGTCCAATGTTTTGTAATTCTTCAAATGGATTTTTTCTCAATTGTCCAAACTCATTTTCAAACTGCAATTACACATTTTCAAAATATGCCTGTATTTCATCCATTTTCGTTCCATGGCAGTTTGTCATTTTGACAGTATTGGATAACCGAGATTATTTCCTGGCTCCTAATTAAAGTATCCCATTTGATTTTAGTTTTGAGACCTAAAAATGCGAAAAACATTTCTTGGTTATTTGTACAGCCATAAAGTAAAAATGGCTGCTTGTTAGAGAATTCGTAAATTTTAATCAACAAATTGCACACGGGATGTGAAACATTCTTCGTTTTTCATAATCCAAAGTGGTCTACCAGAGAATTAGAAATATTAAATCGATCTGGATAGAACGGCCATATTTCCGGAATGCATATCTCGGCTCAAAGTCTTTTCTAGCTACTTTGAAAGCATTTTTTTGCCTCAAAACAAAGAGCAAGACATTCAATGAATTCTTAAAATGGACATCAGTTGATTTTTATTTTGTGGTTGTGGCCGTTTCTCAATGGTTTTTCCCAGGTCGGTGTGTCAAAGAACTTGTTCTACCAACACGGCCATTGTACTTTTTCAAATGAACCATTATTGATCGTAGCGTTTAGATGTTTAGCAGATTTGATCGAATTCCTCGCTTCCATGAATCTAATTGAACTTCAAAGTTGGAGACACACCATTGAAACTTCTTATTCGTGGGTTGTTTTCTGGCAGTGTCAGAACAGGATAATATACTTGAGAAACTGATTCGTTATGTCATTATGTTATTGTGTCATTTGCGAAGGATGTCATTTTGAATAATGTTTGAATAATCTTCAATTACATATAAAATTAGTACTTAATAAACTGAACAAAATAATGACCAAAAGAATTGCAAAGGCCGAGACAGAAATGGCGCTATACCAGCAGCTCCATTTTTTTTCTGACAGGATGTATTTTTGTTACTATTTAATGGCATAACTTTTTTCCAGACTAGAAGTACTTCCCCAAAAAATCCGTATGGAAGGACAATGCGGACTAGCTTAATTCAGACACCTATAGTTTGGCCACCATCAAATGTTCCGCAGAGTTGGGCCCAGTTTGGTGGATATCATTATCCGACCCAGGGAAGAATGCCTGCTCCACTGGCTTTAATTTCACCTTATACCCCGGTAAGTGTCAATTATTTGCCGTATGTGATAAAGCCCTTCTGCTCAAGCCGTAGCTAGCTATCTACCCGAGGAAGTAGCCTAAGAAGGCAAAAATTCCCTCGTTTTCGTAATGAAGCTTTTTTCCAAGGGAGATTTTACCCCCAACGCCTCTCATAGTGAGTACCCTGCGTTTGTTTTCGATGAGGAAGTTTGATATTCAGAAGGAGAGGTTAAGGGTGGGTTGAAAACGATTGAAGACCGTATGATCCCGTTTTTATCTCCATAAAATCCCTTCGTTAGAAAGCTAGTAAGAATTATTTAGTTTCTGCGCACCTTTTAGCACATCGTTCTTTGGTTAGTATGGTGTTTTGCGGAAACCACAAGTGCCTCGCAATTTCCGGCCTCAATAGCCTCATCAGAGTTTTTTGGTCAATCAATCAACAGGCCTTCCTCTATCATCTGGATACTGGTCTCTTTTTTAAGTTCCTTTTGTTTTTTCTGCAAGAACTCTTGTATTAACCAGGCACTGTGTGTAAGGGGGGGGATGTATTAACCAGGCACTGGGGGGGGGTTGTATTAACCAGGCACAGTGGGGGGGTTTGAGGTACTGGGTGAGGTAAAAAGAGAGTGACCGAATAGTTTTGGGGCCACGCCCTCTAGAACGCCGGAAAACGCCCCTTCTAAAAAGCTAGAAAATGAACAAAAAGAGTTTCTAGTCAAGAAGATCTGCTGCTACTTAGGATCCGTTAGAGTAAATTAGCCAAAGTTGTGTTGGGCTAACCTTTCCATAAAATTTCTAACCTATTATTGCCAAAAGTGGGAGGCAATAACCCCTACCAGCCCAATGCCTGCGCGGTGCCTGATGTAAACAGATGAAGTTGCACATGAAAAACAGTGATTTGCTGGCTGTTTGAAACATAAAAAGCCAAAGTTTCTTGAAATAGAACATTTTGTTATACGAATTTGGTAACGATTGTCACCCTACACCTTACAATTGTCACCTTACAATGTTTTCATGGTCACCAGATGTTCCAAATTTTCTAGGCATTGCGCAAATCACTCACCAACATTCAACAACGAAACTAAAAACGCGATAGCGAATTTCTACGGCCCCGAAACCTAACAGTCCTAAGTTGTACCTTATAACCTAAATGTTAATGTAACTCGAAATGTGACGAATGTACTTTGCGGACTAACGCAATGGAACGAACAAAGCGATGTTATAAGGTACAACTTAATCGATTCTTGGTGATGTTCGCGTTGATACAAAGTACAGAAAACTTATTTCCACCGCACTTTTAATATCAAATGTCTTCCGGATTCCGTCGTTGTTTTTATCTTTATCCAAATTGAATAATTTATAACGATTCACTCTCAAAGAAACAACGAAACCGAAACGATAAAAGCCATAACACCAGGAATGCTACCTTCTATGTCTGAACGGGTTCATTCAATCAAGGCGATCATATCATATCAAATTCAGATTTCAGAGCTTTGGGACCATTAGTTTGAGCAGATCAATATTGACAAACTATATTATCAGTGTCATTTTGCACAAATCTAGGCGTATAAAATTACGAATAACAGTTTTTCGGATGATGGTTAATGGAATTCCAAAGAATCAACAAGCCAAATAACATTGGGAGTTATACAAGGGAAGTTAGCTGCGGGGCAAGCCTTTGTTTATATAAAGAGGAGGACAATATACTATTGTTTTAAACAATGAAATAAAAGGGGTTGGCGGGGCTGGCGGGGCAATCGTCCCCTAGTTAAAAGGCACTGTCGATAGTGGCTTGGTATTTGACAGTTCTGTCTTTCAGTCGGTCTTTCTCGCAAATTATAACTTCTTTTAGCGTCTCTCCGATGAATATGAATGATTTGCACTGTACTTGTGGTTGTTATTCTAAAAGCCAATTCTCCTTCTAAAATTCCTATCGTATGTGTAAACAATGCGGCAACCGTAAAAATTCTCTTCGAACCATGGGTGAAATGAAATACTGTATTTGCTGTAATCGAATCTTAATTAATTATTTTGATGAAAAAGCCCGAGTTTAATTGTTAAATAAAAATATAAAGTGGAAATCACAATGAGATAATAAAGTATTGGTAGGAAACCGTTAAATGAGTTTGTGTTGTATTCATCAGATGTAACCGCATTTTGACAGTCAAATTTAAGTATCTACGAAAGGGTTTAACTTTGTGCTGAAATTTTCCTTTTCTAAGACGTCCAATTTCCATCGCTTGCAGACGTATGTACCAATGGGAAATAGTTCTAGAGGCGCTGATAGCCAGATGGTTTCTCCTCCTTCGCATTCGTCTTCAAGCTATTCCAGCATGCAGTCCCCGCAGCCCGGTGAAAAACTAAGCAAAACTAATTTGTACATACGAGGTTTGCCATCTTCAACTACTGACGATGACCTTGTGAATATGTGTAGAATGTGAGTACTCATACTTTTACAATTTTGGTTAAGATTTGATTCTTTTTTTTGTAATCTCCATTGGTTGCTTCTATTGTCTTTTTTTAATATAATCTCTAAAGTAAGGCCGAACCTATGACTGGTACAAAAAGTCGCGAAATATTTCAGACAGTTATAGAACACGAATGAATTTTATCAGTGAAGATGAATACCATGTCAAGCATGAAGATAACCCCAAATTCTTTCATTCAATAAATTTTGTCTCTCAAATCGCCGTTGATTTAAACGCCCTATTTTTAGTCTGTTCCTGTACTCAAATTTGGCAAAAGTGTTCAAGGCTTTTGGCAACAGAGGTGATTTCCAAAATGATAAAAACAAACTAACTGTAATAAAATAGAAAAACAGTGGTATTGTTGATGCATTTCAAACTTTCATAAAGTAAAGCAATAAATCAATAAATATCGCATTTAAGGCTCATACTTTCTTTTTTGGCAGGTGGATCATCTAAAGTTTCGAAATTTTTGCCAAAACCTATCATTTTCAATTTTCTTTCTTAAGTTTATACTATCATGTTCGTTTACCGGCTTCGATTGGTTTTCTTCATTCATTCATTCATTTATTCATTCTTCAATGATTGTTTATTGTTTCTTTAAAGCTCCTTTGTTCGCAAACTCTTTCATGTTTCTTTAATGCATTGGTTTTTCTTATTTAGGTGCGAAATAGTGTACTTTTTTTAACTTGAAGTGGGCTTTTTCACCATCGTTTAGATCAATTAAACCGAGCAATTTGTGAAATGCTTCCCAAGTAATTTAAAGACCACAAAAATAGCGCTTTATCTCTGCCAAACCCCGGTTTTTCTCTAAAACAGATACATAGAAACACCTGGCACAATTTCTTCTGCTCTATTTTTGCTAGCATGTGATTAACGCCAGTATGACGCTGTCTTCATCAACTGTGTCCCCGCCCAGTTCAATTCAACATTGTTACTTTATTGTCGTTATCTCAACGTAAATCCAATGTGGTTATCCCTGCCTCGTAGTAGATCCAAGGTGGTTATCCCTGCCTCGTAGCAAATCCAATGTGATTATCCCTGCCTCGTAGTAGATCCAAGGTGGTTATCCCTGCCTCGTTGTAGATCCAAGGTGGTTATCCTTGCCTCGTAGTAGATCCAAGGTGGTTATTCCTGCCTCGTAGCAAATCCAAGGTGGTTATCCCTGCCTCGTAGTAGATCCAAGGAGGTTATCCCTGCCTCGTAGTAGATCCAAGGTGGTTATCCCTGCCTCGTAGTAAATCCAAAGTGGTTATCCCTGCCTCGTAGAAAATCCAAAGTGGTTATCCCTGCCTCGTAGTAAATCCAAAGTGGTTATCCCTGCCTCGTAGCAAATCCAAGGTGGTTATCCCTGCCTCGTAGTAAATCCAAAGTGGTTATCCCTGCCTCGTAGTAAATCCAAAGTGGTTATCCCTGCCTCGTAGTAAATCCAAAGTGGTTATCCCTGCCTCGTAACAAATCCAAGGTGGTTATCCCTGCCTCGTAGCAAATCCGAGGTGGTTATCCCTGCCTCGTAGCAAATCCAAGGTGGTTATCCCTGCCTCGTAGCAAATCCAAGGTGGTTATCCCTGCCTCGTAGCAAATCCAATGTGGTTATCCCTGCCTCGTAGTAAATCCAAGGTGGTTATCCCTCTTTGTCCCCCCTTGCCCCTCCTATCAAAAGGCAACAGGGGCGGTTAAACCCCCGCGCCCTCCTTTCCGGTATCCCTGCACTATGTTATTTCTACCATGCTTGGCCATGCTTAGCTCACAGCGTTTCATCTTCCTTGCTATATTATTTTAATGGGTTTTCATCTTTTCTAGATACGGTGCTATAATTTCCACCAAGGCAATTTTAGATAAAGATACAAATAAATGTAAAGGTAAGAAAAATTCTGAAAATTTGAAGCAATGATTGAAATAGATAGAGGTTGCCTACCGTTAAAGAGGTTCATGTTATGGTACTGTCATAAAGTGAACCTTTATTATTATTATTATTATGAGTAATGTGCTGAACCTTGCTTTGGTTGCCCTTTGCAACAATTGTTGTGTTATGCTTTGTTATATTAAGAAGGGTGTTATGGAATTTGAGTTAGTTGTGTTTTGGATTCGAATATGAAAGTAAACGAAGTGTCTTCTATGTGAATTGGCCTACGGAATTAAGAGAATATAACAGGTACAATGGTACAGTTGGTACTTCGACGGTAAACCATGTATGTATCTTCCAGCAACTACTACCAACCTTGTTATCTTTCAATTTCTTTTCTCTCTCTATGTGCAATTCCATCTTGTCTTTTTGTATAATGTGATTGAATCGTTTAAAAGCCCAATACCCCACGTTTTCATCTTTCATTTCCAAATGTTCCCAACTCTATTTTTATTTCAGGTTATGGTTTTGTTGATTTTGATAGCCCGATTTCAGCTCAGCGGGCTGTAGCTGCACTTCAGAGTAAAGGAATCCAAGCACAAATGGCGAGGGTGAGTGAGTAGTTGATCCGCTTAACTTCCAGTCTCGTAATTTCATAGAGAATTAACAGATCGTTTTTCTGAGATTGGTTGTAATTTGGGGTTTTTGCAACGAGAGAAGGGAACATATTTAGGCAAATCAGCAAAAAATGTCTGTCGTAAGTGACTACCTTCGCTGTACCGAGGATGTGCATTTAATCAGCTGGATGTAGTTTGTTTTGGGTCACAAATATGTGAATCAGCAAGGACTTTTAAACATATTGTTTCTGTTGTTGTTGTTGTTGTTGATGTTGTGTCTGTTGCTGTTGTTGTATTCTGCTGCTTATCTTTCGTTGTGCAAAATGTTTGAGTCCGGCAACTTCTTGGTTTGTAATGATCTCCTCCTAGACAATATTATAAACTATAGTAGTCCAGAGTTCTAGTCTCAAAATTTCTTGCCAATTACACTAAACGCATTGTACCTAATTTAATACACTTTGGAACAAAATGGTTATCCGCAAAAAACCCACATGTGTACGCCTTGGTAGCATAGGAGTGCCTTGCTCGGTCAGCTTATTTCTTACCACAAGTTAATCACTCAAGTAGCTACCTTCTTGCAAGTTTTCTCGTTGAGACGTGTTATTACGAAACACTCTGTTTATGTTTTTTTAATTCATTTTGATGATAGTTAATCTGATGATAGTTAATCTGATGATAGTTATTCGATTCAATGTTAGGATAGTAAATCTATCTTGCTTTCTTGACGAAACATTTGTAAGATTTGCGTTTATGATATCGTCTTAGAGAAAAAATAGGAACAATGCAAATGTGAAATCTGTTTAAACTCATTTTTTAGCAACAAGAGCAAGACCCTACAAATTTATACCTCTCAAATTTACCAAAGAATATTGATGAAAGTGTAAGTTGAATTCATTACTTTTTTCTCATTTATTTAACATGAAGAAATGTCATAACATTTGTATCGTAAACTTGCATCAACAATATATTATTTTCAATGTTAAAATTACACAGGGGCACAAAATACCACAAACTCGTTGCCTTTATTGGCTGATCTAGCAAACCTAGGTTTTGTAAGCGTTAGTGGTCCATGCAATGATAAATAAAGCTTTGGAAATATTAACCAGCGTACCAAGCGTATACAAACCTTATGAAACAGATATTTATGTTTAATTGTATACGAAGAAAATTTGAAAGAAATTTCACAGTGCGCCTCGGCGCCATTTCCCCTTCCTAAACCTTGCATTCGATGGTTTTTAACGATCAGGTTTGAATAACTAAGTTGGGACTAAATCATATAATTTTTCTGTGTAGCAATTACAGCAAATGCTATCGATGTATGGCCGTGTAATATCGACCAGGATATTGAAAGATGGAAATGGTTACAGTAAAGGTGTTGGGTTTGCTAGGTGAGTAGATAAAGATTTCCGTGGTAAAGACTGGTAAAGAAAGTAACGCCAGGCTGAAACTGGAGCCAAGTGTTCTTATACCCAGTAAAACAATGTGCGCCTTTTTAGAAAATGGGCGTACCTCCCTTGACTCCGCATCGCTAACCCCTACGTTTCTTGTGCGACAGTCGACGCTCTTTCGATTAACTAGTTTTCTGCTGGTTATTTTCCAGTTGGTTAAGCTATTAGCCTGACTTCCAGACCCCTGACTTAAAGTATCGGTGTAAGTAAGGCTGAGACTCTTAAGCTAAAAATAACTTGGCTGTGAAAGTACTTTGCAGGGCTTTTGCTTTTTGAAGTCTAAACCAGTAAAGGTGGATAATGTGGCTTTATTTTAGTACTATTTAACTACCTGGACGCATTTAGGATTCAGTTTGGATTTTAATTAAAGATTGTATATGAACAATCATTTGAAACTATTAAAACTTGTCACATGATGTCACACCCAGCCGTGTTTGCGGGACAGCTGTATTGTCATTTTCTGAATTTTTATGACAACTGCGATTATAAACATTACAAAGTTTACCTTTTATTTTAAAATTTGCCAATTATTTAAGTTGACATAAGGTTTCCTTGCAATGTCACACGTCACTTGTTAGCTAGCAACTAAAGTATCGTTTCTGTGGGAACCCTAGTGATCAGGAGCTATTTTAATTGGCTGGTCTGTATCAAATTATTGCCACTGTCTAGCTCGTTATCTTGTGGTTGCTTTCCGAATGTTCTATCCAATCACGCTATGTTCTTATGTAATTACAAAAAGAGAATCACCTGGGTGGCGAGCCTCGAGTACACTTTCTGGGCCTTTCTTTCGTGATTTTAAAAAAATGGCGAATAAGATATCGTAAATCCGGGGGGGGGGGCCTATTTGCAAAAATGAATTTTGAGTGGGGGCTTATTCGAGGGGGGCCTATTCGAAGGGGGCTTATTTCAAAGTGCAAGAGCCATGGCAAAGAGCAAGAAAATTACGGAAATTCTTGTTGACCAATTGAATGGACAAAACATAAACATGAGCATTTAGAGCTTCTAGTTACAGCAACTGAAATCATTAAAAGAGTTATAAAGTGCTACGTGAAGATCTAACAAATATTGTAATTTTTTATCATCACAAAAGTCGCTTATTTGCTTTTTGGTCTCCAGTCGAAGGAAGTAATACTGTAAAGCTATTGTCCTGTGGGGGCTTTCTTGAAATAAGATATTATTCTGCAATTATGCTTACCTCGAATAAGCGCCCATGGGGGCTTATTCGAGGGGGGGGGGCTTATTTGCAAAAATGATTTTTTAGGTGTGGGCTTATTCAAGGAGGGCGGCTTATTCGGGCGTTGGGGTTTAATCGAGGGTTTTTGGTGCATGAATATAAATTTTTTAATTAACTGTAAAGGTAAAAATTTTGTTGTTGTTGTGAACTCGTCGTCCTGACAAAATTCGCAAACATTTGTTCTATTTTCCTTTTATCTACAGGATGGAAAGCCAAGAAATTTGCGAAAACATAATCGCTAAATTATGCGGACAGAGTTTGCAAGGTAGGGTCTTATCTTAAAGATGTTCGAATATTGGCGTGTGTTGCATTTTACATGATTAATCTGGGTTGATCTTAGATACGCTATCGAAAGAATATAATACTTCGCTCCCACTAGGAATTAGAGAAAAGACGGCGAAGTCTATGGTCCAAGAGCACAGAATTACATCAATATTCATTGTTTTCTCGAAGAGAATACCTTTAGTGAATAATGAATTAATTATTTCCGAAAAGGATACTTTCAATGTTTTTTTAAGAGGATGCAAGTAACCTTGTTTGTAATTGTGAACTTGATGAGCTAAGACAGTTTGTCAATGCCTTTTAGCCGTGCCGAAGTGTTATGTGCGTTTAAATCATTTAATTTTATTTTTATTTTTGGTAATTCAACTCTTTGCGAATGTAGTTTCATTGCAAGTTATTTTGATTTGCGAAGTCTACACCAATAATGGGATTTTAGTTATTTGGAAATCTAAATGTAAATAATTTTAGATTAAGATCCTAAACTTCAGATTTGCAGAGAATAAGAGAGTTATAAACCTGCAGATGGGTGCGGATAGATCTGTGAGAAAAACAATATACAGAGTCAGTGTGAGAAAAACAATATCAGAGTGAAGCCTGAAGAAGTGAAAACAAGAAGCCTTTGGATACGCTTCCTGATATTAAGCATGTCAACCTTTTGTTTTTCATTTTGACAAATTTCATTAAAATTCCTGCACACGAGGCTGTTTTTTAATGAAATGATAGTTATCCTGTTGTCATAAATTGACCAATTTTTTTATTCGGTTCATATTTTTGTAAATGGAAGCTAATTCTCTTTGATTATCAATTTGTTAGGAAGCACAGAACCATTGTTGGTAAAATTTGCAGATGGTGGTCCAAAGAAAAGGCCGCAACATCAAGGTATTTAATGGACTAAATTTCTTTTCGTATTATTCCCGATTGTTTTGTTATCGAAAAATCTTTTTGGTGTTTCTCATTTGTAACATAGTTTTAATTCATCTTTTGTAGAGAAAGTCTGGCGGGATAATGAGGTAAATTTGTGGAAAAACATTAATTTTTGTTAAAGCATTATAACCACCATTTTTTTAAACATTCAAATATTTTTTTTTATTCTCATGCACTTTTCATTTATTTAATGTTAGTTTCGGAATTCATTGCTTTAAAATTTAAGCCCTAACTTTAATGAATATCCCGGTTATCACATATATTTTTTATTTGTTTTATTTATAACAAGGCATATAAATATATTTCAGATGATTTTTTTCGATACTGTTTTGTCCGCTCTGCTTTTCGGAGTTTCAATTTTAAATACGCTTTTCATTCTTAAAGTTGAACCAATCAAATTTATAAATTTCACTTAACATCTGAAATGTTATTGAGATTAGCGTATAAGTAATTGACATAAAACCTGACTGGACCAACAATTATCGATCTTGTGTAAAAGTGCTGTGAATTTAGCCCGTTTTCTTGATTTAAGGAAGTATTTTATTCTAAATATCCAATGTTTATCGACAGAAAACGAAATATCGTCTGGTTTGCCTGTCTCTTGCTGTTTCTTTGCCGTATAAAGCTTCTGCTTGTACTGGAAATTAGTCTGCAATGATTTTGTGTGTTTGGCCTTTGCTAATCTTGCCTTTCCCTTTTCTTAGGCCGGTGGCTACTTGACTACTTATGATGTGACACATTCTACGTAAGTAACTTTTCAGTATACTCGCAGATGCATTATCCTTGCTTAAGAATGCCAGCCTAATAACATTCAATGCCATGCAAGCCTTGCGTATTCCGGTTCCACGGATCTCAAAGGAATACTTTTAGGTGCAATACCTTGAAACCATAATATGAAACAGCTTACACCAATCTAAATTGTCATTTTTTTGATAGGTATCACTTTTCAATGCCTGAGAATAACGACAACCGTTAGAATTTTACGTAGATTTCGGTAAACCAAATCTCTTTCACGTTTAAAACTAAGGAGTTGATTGATTTTGTTCACAGAAGTCCAATCAGTACCCCTGGGAATACGAGAGTGACCGCTGTGATGCCAGGCCAAGGAATGGTATGTGACTTCTCCATTATGCCGAATTTTTATGGATTTTCCTAACTTTTCAGACCTTGCCAATTTTCCCTTTAAAAATTGTCCCTATAGACTGTGATTTCTTAAAAAGTAGTATTTTTCTCACTTAGAATTCAAATGTTTTCAAGCACGTTCGTCAAGTTTAAATGAGAAAACGACCTATTTGGAATTTTCTGGACAAGTTCTAAAACTCTTTAACTAAAAAACTACATGAAAATCAATCCCCCATCTTTTTGTAATGCCTTGCTAGGTTGAAAAATGTTTCACATGGAACATTTTCATTACATAGTATCATACACACACCCTTAATACAAAATGTCGGCAGTACTAAACTTCTGAATTCGAATTAATATCCTAACCCCGGTTTAAGCTATTCACAGCAACCATGTGTGAGCTTCTCCCATTGGCTTCTCCCGACGTGAACTTCCACATTCCGGGCGTGCCTTTTCCAACTAAATACAAATAAACGAAGCAATTATTTATAATGTCTTAATTCTTCCCATTTTGCCTTTTAGATTTCATATACTCAAGGATCAAGTGGAAGCCATTATCAGGTAATTATAATATGATGGTTTTTAAATTTCATTTGCGAGTTGTATTAATCATGGCCTTGTTTAATGTTTTGACATCTCCCTCATTTACACAATGCCGATTGCGTTTATTTCATGCATTTCCCCTGTTTGTTTTTAGCAACCAGTGACAGGCGGTGTTGGCTGGGTCCAATCGCAGCCTTATGCTGTTGCCGTGAGTTGTCCTCTTTTATTTTGTCTTTTGATTGTTTGCTGAAGTTGATGCTTCCCGACTTTAAAACTGATCCTTAAGCCAAACAGGCCTCCAAACAGACCTTGATTACAAACACAAGTTATATCCAAGCACTTAGCTTTTGAATTACATTAATCCCATGGGAGACATGAAGTATCTCAAAAGACTATTAATAATCTCTTGAGATTTATTGGTTTTGAAGAGGGCCAAGTAAACTGGCTTGATCATAACATCACTCTAGATTAGGTCCGTAGCTAGCAATTTGCTCAGCTCAGATAACCAACGGGCAATTAATTGATTTTACTTGATTCATTCATTCGTATTTATCCAATCATTTTTATCGCGTTTATTCCCTTTTACGTCATTGTATAAGAGCCATTTGCTAAGGGCCATTTGCTAAAAGAAATTTGCTCAAAGCCATTTGCTAAGAGTCTTTTTCTTAGAGCGGTAAAAAGTGCAAGCGCATCTTAATTTGGTAAACTTTATGTCCTAGACTTACCAAATTAAAGTAAATTATTTTGTATTTAGCTCATAAAGAAATTCGTTGCTTTATCAAATGGCGAACAGTAAAACTGATTCCTAAAATTCAAGCTGATTCAGAAACCAAACAAGTGTCCCATAACCTATTCAGTAGAGCGGCATTTGTATGACACAAGCAACTGGAACTTTGTTAAAGATTCCTGCATTTATTGTTGTTTAAAGTATTTGTTTACATCCCATCTTTCAGGTACCAATGAGCCCAACTTCTGTTGATCCTCCGGCCATAACTCATTTCCAACAAAATGTAATGCCTCATTTAACCAGCCAGATGGCCCAGATGCAGTTACCTAGCGGAGGGGTGAGTGTTTTTCTGTTTGCTTTTCGTTTTCTTGTATCTAATGCAGTCGCATACCACTCAACTTGATATACGGGATAAAGATGCATAAGACAGTTTATTGTTTCTAAATGTTTTGCTTCCTTTTAATTAATTGAACCTGTAAGAATCTGAACTAGAATCAATGATTTTTTGTTCGATTTTGCTGTCAAGTTGGTTGACTGTTAATGAATTGAAATGAAAAATGTTTGCCGGACGGTCGACTAGCACTTGAATGTATTGTTGGTCGTGTTGTAAAGGTACAATTGGTAATTAGGCTGTAAAAAACGAGTGTCTCGTGGTGGAAAAGTAATTAGGACTTAAGTTTCTTTGAAAAGATGTTGGTAACATTGACAGGCCTCTTGGCAGCTGCCTTTTATTTGAGATTTTCCCTTTCAGCTAACATGTGACAGATATTTTCTTTTTGACCTCTTTGTTGTCATGCCCTTTGATTTCACAACAAAATATTAAACTGTTTTGTAGCATTACTACTGATCTGTGTACACCCCATCAATTTTAAATGGTTGTCATTCATGTTCAGCGCAAGCAACAGAATTATGCTGTCTCCGTGGCTTTGTTTACGATGCATCGCATAATCACAGAGCAACTGACTTATCTTAACCTTTACTTTACTCTACAGTGCTTGAGAAAACTCAGTTTAGGTCACGCAATCAAGCTGCTTTTGACTCGGGTCACGCGATATCTCACTCGTTTTTTCCCCACCATTTTCTGGCAGGTTTTGAGCGTTCTCAATTTGCTTGTAGCAACAATACAGAACGAATTTAAAGAATGAATTGAAACCCAAATTAACGTGAATGGTTTTACTCAATTGAAGGACAGCAGATTGAAGAAAGTGTTGCTCTATAAAAACCCACGCCCTGATATTGTCATAATTTGAATTGATGCGACCAACGGGTTGTGCAATTATGTCAAATACACAAAGGCCTTAAAAATACTAATAATTAAAAAGGGTTTATCCGGTCACGAAGATTCATAACCAATAGAGTTGTCAAGTAATGACGTCACAAAAATCTATTTTTAGAATTTTTGAATTTTTTCCTCATAACCTGAAAGAGCATTATGAAATACCTCTAAATCTGCAAAATCAGTTAAAGGTATTACGAATTGGCTGAGATATGACCAGATGAGCACAAGGTCTGGCCCCATCAAACCTGTAATTTGGTCTCGAGCCATACTAGCAGTAATCCGTTGGCGAATTTAAAATCTTCTATTGTCCATAGCTAACCCAATTTTTGACAAATTTAACGGATATTGCATATATGGGAGTATTTTATAGTGTTCTTTCATGTTATGTGGTCAAAATTCGAAAATTCTAAAAATAGTTTTTGTGACGTCACACTTGCTAACTCTATTTTTGTCGCAGAATAAGGCCCAAAAAGCATTTCAGATCTGCTAACTACCTTAAAGCGTATTGGTTTTTGTAATATGCTTTCCAAGATATCCGAATTGAGGGATTTAGGGATGGACATATGTTAGGTCAGATGCGGTAGGGGTGCTAAAGTCCACCACTGAAGTATGAGGGGGTAAGGACCCCATTGTCGGTCAATTTTCAATCATATCGCCAAGTTATTGTTTTCTGCTTAAATAGTATTTTTTCTTGGCTAAGAAGATGGGTAATAACATTTAACTCCAAAAAAGCCTCCCAAATGCGTGCAGTCTCATTTTATATTTTTCTGTTAGCCGTTCTGTACATCCTTCATCAATGGTAATTTGTGTTTATCCACAGAGTCAACCCTGGACTGCGCCTTGTAGAATCTCGTTGTCAAGCCGGATTTCCACTTGATTCCCTCTTGTCGCGCGACTGAGCAAACGCATTTATAAGCATGCGCGCTACTTCCTTCTTCGCTACATGAACGTTCGTCTAGTAGCTCAATTTAGTTTTCAACTGAGCGACTGGCCACGTTCACCCATTCGCTGATTCGTTGAGTTGCTTTCGCCGAACTTGTGCCATGAGGGCGAAACCGGTCTTGAGAAACCCCATTCTTGCCCCCTTTTTTATCTAGACTAGCCAATTTTTCCTCCAAGACGATCAAAATTGTCGCCTCCTGAAGCTGCGAAGTATATTTCGATAAAGAAAAATACTTTCGTAATCTAGACTGGCTCTCGCACATTTCATTGGCTGGCTTTGTCTTTCCTGATCCAGACCGCAATTGTCATACGTTGCTTTCAATAATTTTTAGTTATCTAATTCCATTTCGGATATTAGATAAACGCGCCATCATGTGGCCCTATATGAAATAACACGAATAGCTGGAGTAGATTTCATTGTCATTAAGGAGATTCAGCAAAGCAATGGAACGAAGATCCCTGGGATTATGTTCCGAATTAGAACCATGTTCAGCATATATTACATTTTTCAAATACTGAATGTCCATTTTTGCAAGATTTCGCGATGAAGTAACGACAGTTGATTAACAAATTCCATCTAACTACTAAATGCTGTCAAGCAATTTCGTTTCAATTGATTGCTTTCCTGCATATAAAGAACCTTAAGATCGATAAAAGCAACCAATCTATGCTTACATACACAAGTATTCTGCATGATCAACCTTTTGAAAAGCAATTACTGCTTGCATCAAGGCTGCTGCTCCGCAGGGTCCCATTCTACCCGACCCTCTGCTATCTAACATGACCAAAGACCATATCAAATGAAATTCAGGAATTCGACTGTTTGATTGCTTTAAAGAGTGTATGATTAATCTAATCTATGTGTTTAGACGTATTTCTAAGATTCTCCTGAGCTTATCTCAAGTCACCTGATCCTTACAGTCACAGAGAAATCACATACCTGTGTCATATGACATATTTGCATGTGTGATGAATTGGCCATGGAAGCTGGTTCGCCGAATTCTGATTCCCATTCTTTCATCCTAACCCGTTAGACCACCCTAATCCCTCTCCCCCGGTCTCTCCCCCCAATACTACTCATCCAACTTTCTTCATGATTGCTGACTGCAAATACATATCCTGACGAAGCATACCTTCTTTTGTAGTACTTGACTGCGGTTCCAACCGTCGCGGGGTACGCTCCTCAGAGTTCGTGGCATGTCTCCCAACCCCAGGCTCCTTCGCATCATGGACAAGTCGAGGTAAACAGTTTTGTTTATTTTCATTCTCCTGATTCTAATGCAGGTACATAGCTTTATATAAGAATGAAGTTTTTAAAAAAAATGCAGCTCTAAACTGCTAAAGTTCAAGAATAAATTAAGGAATATAAACAGACTCGAAATTCGCCAGAAGTGTGATTTTTGTTCAAATATGATGAATTCTCGCAGATTTTGAATTTCATTATTTGCTTTCTAAAATGCTGATTGAAAACAGATCTGGTTTTCAAAAATATTTGCCCAACTTCATGTGAGTTCTGGGCGAAATTTCCCAATCCATGCAAAAAAACATTTGCGTTCAAATGCAACGATGTCTATTAAAGATAATTTAAGAAAATGCTTAAGCTCTATATTGAAAACATTTACGACTATCGAGTCTCAGAAACTTTTGCAGATTTCAAGGCAGTTTTGCCACTACTCTTCTCCGAGTTGCAATCAGCTTTCCTCTTTGTTGTCGTATTGTGGTGAACTTTCCTTTTGCACTGGGACTCCCGAATTCTCATTGGACTCCCAAGTTTAATCTGTTTGGACTGACAACCGAAATTTTGTGAAAAATTAATCAATGTATATACAAAAATTGTCTCTCCAACTCAAACATTCAAATTTTCTCCACCGATTTTTGTCGCTTTTTTCCCTCTGATCTCGCTTTTTTCCTGACTTGACACCAAAACTTTGAGACATTGTTTACACTGTAACGAAATTCATTTTTTGAGTCTATTTTATACTTAATTAAAGCAGTGTTTATTGCCATAGTATGTTTAAAAGTATTTCCCCGGTTAACCAAACAGTGTTTATAATACAACGCTTTTGTTTCAGGAGTCTCATTTCATAGTAGGCAGTCCTGAGTCCCATGATGCCTCCGTGTCTCGTATGCACGCAGGGTCATCTCAACAATTACAGCATCCAGGCGAGGCTATCGTCGATGACCAACATCGCGTGGTCTATGCAGCGTATGCAAGGTAGCAATTCAATTCATTCTATCAAAGCGACTTCTCTCTCAGACTTATTTGTGATATCAGCATGGAAGTATTTGATATTTAATAAGGGTTTGACTGAGATTTAAAAATGATGCTTGCCCTTGTCCTTCACTTTCAGGGGAAAGTCATAAATTATTTGATGCAAGAAGGCAACATTTTCTGAAAGTGTTTTATTTTAAAAATTCAGGGCAAAAATAGCACTTAGGCCTCTAATGGTCTATACTTAAGGAACCCTAACAAAATCATAATATTATGATGTTTGGACAGCAATATGCTATCGCTTTGACGCAGAAATCTCCTAATGATTTTTACTTTTTGCTTTGAAAATTTTGCTTGGCTTTCCCTTGTCATTGAAAATTTTGATATATTCCTTCTATCAGAGTCTTAGACGTTGACTAAGTTTTTCTAAACAAGCTTTTTGAATAAAATAATATAACTATGTCTCTGTTTGATATCAGTTAGGCCCTACCTGCCTTGCCGCATACAGTGTCTGAGACTCTCAATTCTCATTTCAGGAAATAAGAATTTGAATGTGTTTTTTAAAGGGTAAGATTTTACGTTTCTTGTTTTCAAACGAACTTTAATGAAGCAACTTAATTGACTTACACCTGAAGTTTATTGAACTGTTTGTTGTCTTAAAGGGTTTTTTGCAATAAATGTAATTACAATTTTAATTTTTGCAATCTTCAATAATTGCCCGGGACACTCAATGGAGGGCGGGGGGGGGGTGTGCTTATTGAGTGCGAAGATGACTCAGTTGTTAGAGGCGCTGACTACAAACCCAAGGGCCCTGGCCTGACCAAACGTTCAACCAGAGTGAGAAGAGTCGCCAGCTCTCTGTATTTCCAGGAATCACGAGGTGTGGTCACATCGAGAGGAAGGGCCAGGACACTGCTCGATAAGCATAAACTTCTCAGTTTCCTAAAAACTACCTTCGGATGCTAGATAGAAAAAGATACAATACAATGCAATTCGAAGGTATCAAGTATGGAATTAACAACTAGTCACGTGCTGTGGAATTTTTGATCAGATTAGGGTCAGCATATCATCCAGTTGAGACGGCAACAAAATGCTACTCCGAATCATTTTTTGGCATACTTTTTATGAAAATCCTGATTCCTAAAACGTATTGAATGATATCATTTGATGGAAGCCAATTGCTACCTCTCTCTTCGATTCGAAAATCGGCTTTTTTATCATGTTATGTTGTCTTTGAACGATAGCCTGATAGTGACATTTGTTCTCTTAATTTCAGTGATGGGTGAAGTTCATGTTTTGTTCTTTGTGCTAAATGCATGGATTCCTATGATCACAAGGGTATGGAAATCTAGTGAAAGAGAAATGTTTTTAAAACTAAAAATCTATTGAGTGGATTTTCAAAGAAAACTATCTTTTCGGAAGTAGATAGCAGACAAGATGTTTTTAAAATCCATTCGGTTTAACAAAGCGGTCAAATTTTAACTTCGAAATATTTTTGCATGTTGATTTGAGAATAAATTCATTTGATTTTAAACGTTAGTATTTGAAGTAATTGTCGAAAATTGTACTTAGAATTGTAGACAAATGTTTTTATTATGTTCGGCAAAATGTTGTTGAAATAATGCCGTTTAAAGCAGTAAAATGTTCCATCTGAATTCCTACTTGATTTCTTCAGACTAAAGAAATTAGTTGATTATTTCGTCAGTTTAATGGTAATTTGTTTTTTCAATAGTTTCTCTAACTAAGATGACCTGTTTTAGCTTGGACATTGGTAATGTTTATTGACATTTTTTAAATAGATATGTTTTTTTGTTTTTAGCTTAGCTTTTTCTTTTAATAAGAATTTGCAGCTTTTTAGGGTAAAACCAAGACTACTTCGTTAGATTAGATTATAAAATATTTTTTCTGTTGACTTTTATTCAGAAATTGGAGACTTATTTTTACTTGTCTAAAGCTTTTTACGTATAGCTTTATCTTTGAATAACACAAAGTTCAGTGAGATTTGGTAACAAATCATCATATGATTTCCTCCATTTTTGTTTTTTCCAATCCACGTTATTTATCATTCTCTCTGCTAATGTCCTGTCAGGGTTTTTGTTAATCATGTCCTTATATGCATTTTCCTTGTATAGTTTTATAGCCCTGAAATCCTGTGAAGTCCTCAAAGTTTAAGTATTGCATGGAATACCGAATTTACTTACTATGAGTAAACCTGGTAGAGTATGTAACGGTGGATTTCATTGACTAAACCATAATTTCTCCTGTTAATATCAACCCTAAGCACTGTTTCTGTATGTGGTTTTGGCCTATAAGTTGGATGGCCTATAAATTGGACGGCCTATTTATAAAACCAATGCAATTTCAACTGTTTGTGACGAAGTATATAGATTTGCAGCGTTTATTTATCTGTCAAGACCAGTTGTATATGGGAAAATTTGGTAGTTCTTTTAAGGAACTGACTCACGACTTGTTAGTTTATTTTTAACAAAAAATCGTTTTTATGATGCAGCCCTTTCAATGGATATTCACACAGCACATGTATGTTTTTGGATGTGGCTCAAATTTGCTTTCATGCTACAAATTAAAGATTTCGGTTAAACAACTGTTTCAAAGACCAGATTTTCCAAGCATTGCTCACTTTACAACGCTGGCGTAATTTCTCACAGCTATCAAAACTGATGAACATTTCTCAGGTTTATATTTTTATAGTAAGCTAACGCCGCCATCACAATAACACACATGTGCCTTAAATAAAAGCATGGATATAATTGGGCATCAAGTCTTTCATAAGATGAATCGTTTTTCTCAAACAAATATTACAACCATTCTAGGGAGGATTTGGGGTATCTAAAATCAATCCATAAAACGGCTCTACAAGCCAGCAGTTCTAGAAACCTTTCCAGTATAGAAGCAGATCCATTCTTCTGGTGGACTTGGTGCTCCTAGGGGGAAAAAGCAAGTAGCTTTCACCACAATATTGTTTTGCCGTATGCAGATTGCCAAATATTATCAATGGATTGGGTTTTAAAAAACAGCAGTTTCCTAAATATCACCGAATGAAAGTTTCTTGCTTTTTCTCTGATACACATATACAGCAATAGTATTTAAAATTCTTGCCTGTTAATTATAATTTGAGCAGATTGTTCTGCGCGCTCGATGTTTTCTACCAAAAGCCAATTCACATTAAAAGGTCATCCAACACACCAATTATCTTCAATCTTTGTCAAAAGGTGATATTTTAAAAGTTGCTTTTCAACTGCAAATATACTATTTAGAAACAATAACTTGAATAGTACCTTCCCGTTTAATGTATCCTGGTAGAGGATGAACTTTTAAAAGTGAAGACGGCTTAAACTACAAAGGTTTTTGCCCATGTTGGGCTTAGAATGTTATGCTCCACAACATATTACTTTTCTCGATATTTTTTTTCAAAATCTTAAAATGAATTTGCATTTTATGCTTAAGTTGTAACCAGCCAAGAAATAATTTACTGCCTGAAACATTATTTCTAACCCATGAAATTATAGCAGAGCAACTTGTCCTTAACATTTCTAAGAAAGTTCCATCCGAATACCTTATGTTAGATTTCCTGTATTGTTTTTGCCAGGAAACGTTTGCCTTTTAGGTAACCCACCCCACTCTCCGTTGAGATTTGTTTGTCTGGAAAATAGTTTAATCAACCAGAACTTTTCCTGGAAAGAAGTTCTTAATTTATTATTCAGTTGCTTGAGAAAGTATAACATTATTCATCGCAGTTTTTTCCCGGTTACAGAATAATTTTTTTAACGTCTCATTTTGATCACCTTGTACCATATAGCAACGCAGCATACACTGCTTTGATTTTTTGAAATTATTTCATAAGATTTGTAGATGGCAAATGCAAATTCATCACAGGGAGATAGCCTATAGGTGCCAATTTCAAAGGAGTTTTCTGTTTTCAGCCAATTTACCTTTTTTGTTTCATAGAAGTAGTCTTTAGCTAGGTTTTAGGAAATTTGCTTATTTGTGTCCGGTGCATTTGTTTGTTTCTTTTGATTTTTGTGTATTTTAAGTAGCGATAGCTTTATCGATTTTAGTAGATTATTATTAGATTGTTTTTTGGAAATTGTCGTTTTGTTTCTCTGTCTTTTCCACTTTAAAGTCATCTGTTGTTTGTCCACGGAAACTCGCCTGCTTACTAAGGAACTAAACAATTGTTAGCTAACAGTAGGCAAGGTGAATGGTCTTTCATCCTACGGAAATATCCCAGCAAGGGAAATTTTTTCATCTGATTATTTCCAAAAGAGTCTAAAAGGGTCCAACCTCGTTTTATCATATTTTGCAATTGATCATATTTTTCAGTATCCACAATCAATCAAGGTTGTTTGCCCATAAATCCTACATCAATTAATTTTCATAAATACAATATAACTTAATTTAAACAAAATCACATTTCTAGTTTCTAGCTTAGTTAAACAGAGCTGAGAATGAGCATCTGAAAATTCACCTGAAGAAGAACCATCCAAATGCAAACGACGATAGACACAAATAACTGCGATTTTTGGCGTGGCAGAAGAAATCAAAATAGAAAAGCAAATATTTGTCACGAAGAAAAATTTAAATTGCATTTTCAATCACGGTGTCTCTAAGAGTTTCAGATATTACATTCATAGCAAATTTTCAAGCCTTAAATTCATGCGTAACTTCTTACAGAAATAAATATCTTACAGATTTAGAATTTCAATAAAAAAACTAAAAAGTAGAATGCAGCTTAAATATCTTCATCGTGCAAAATTGAAGGGGTCTTTCTCAATGCAAGGCGAAAAAGTATGTTTATCAGTCGTAATCACAGGTCTTAGGGTCCAACAGACAAGTTTTAACAGCAACAAGCAACAAGTTTTAAGATATTTTTCACGTTTGTATGATAGCAAAGGATATATCAGAAATGAAAAATGTCATTGTTGACTCTACTTCAAGAAATATTTTGCGAATTGAGGTAAATGTTTCCGATAAAATACATTCCCCTTGCTGTAGCTAGTGCCTGCCATCCAGTAATTCCATAAATGCTGTAGCTGTGATTCTATAGAGGCTCGGCCGCGTGCTTGGAGAGGCATCGTTAAATCGGCAGTGCTTGCATTGGAATGGCAGCAGAGGCTGGTATGGAGCGGTTCATACCACGCCCGTTACCTGGCAATGTCAATTGGGCCAAGTGGAGCTTGCTGGAGCGACCTGCAGTAGAAAGAAAGTTCAAATGACATACACTCTTTTTCTTTTATAAGAACAATTTTATAAGAACACGAGCCTCAAAATGGGTCAAAATTTAAGAACAAATTAAGAACAAGCTGAGGCTGAGCTACTGTAAAATGAAATTTTGAGCAACGTTTTATCTCAGAAACGAGGATTTTTAGCTATGTGTGGGTGCTTTTTCGGGGAATATTAAAACATGGCGGCAAATTAAGTTTGCCTCTACTTTGTTGGCAAAAGAGGCCTGAACACCTCCCCAAAACGAAAAGCTAGAAATCGCACTGCTTATACCCTATAAATTTAAGAACAAATTAAGAACAATCCAGCCTAAGATTTTCGGAAAAATTAAGAACAATCAGCCTGAACTCAAATTTACTGGTTCTTATAAAAAAAGAGTTTACAAGAAGAGAGAGCTTTTTTTCTCATTTTCCACGCTTTGGGAAAAGCGAAACGCAACTCGAGACACGATACACAGCCAAATTGTAGAATGGCCATCAACTGGCATATTTGAAATCTATTCTTAATGTTTTGTAAATTATTATCGGAATCCTATCTAAATAATGCCCTATAGTAGATATTCACCTAGAACTTTAATTCAATTGTAATTTATTAATAAATATTGATGCAGTTTGTTTCGCACAGGGTTTGCGCTTGGGTTTACAAACAAGTGGCTACGGAAAACATATTTCTCTTCGTGAAAACAACTCAAGGGAAATCATTTAAAAACCCAATCATAATGCACTTATATCTTGTATCTACCATGTTTTTCAGACTGTCAGCCTGCGCCAAACCCCAATGCAACGATAAAAAAGTTAGAAAAGGCAACGATCAAAGGCTATAGTTGTGGTGCCTCGATCTTCTGACCAAAGAAAAGTTGCCTTGGAATTTCACGGGCGCATGCTTACCTTGAATTCTGTGGTATCTCATAATATCCGGACTCCAGAAGTACTCCTTCAATCAGCGACTTGAAATAAATAAAGAAACTATATTCCCTGATTTAACATCTTCAAACGCAGGGATTCGTTAATACAATAATTGAGGATTTCGTGAAAAACAACGTAACGATCAAGGGAGAAAGCAAAAAGTCAAAAAAACGGCTTAAAACAGTTACAAAATTTTGGAAAAATCTAGGTAGCGTTAATCCCATCAGAAACCTTTTTCCCACTCCCCTCGGTAAGCCCCAATTGTCCAATTGTCTTTACTTGATTTTCGAACGAAGATCGTTTTAATTTTGTGCAATTCCAAAGGCTAGACATAATATATCAAACATCACGCTCGTAATACGGTGTAAAGTGTAAAAGATTCTTGTAATTTCAACCATAAAGAAGTAAAGGATACTCTAATCTTCTAATTAAAACGTTTCAAAGAGCAAAGAACAACAAATTAGGACAAATATTTTAACACAATTTTCAGAGACGTCAAAATTGATATAAATTAAGTTGAATAATGATATTTTCATTTCTGAAACAAAAGTATAATATCAAAAAATGATTCAAATGTCAAAAATGTTCTGACTAGCGTACGCAATACTCTTATCGATATAGACTGGTAATTTAATTAATTTAATGAAGAGATTTTTGCGATTTCAAAGAGATAAGAAAAATATTTAATATAGAAATTTTGCTTCAAACTGCTTCTTTCTCAACAAAATTGAAAAGAGGTTGACCTGAGTAAAAGGAAATGTTCTTGAAGAAAGCTTCCGGCTCTTGTAAACGAAATCTTTTTAGTTAGATGAAGCAAAATCTGATATCACAATAAAAGCAGCAATATTATGTGATGTGAATATAAAGTAGAGGCGAAGGTAGACACAAAGTGAGTTTCCCTTACTTGTAAATGCTCATAAGAGATTCCACCTTCGTTAAAAACCTCTGAATCTGGAAAAAGCAAAGGAAAATCAACTGAGATAAAGCAAAAATAGATTAAAGAAAAACATGGAGCTTATAAATATCGTTTCCTGGTAGTAGGTTTATACCATCACGCCGAAAGATGATATGTTGAATAAGAACTGGAAATTGAAAAGGTGAAATATACAAGGTGAAAGATGGTTTGAGGCCCTGGGTAGTAGAAGTCTGTTTTGTTGCTAATGAAGTTACGAAATCCAACACCTAAAAACGATAGGGCCAAGTCAAATTAACGTGTAAGTTTCGACTTTAAAAGAAGAAAATGTTTTGCTATTTTTGTTGATAGAAAACGGTTACAATCAGAACTGTAATGCCAAGGCTAGTCTCCTTTCTTCCAGTTTAAAATTGACATCTCCTTTATATACTCATTTAATAGATTGTTCACTATATACCTTGATACATACCTGAGGAGGCATCCAGTGTAGATGCTGATCGCGTTATTTCTTTCAAGCCAGGAACAAGATCTAGATCCAGCAGCTCCTTAGAGCCTTCCAAAATCTAGGAAAATAAAATCAAAGAAGGATGGCATCATACCAAAAAAAGTTATGAAATTACAACGATATTACAAAGCAAAGTGTACAAGCCTCGGTTACAATTGAATACAGAATTGAATACACGTAGCATATATACCAGCCTCGGCTTCAATTCTCACGTAGCATATATACCAGCCTCGGCTTCAATTATCAGGTAGCATAATTACCAGCCTCGGCTTCAATTCTTACGTAGTATATTCATATTTACCAGCCTCGGCTCCCAATTTCAAGAAGCAGATACACTAGTCTTTGCTCTAGTGCACAAACGCGCACAAACTGGCGCCTGGATTTTTCATTGAAAAAATAATAGCATTAAAATAGCGCTAAGATGGAAAGAGGGCTCACTTTCTTGATTTCATTTTTCAAGTCGGTCGAGTTGCTCTGAGGCGAAAAAAGCGACCTTTTAAATTGCTCTATAACTCTTCTCTGCGGATTTGGTGTCAGTGGTGGTGGAAGCTGAAATGAAAATATAAGCGTGATTTCTTTAAGAAGAAAAGGAGAAAGAAAGGAGTACAAGAGGATAATGCAAAAAAAAGCCTGGCTGATGGCAAAAAACTGGCTTTAGTTATTCAACTTTATACTATCTGTGAAATATCAGTGACAATGAAATACCGAACTTGAAAGAAAGAATGGTCAAATATATCTGCAATATAAACACTAAAGAATTGAAGTTGAGTTATTAAAAGGTTTTTCATTGAGCTGGTAAGTTAAAGTAAAAGTCACAGAGAGCACCTCTAAAGCTTGGATTTCACTATGAGTTTAAAGGTATCCCTGTGATCTGAGATGGGTCAGAAATTATCTCAAAATGGAAACGTGCGTAAAAATAATTATCTCATGAAACTCCCGTTAACTCACGTTATCTCATGAGCTTGAAAACAATTTTTTTATTTCAAACTTAAGCGTTTACTTGAGATAACATCTAATCAAAAGCGTGGGAATGGAATATGTCCCCACAGGCAACCAATTTGCAGTGAGCGGTATGTTAGATATTGAAAAAAAACCTTCATATTTTTCCCATGAAAAAGAGATAACCGAAATAAAGAACAAAATGATATCACTTCTATACAGAATTAAAAACTATTTACAGAAGAAGTTAAACAATTTCCACTTTTATGTGATAAAGTATAAAAAGGTTGCAAGATTTACGACGCAAATGAACGATTTTTGTACAAAAAAATCTCTGCACAGATCTTCAATTCTATCGAATATATATCTGCATTCTACGTCATCTTAGAGAGATCCACGTTGCACTTCTAAAATACCAGCAATATTTGCAAAACTCAAATGAATGTAATCTTTGGTATTTCCACAATTACATTTATTTCAAGTGGATTGTTTACGAGCAGTTGAACAAAAAAAGCCAAAAAAGATTTAAACTAAGTGTGTTTTAATGTGGCTTTCTTTTGTTCCCGGTCAGTTATCTGAACCACTTTAATAAGATGCAAGATAAAAACCGATGATGCCCGTGAGAAAATCAAAAATACAAAATTCGGCATTGAATCAGAAAATCAACATTGTTGAACTCTGCTCAAGAAGAACTGATTGATGTATTTTGAGATCTGTGTCTGGAAACCCCTTTTTGCCAGACTGCCTTTACTAGATGAGCTTGTTGGCAATGTAGCGTTCTATGAAAGATATTTCATAAAAGCTCATTATGAAATGAGAAGACTGAGACTGTAAATTCGAATATAGCAAAAGAAGATACAACAGAACTATACAATATTTTTAAAAAAATTTTAACATACGTAAATAATGGCAAAACTATGGAAATATTAAGTTACCTGTGTGATGTATACGATTTTGTGCAATTGATTTAAAAACTGTAAAATAGGGTCGTTTATTTGACGAACTTTCCGTGGAGAAATGCTGAGTGTAGCAGTGGCAGAATCTACAAGAGAAATTAACGTTATAAGTTATAAGCTTTTTTCATTAAGGTTTCATAGCCCAGTGTCTTCCCATAAGACTTGTTACCTCTTCCATCTTCCTCAAAAGTATGACGTATCCAAAACTCTTACATAAGGAAATGAAAGTATGCATGCATATGGGCTTGTCGAACTTGAAATCGACATACACAAAACTAAGTTAGGCCCCATCCACACAAGTATACGGAAATTTTTGAACTCGCAAACGTCTTTGCAGATTTAAATCATTTTGCCTCCATGCATTGGGTTGTCAAATCGAATTCGGCCATCCAAACGCACCCAACTTCACTGTAGTTTCGCATCTTCTTTCTGAATATTTCATTAAGAGCATGCGTAGTCAGGCATACTACTCAATTTTACGTCATCGGATTAAATTCATTCGAATACGAGGGTCCACATCAAAAAAAATCTTTCTCATTTTTAGTAAGTTAAAAAACTTCTAGACGAGAGAGCGAATTCAAAAAGTCGAAGATGCAAGGGCCTATTCTTCGAATGCGTATGGACACGAGCCTAGAAAAATTTGCGGATTCAAAATATCCGTTTACAAGTTGACCTTGTTGGGTTGATTTTCACCATGATACCAGTGCAAGCAAATACGAAAAATCCCTGTGATTACTAGCAAAGATAAGGTCATTTAACACAGTTAATCAGAGCTTAGAATATCAAATGGACAAACTTGGTCTCCACAAACTGTTTGCAGCGCCTCCCAATCTCTGATGCGATTCAATTGATGAGCTGCAAAGAATAAAATGAAACAAACTGAAATCAAGGCGACCTTTAGGTGTGCGTGTGTATGTTAATGTAAACAATTTATAAACTTAGATAATCGCCTTAAGAACTCGCAAAATAAATACAATACGCTAATGGTTGTTTACACGTTATAAAGATACTTCATACAGCTTTCCGAAGGGAAAAAGAACTTGCGCATTTAAAATTTGAGATTTGCATGAGAACTGCGGCGCTCGTACGGCGGCGGCGCTCACTCGAGTAAATACGGTACGCGCGGTAATAGAGTTTAGGCATTACCAGCTCTGTGTTCGCTTCACTGACTCGGCACCAGCATTCTTCTTGTCGTCTCCTTGCAGCCTCTGGCCGTGATCAAGCGGCAACAGTCGCCTTGCTACCTTTCTTCCAGCACCAGGAGGCTTTGGTTTCACAAAAACGTCATCTTTCTCTAAACAGTCATCTTTATTCAAAATATCCCCCGTCTTTTTCCTTATCGGTAACGGGCTCAGTTCTCTAGAATTCCGACGAAGTGACCCAAATTTTCCGCCCCCCGGTTTAGCCCATTCCCCCTCGGGATTTCTCTGGTCCGTCTCGCTGCTTCCCAGAATTTCTGACCCAAACCTTGCATCTATTGCCGATGATTTCGAGTTTGGTTCGACTGGAAACAATTTAAAGTATTTTTCATCCAGTTCATCATTATCGAAGTCGCTGTCCTGTTTGCTTGAATTCAGCGAAGCCGGGCCGCCACTGTTTGAAGATAAAGACGACATTTTGTCTGTCATTTCTTGCTGTGCCAGGAACAACCGGTGGAAGTTCTGCATGTTACGATGCGCTTCAAAGTAGTGCCTAAAACAGAAAATTGCCTTCTAATTTCCAAATAAGTAAGTGAAGAATAAAAACTACAAAAATTTCACCCTTGAAAAAAACGGAAATTTGATGGGAAACAACGATACACAAAGTTACTGCTCATGACACGGAAAGTCTAAATAATTCTTAACCAACATTACATGTGTACTGTGATCATGTGTTACATTGTTATTACACTGAAAATATACATCATAAAAATCAAATAAAAAACCAATTTCAAAACCAAAACAAATAATTAAAAGTTTATGTTTTTCAAAGAAATGCCCGTACCGTTGTGTTCGTTTTCTTTCCTTTTCCAGCTTCTTCTCCAGTGTAGTGGTATGAAGCTTCAATTTGTCAACAAGGCCAATTAATACGTCACTTATTATACCCGCAACCTGGATAAATCGTATATCTTTAAAAATTTAGGGAACAATTAAAGCAATTTAAAGCTTTGAATAATATAAATCTTGAAACCCTAAGGATTTCGGCAATATGTAGGAAAATGTTTCGACATACTCAAAATTGCCCTATTTGAAATAATCTAAATTTCAAATTGAAATTAAATTGCAGAGAAAAACTTAGAGAACTTTATTTATAAATTTTTTTCGCTTGCTGAAACCTACCCATTCTTTAGCAGTCAAAATCTTTTTAATCAACGCGCTTCTGATATTAAATGTGTCGTCACTGGAGTGTAGGTAAGGCGGAAGGTAAAATGCCAAGTGTTGATTTGATCATTTGCAAATTTATGGTTGAATTAAGGTAAAAGAATCTAGATTTCTTACCCCAGTAATGTCAGGTCTTCTTTCTGGGTCTGCAGTTAAGCAGCTGCAAGAGAATGAGGCACATACTGTGAACAATTGAGGATAGCACGGAGAACCGAAAACATAGTACACTAGAGTAGTACACTAGGGTACCTTCGTCCGATAATTCTCAGAGTATAAAGATTTGACAATGTCCGAAGAAGGTAAGAAGAAACTTATATCCGGATGCGAATGAAATGTTAGGTGAATTGCGCATTTGATTGGTTCCTTGTTTTGACCAATCCATACAAAAGATACAGAAATAAGAGGCAAATAAGGAGAGAAGAAAAACAAGACAAAAGTGGTCATGAGAACTGTTTTGATTTATGAATGCAAATCCGAGAGCGAAAGATTTACGTCTGTTTTTATGTTCATTGAAAATACATGTCTTGCTGAGAAAAATTGGGTAAACGAGAAGAAATTTTCATAGGTTAGAGAAGTCTTTATTCTCGCTAGATAGCATGCACAGATTTGTTTTCTTTAAACCAAGCTGAAGTAAGACTTTATGTTACCTTTTTATTGTTTTCTCCACCTTTTCTGAATAAAAATCATCCGGCAATGGGTCATATTCAGCATTAACAATCTGCAAATAAAACCAAATTAGCAATAATAAAATATTCATAAAAGATAATCTGAAGCAGTTGGCCTATTTCGCTGATTCCAACACAGCACATATATAGCGAACAAGCAATTCTGAGCTTCATTGATTTTGAGTTTCTTTCAAAATTTATATTTCATTTCACAGACAGGCACTTTCCAAATTGGCTGTTGGCAAATATTCAGTGAAATGCCAAACTTCAAATCGAGATTGGAAATGTTAGAGAAGTTTGATTATGAAGAATTTTTAGATAATTTTCACTACTGGCTCCTTAAAGGCTTTCAAATCTAAAGATGAAGGCCTCTTAAAACCCAATCATTTATTTAACTAAAAGGTTAACATCCTTGACCAATTAGCGAGATCAAATTAAAAGTTTACAATATCAGAGACATTTGCTAAAAAGCTCCTCTCAACTTGTCTTGTTTGATTTCGTTAGACTTTTAAATTTTAAGTGATACAAACTTATCTAATGATTGCAAAGGTTTTATGATTATAGCCAAGACAGACATGAATGTATTTCAAATTTATTCATTGTTACATCACAATTTGAAATTGCTACAGTTTTACAAAAGACTTAACTCGAGGCTGATGAATATCCTCGATGTTTCAGGAATGCATTCAGAAGATGCGACTAAGTGTTATTAATCTTCCGTATGGTTTGAATGGAGAATGGTTTACAATGAACTTTGTTTCATTTTGGTGATGGCTTGGTTACACAACCTTTAAACCTTTAAGAAAAACCTTTTTTGAAAAGAAAGACCTCTGTCATTTTTGACAGGCAAACTATATCCTATGATAATACAGTTAGCAAATAAACTATTCTATGTTTGCTACGGCGCTATTCATCTAAATGAAAGGGGAGCATTTTAAGCAGTAAGTCACGATTTGAGCATTAAAAAAATTCTTGACTAAACTTGGTTAACCACAGCTCCTCGATCGCCAGCAAGTATCCTTTACAGAATTCCTGGATTGCAATACATAAATAGGACGCCCGTTGCGTGCAACCTCTGGAATCCATTTTTGTCACAAGACTAAATGGTACTTGACCAATGGCACCGGAATACCTTTTGGGGGGAGGGGGGTGGGTTCAATGCACAAGGTAGAAAATAACTTCAAGACATCAAAATTATACTAGCATCATTTCTTATTTATAGTAACATATTAGTTCCATCTTTTTGCTGCAATGTGAGTGGAACGTTTGACCAGCTTCTCAATACAGAGTGGCCTTGTGATATCTGGTTCATCAGACCATCATGGCGCTCAATCTGTCCTTTCCAAAGTCGATCTGCGTCAGTTCTCGTCAAATTTAGACGAACTACGAGGATACTATTTGTAAACATTAGTGAGGCGACTGCCCAGTCCCCTTGCCTACCCTTCCCGGCTCCATTGTACGTGACCCAAAACTCATAAATTAAAATCTACCCATGCTGCAATGGTTATGCTAGATAAGGCATATAATATGTTGTTACTGGAAATAGCATTCAAAATTTGAACTAGGGTCAAATAAAGATAGAAAGCATTCCATAAATACCTTTGTTGCCAATGTGAGCATATTTGAGGAGAAAAAGGGTGGTTGGAGAGTTGACATTTGGTACAAAATACACCCCACGGCCCAGATGTCGGCCTTCTCGCCATAAGGATGGTTTTGGATGATCTCTGGGCTGCAACAGATAATATCATGCTTGATTTTCTAGCAGATTATTTCAATTGTAAGTTTGCACAGAAAAAAACATCGAGTAACTTGGTATGAACTTTGGTAATCGATAAATCAACATCTAACTTCAAATGTTTCTGCTTCAAAAGAAAATGATACCCCGGGGCTGTCCCTATACCTATAACTTCATCCCCTTGGATTGCATCAACGCAACGGACAGCTCTCTATAAATGGCAGTACCTGTACCTCTGGTCTCATTTTGGCTTCTTGGTCTCACTGTAAAATCATTCAGTAAAGGGTACGGTGGAACGAAGTGTCGTGAAACAGGAAGATAAATTCCAAAACATACCAGGAATACAATATTGTTCCAACTACGGACGTCATTTTGCTGGTGTCTGGCTGTTTTTGTCGTGACAATCCAAAATCAGCTGAAAAAATTAAAACACTTCGATAACAGTTGAGAATAAACAATACCCCACCAGCCGGGGGGTAATTTAAATGAAAGACCAAACTTTCAATTGGCAGTGCTTTTCATTATGCTGTCGGGGTCGCACGTATTTAAAAAATCCCCAAAGGAATAGCGAAAATATACAGAAGCGTGTACTGGGAATAAATGATAAAAAGATAAGAACAATGGCTGTTGTTCATTTCATGAAACCATTTCAGAAACATTACAAACAATATTGTTAAAGCATTTGTCACATTTCTTGTTCATTTAATAAAACTCATCCTTGCTATTCATGTTCAAACAGCCACCTCAACATTACAATTGGAAAGAGTCTGTGAAGAGTTTTTTGGCGGTACAGAAATTGAAAATGGCTTTGAAAAAAGCAAACATTTCAAAACATATTAACTAAAAGCTTTTTCGTCTGACACTCCTCAGAGCATAAAACGTCAGAATAAGAGTCCGAAAGAACACGATGAAAAATATATACCCAGTTGTGGATTGAAATAGGCCAATCAGAAAAATGCAAGCACATGAACGATATAGTTGACCAATCAGTGCCGCGTTCCTAAAGAAAAAGGCGAGCCCTTACAAAATGTTTCTTTGCTGTCAATCCTTGTATTGTATACAGCACTAGGAGAGCCCTTCCATCTATTCAAAAGGACTGCGTTCCTACCAGCCATAGTGTATGTACCAATCAAAAAAGTTCCGTTGTTTATAAATTTGCGCGCCAGTGTGATTCTGGCTACGTAGGACGCACAACCCAAAGATTGTTCCTTCCAACGTAAGAAACAAAACTGCCCCTCAAAGAGAACAGCCTCTTCGATCTTGTAGGTCTAGAAGCACTGTTAAAACAAGTGATTCTGCCATCGGTCAACACATTTTAGATAACCCAGATTGTGCGAAACTCTATAATGAAGTTATGCTTCAGATAATTTTCAGAGTTCGATTGTCCTTCCATCTTGCAGTTTTGGAATCGATCTACATACAAACGAAAAAGCCGCCATTGTGTAGACAGAAGGAGTTCGTTTTATCCGCATCAAAATTAGTTGAGATAGGTGTCGCGTTTACACTAGACCCGCGTCATCCGCACGAATTTGAGAGTGGCTACCCGAACAAAATTAGTTCACCTAGGAAAGTGTATTAAATTAGTGCGGTAACTATGTGGTACAGTGTAAACGCTTTTATCCGGATAAATTTTATCCACATCGTATCTTGCTCGCAAGCGATTGGCTACTTCATCCAATTCAGTTTTCACTGTCTCCCAATCAAGACCTTTCGCAATTTTGGCTGCCTTGTTGTCGATGAATACTCGTGTTAAAAGTGCAGTATCTTGCCAGTCCACGTAAAATTGGCATCCTTATCAGCTTTCCCTACTTTTGTTGCTAGTTCAGTGTCATTTTGTTTCAAGAACAAACTATTAAAACAAACTAGGCCTAATTCGTATTGACAATATCTTTGGATTTGGTCTAATCAGCATTGCTGGAGGGCTACACTCCTTAAACATTTGAAATGAAATGAAATGAAATGAAATGAAATGAAATGAAATGAAATGAATGAAAAGAGAAGCAGATGATTCAGAAGAGAGAATGAAGTCTTTTTACGTTGGTGGGAATTTTGTTACTATTTTGTTACCCAGAGAGGACTTCATTTTGGGCGTTCTGTGCATGATTTAGCTCATGTGACTGCAGTTATCCGGCACAGTATAAACGGGAGGGCAAAGTGGACAAAATTTGTGCGGCACAGTATAAACGCAAATTCCTCCGAACAAGTTTTACTCCGATAGTATATAAAATTGGACAAGAAATTGAAAATAGTGAAACCAGCTTTGTTTTGTAAAATTGATCAATGAGTTGAGTGATAACTTTGATAAGTGATAAAAATAACGACATAAATTGTTTTTCTTGAAATCGGTAATCAGCCCCTATGGGGGCTTATTCGACTTTAGAGGCTTATTTCACAGAAAAAATTTTGGGTGGGGGCAAATTCGAATGGGGGGGATTATTCTAAGATGGGGCTTAATCGAGGCTTATGGTAATAGTTCTTCAAGCTACAATGTTTGCAATAGATAGTAAACAGGACATACTTATTGTAACTTTGTCACTTTCGCCAAGCATAATGTTATTTGGAGTAAGGTCTCTGTGAATGATACGCTTTTCCTTGTGGATGTAGCGCAAACCAAGAACAATTTGAGTGAATATATTCCAAATTCTATCTTCGGAGAAACGTTCTCCTTTTTCCTTCAAAGAATTGAAGTGCTCCCCTAGTGGAGCTCCGTCGATCAACTCCATAATTATGTACAACTTGTCATCTGTTTGAAAATGAAAAGATATAAGGTAGCTGAATTTAGCATCAACTGTAGATATTTCTTGAGTAAATACTGGTAAAAATATCTAATTTTCTACAAAATTTTACAAAGTTTAATTTTTTCTTCCAGAACGCATTCAGCCTGAAAATCTGCTAAAAATATTTTTATGAATTGAAAGCCATCAATTACAGTTTATTTATCCGACACAGATATTCACAAAATACCGACGAAATTTCAACTTAATCAAGTAAAAACACGCAGTGGGAAAAAACACAACATTCCATACTAAAAGCTCAAAATAAAAAAATGTATTCAGTAAACTTGCCTTCCTTGAAAGCTTTGTAGTATCTCACAACATTTGGATGTCTTAGCTGGACAAAAGAGAAACATGTAAACTTCACTGCACTGATTTAACAGTCAAAAATTTCTAAAAAAACTGTGTATGGAAAACAAACAATACAAACAGGCGAGGTGAAATTTTAAATATCTTTGATCTTTTTAACTTTAGGTTGTGCGTGCATCAATCCCCCAGTAGTCGTGTCTAAAGTCGAAGAGAAAATGTTGGGGAAGAGGGGTGGGAGGTTAACATTTTTTTAAAGTATCTTTTATGATGTAATTTTATGATCTTGAAATTGCCTTTTCGTAAAAAAAATTAGTTAAAGCTTTCTATATTGACAAAATTAGCATTTCTTTTGGAAAAAAGGCATTTTCTTTCAGTGGCATGGCCTAAATTTCTTATTTCCCCATGGCCTAGCGGGTGGCGCTACCACCGCTACTTACATCGAAAAAGAACAAAGGTATCCTGAAAAATGTAATGCATTGCGACTGCAATCGTTGATTAGAAGACCATGCGAAAGCATCAAATACACAAAGGCCTCATATTTATCTCTCGGGTTGATGCTACAAGAAAACAGACCAACGATGGGTATTTACCTGCTCTTTTACGATGACACATTCGTTCAAAATTTCGCCTACACTCTTTTCGCGTTCCTTGTTTGTTTTGCCAAAAGCTGGACTGACAGTCGATATCTAAAAAGCAAAAACAGACTTATTAAGACTAAAATCAGCAGAACATTTAACTAAAATATCAAAGTCTTTGTACTTGATTGACTAAATCAGAACTAAGGCAGTTCTTTATTTAACTTTTTAAACACCTAATGTTTGCGTTGTCAATTGTGTACAAGAGAGCTTAAAATCAGAAAATGCACCGAAATTTGTTTGCTTTGACATGGTTTGCTTTGACATTGAACGACAACTTATCTTTAAAAAAAAATTTCTGGAGATAAAACATAAACAAAACTAAGTATTTGCAAGAAATCGTAGAGAAAAATATAAATAGAATAAATCACCTCTTTTAGAGCAAGAAAGGTTTGGTTTCCTTGCTTCTTCACCTAAAGATTGATACAAAACTATATCAGTAACAAAGAAATACTTGAAATGCGAATTTTCTTAAAAATGAATAGATAATTCTGTAGGTGCTATCATTACCAAATGATCTCAAATAAAAAACAACTTCCATATTGATAGAAAATTAAATCATTTTAATGTTACTAATCTAGCATCCGGCCACTGGATAATAGGGTTTATGAAATACAATAACGAACATTTTTTGTGGTAATATTATCAAAATCATATTAAAGTACCATCTATAGATTTATGTAAAAAACACACCGGAAAATTAAATAAAATTACTAAAAACAGGTTGAACTTTCCCAGAAAACTTGTACAAACGAAATGGTCAAAAGTATAAACTCTTAAAGTAGCATAAAAATATTATGAAAAAGAATTTCAAAAAAATGCAAGTAAAATTGAATCAAAGTTATGAAAGAGCTTGCCTTATAAACGCTTCCGAATGCACCGCTTCCCAAATGCTCAAAAACGGCATACTGTCTGATAAAAGTGGTTGCAGCTCTGTTTTGATTGATACCATCAAATTTCTCCCTCACTTCTTCCAGATCTGATTCCTATCAAATAAATTCTGATGGTAACCATAGCCGAAAAGTATGATGATGGAGAAAGGCGAAATCAATGGAACAGAAGTTTAACTTCAAACTCCTAGTATTTAGCAAATGATTGTCAGCCTGCAAGTGTCAGTTCGATAAATTTAGTTTATTCTTCATAGTATTTATAATCAATTTATATAATTTATGGCTCGCTTTAAGGGTAATTCTATCTGTTAAAGCAGAAAAAGATCCTCTTTAAAGTGAGAAAAAACTTCGAATTTCAATAAAGTATATTTTTCTCAATTTTATCTTTGCTTCATCTGAAGTTCTAGTGGCAATTTATTTTCAATATTAAAAGAGAAACTGTACAATATCGATCATGTTTTCTAATACACGCTTAATTATCTTGTTACACATATTATACTCATGTCCAAATATTCAAACAAACAAATCACATCAAAGAAGTTTACCACTTAAATGAAGTATTGTAAATAAAGAAAATTGACAAAGAGTCTTCAGAAGAGATTGTGAGCCAGCACAGAAATGAACTCACGGGTAGGCTGTTGAAATTCTCTACAAGCGATGTATATGCATCTAAATCTCTTTTGTAGTGTCCAACGTCGATGAATGACTCGAACAAAATTGGTGGGAGCAGTCTAGAATAATAAAGGAACGAGTAATTTCAGTTTCTAAAAACTCAATGTTATATATATAAATGTCCTCGAAAAGAGCATTTTGTAATTAGGTAGTTCTCTTAGTCATCAACGGCAAAACATGCTTAGCTTGGAGCATGCATTTTAAATTACTTAAATGTTAAATATCTTTAGGATCATTATCTTTCAAATACTTAAATAGGCATCTCGCTAACTGGACCCCACTTTTAGAAATAACAGATATGTTGAGTTTTTTTATTTCCTTGAATTATGGTTTAAAAACCTCGGAGTGCTCAGTTAACAAACACTAGAGATAAAGTTTTCGTTACTGACAGCCTCATGGGAGATCGAAATGAGGGTCACGCTCGCATACTTATTCCTCTGGGAACTAAAATCTGAATACACTTGAGAGGCAACAGATTTGAATGTTTGCAATTTCTTCAGATGAATAAAAGCAAATTATTATTCTGATTAACTGTTGGTGGATCAGATGTGTATTGTCTTTTGGAAAATATTTTACTTACTTGAAAAAGCAATCTGAATAGAAATAGAAAACCTTTTAGCTTAAATAACCAGGAATTTAAAGAATCCTGTCAACTACAACCGATCAAAACAGTAAATTAGCGATTAAAATTCGAGTGACAGCAGAGAAAACTTTGCAAAGAAAAACTTTATCACCAAACTTTTCGGCCAGATGCAATTTTTCAAACTATTTGTGCCTGTGTTTTAAATTTTACGGAGAAATGAAGCTTGAAAATCGTTCCGGGGGAAACTTTAACCTCCCCCCCCCCCTTCGCCAATCACGGTCAAATCCCTTGCAAAATATACATATTTGGTAAATTGGGTATGAAAATCAATATCGGTAATGATACTATCAATAACATGATTAAAACTTCCAAGTAAACTAAAATTCTTGTTTTCAATCCGAATCTTGGGTCAAAAATTTTGTACCAAAAAATTGAAGGAATCTTCAAAACGAGGCTGTAAAATGAATTTGGTGTATTAAAATGTCTTCCAGAAGAGCAACATCTATTTAGTTTTTTTCAAATGGACATTGCAAGTAAAGAAAATTCAAAAAAATTGCAACATATTATAAGAAGAAACGTCGAGTTCATAATCGGTTGAAATGAAAAAATAGGGGGCAAAGACATAAATGAAGTAATGTCGTCGACTGAGTTTGAGAAAATAAAATGGGGTTGAAAGATGTTCCAATACCTTTTGAACAACTGTCTGTTCCGCTCCATACTGAACAAGAACCTAGACAGAAAATGTTTAATGTGTTTGAAAATGTGTTTAATTAAAACGCAACGACATCAAATCAAAATTTCCAATGAGTTCTAAAATTGCTAATAGATGCATATTCCCAGCTTATAGCGCTAAAATGTTCATGTCACCTTAATAGCTTAAATGTTTGCTGGAATAACTGCAGTGCTCCTCAAATATATATGTGTATTTCCATGGAACCCATGTTTAAATATCAGTGTCACATCAACAATGCAACTTTTAGATTACTTTTTTACATCGTCACTTTTAGTTTGTAACCTAATGCCGAAAGCTTGGGTAATAAAAAAAATAAATTTTCACATTTAACAAGCAAATTACACTCGACATTCATATCTAAATTTGAATCTGCCAATACATTCTCAACATTATTCAATCTATTTCAACATCAGCAGATTTCCATTCAAAGAAAAATTGTTTTTCATAGGAAAAATGTTTCTTTTATTTTCTCATCTTATTTTGCAGACAGTACACATACAATCGACGCTTGATTATGAAAAAGGCAAGAAATGACTGATTTAGAAACAGGAGCATTTTGCTTTTTGACTGAGAATATCTCAATATCAAAATTTTGATACAGATTAAATGCAATTCAATCCTCTAGGAACGGAATTCCATGCTTAGGACTTACCTCAAAGCTCGAAAGGCATTTTTCTGCAAGAAAATAAAATCATGTAAACAATCTTAACTAAAATTACGGAAATGTTTTATTTACAGTGAATAATTTCGAAAAACTTACCCTGCAGTTCAAGCAAGGTTTCGGATCAGCAACTTACAAGGAAAAACATTGAAATAATTCCCGGTCACTATGTTATTGGAAATACTTATTGCCTTTCATTTGAAAAAAAATTTTTACATTAAAAATATTCAGAAATTAGCCACAGAAAACCAATGAAAATATTATGCTTTCGAGTTGATGGGTAGAAAACCACTTTATACAATCAAGATTTTTGGTTGACACTAGGGCTGATAAAATTAGACAGAGGATACTCAAAGAAATAATTTCGATAGATGAATACACATTAAATGATAATAAAGATGGGATTTCGTCTATTATATCAGATGTTATGTTCAAATAAAACTAGGATACCAGCTCACCTGCAAATTTGCAGCAGCTATGGAGTCCTCGGCAGTTTTTGTGTGAATCGGAAAGATCATTTTGCCCAAGAGATGGACTCCGTTTGCCTAAAAGTTTCCAAAAAAACTTTTAATACAGAAGCTGGGTTGTTTAACGAGAAGAACTTAATGAATAAAGCGTAAAAATATATTTGCCTCATAGACAAAGCTGAATATCACTTGAGAAAGAAGGGTGGCATGCTTTTTAAAATTGGAACAGCTTTTTTCAAAAATAGTCCATTGTTTTTCAAAATTCTTAGTAATTTCATAAGAACACCAACAGTTTTTTTGCAATTTCTCGGGAAGACAATGTTATGAAAGTCTTAAAAAGTGGTAAGCACTAGAGATCTGGCCGAAAAACAAACTTGTTTTATATAAAACAAACAGGAAACTAAAATATTTCGGATGCAATCCCAAATTCAGTTTCTTTTATGTGGATACATACTTCAACTGTCAAATTAATTAATTGAATTGCAAGAAGGATCATAAAAGATTAAATTATGTTATAAGATTGCAGGAAAGAACAAATAATACTTAGGGTGATGCAAACCGTTAAATGTCATTTTGCTAAGACTAAAAACAATAAAAATGTATGTTTTTGACTGCAATAGAACTCTCTGATTAATTCCTTTCAAAGAAGTCTGCATCACAGCTCAAGTCGGTACCGACCACAGCTCGTCCCATTCTTGTCACAATTACACGGGGATTTAGATTCAGGGCATAATTTAAAAGCTAGCATACATTAGCCAGGGGCCAAAATTACTCAAGACCAAAACTGCTATTGTATGAAATAAACAAAATAGTGGTAAAATTATCAACAAAGAGACCGTTTGAGCAACAATATTAGTTATATGCTAGTATAATTTGACGCTTACTGCAACGATATGTTGTGCATTTGAGTCGTTCAGCACCAATTCAGTAATTGCTGCACAAACAGCTAAAAAAAGAAGAGTGATGAGAATCAAAGCAAATAAGACGACTTGAGGCTCAATTCAATCAACTTTAACTAGAGTAGTCTGTGCATTTACTGGCAAAATGCTTTCTGATTCATTCATACTCTGTTGGAAAAGCCAGCCGTAGAAATTCAAAGAACTTAAACGATCCCGTTCAGACAGTTGATGCGCATGCGCAATTCCCTAAAGACATTATCTTCACAGACCCTGGTTCGGTTACTGAAAGACTTCCATGTTTATCTCATGCAACTCACGACAAAATATTACTAATATCTATCCGTCGTCAAATGTGGAAATAGAAAGTATTTCTAAATACGTGAAAACATAATAATCCCTTTCTTTCGTAAAAATTTTCTAATCATATTCGACAAACACTCAATTCTGACATGCTTTATCTAGAAAAAGCAAGAAGCATGGGAAAAACAGATCTTAGATTGTCCACTGTCTCTTGAAATTTTTCTTTTACTGATTTTCTTTCTTTCCTTAAGACTTTTGCTTACAAGATACAAAACACACAAGTCCTGTTGTCTATTTTCAAGAGTGTTTCGATAGCAAGACCTTCAATTTTCAATGAGTTAGCCGAGTAGTCGTGATCTATCTAATTATAGAACGGAATTTAACAATTCCACAGAAATCTTGAAATATTTTAAGCAGAGGATAAGCACAATCATGATTTGAATTCATTAAAATCTTTGACAAAAACTTTGTGCACAGAGCAACTCTTCGTATTTGGAACACCAAACAAGATGATGAATAAAATCTGCCCTTAAACCTTTTGGATATGCATAGGTGCTCAATTTGTAGAACAAGAAACTGCGTGGATATTTCATTTCTGATGTACTCGAATAAAAAAGTTCACTATTTGGGACTAAATGCTTGGAATGACAACCCTACCACCACCAGGGAGCTCTCTACATTGTAACAATTTAAAACACCTCAAAGTACATTTGAGGAGCTGAATTTAACTAAAACACTACTCCCTCGAAGATCAGCTTCACATTGGTTTTTTTAAATTGCATTGATATACTTTTCGTATGCTTGTGTATTTTAGTTTTGTTTTGGTGGGGAGATTGTTCGTGTATAAGCAACGTAAAGTAATAGTAAAATTTGTTTGGAAAATTTGTGCTATCTTTAAGATGATAACAAAGTCTTAAAAGAAGAAATAAGTGGAGCAGCAAGGTGGAAAGCAATTAACATTGTTATACTTTTCAAGTCTATTCAAGTCTAAAGCAAAAAATATTTGTTCTGGATTATTAATTCTTACAAAATATCTTTTATCTCTTGAGAGGATAAACATTGAGTAATCAATGCAAATAAAATTTTAAGATCGTATTAAACAAATCGAAAAGCTCTTATTTATTTCGGGTTTAAAACCAAAAATTTTAAGGAATCAGAAATAATATATGGGAAACAAAATTTTCCAATGAAACAATACTTTGTAGATTGGAAATAATCAAACGATCTCAAGGGGATACGAAATGCTAGTTTGTGACATGCAAATGATGAATTGAATTGACTTGGACAGATTAAATGAATGTCTCGACACTTTAATAAATGACTGTCAAATTGAATGGAAAGAGGTGTCCTCCTTCATTTTACCAAAGTCTTTGATTTAACGAATGGAAAGGTTTAAAATACTTGGAAACACTATTAAACTAGCAAAACATGGAAGCTTGGCGTGATGGAGATTAACATTAAACCTTGATTTAAAAACCTATTAAAATTTCCCATTAACACATTATCATTGGTGCAAATAATGGGCCTATAAAGAACGCCGAAATTCCATTTGAAATTAAGACTTTGGAAGATAAATTGGTTCTTATGAAATTTTATGCCAACAATATAATGATAACGATGACAAGTAATAATGGGTCAAATGTACTGTTATTAATCTGACAAACTGGGCTTCAAATAATCTTGCTTAGTACAAAGTATTAAACCAAACCTGATTTTAAGAACAAGCGCTGTTCTAAAGAGGCATCTTCAGTCTAGAAGAAAATGGGAATAAAAAAAGATCAAAACTTCAGACTTTCCAGTTTCCTGTAATTTTTCAGCCATTGATAATTTACATCAACAAACGCTTCCCGTTTTTCGAAACGTCTTTCTAGGAAATTAATTGTTTCTAAAAGACATGAGACAGTTATTACGTAAAGTAATTTACAAACAATTAAGACAAAATCATTATTAATTGGGGGTATATAATTTCAAAAGAAAGTGAAATTCAATGTACCAGAGGCAAAACAGGTGTTCGCGTCAAGTCAGCACTCTTAAGATTTGATGTATTTCTGTCCATCACATAATTCTTTTCCCTTTAAAGAAATTGAAGTTAAGAAAAATACAAAATCCATGAGAAAAAGCCAAAAAATTCGAAAATGAAAGATTTTCATGTTTCAATAATAACAATAAAAAGTACTAGAGTTTTCACTTCAAAGCCTCAATTATTGGTCAGTTTACTGGTCAATTAAAACTTCGATAGATAAGATCTAACGACTTACTGCAATAGAGAGAGAAGCAATGGAATTCCTCCAAGATGTCGAATTTCATCACGAGTATCTTGATCCGTCGACAGCTGCACTAAAATCCATACCTAGAATAAAATATTTAAATAGCATATTTTTAAACGAAGAAGAAATAACTTGAAAGAAGAAAGTAAGCAAATTTAAAGTAACGACATTTCGAGCGTAGCTCATGATTTAAAATGGTTCAAAAGCTAGCTTTTGGAAAACAGCATTTCTAGATAATAAATTTTTGTTTATTCGTAAATGTGCAAGTTGTAAATAATCATAAATCATAACTTTGACCTTTATAAGAATCAAGAGCATTTATAACTTTAAAGTGTTTCTCAATAAATCTCAGTGTGGCAGAATGAAGGTTTTATGGCAAGTGAGTTGCTGAGAAAGTATGAGTACATACCACGTTTAGAAGTAGCTTTATATTTTCAGAGTCCAGCAAACTGCAAATAAAGGCAGAATTTTAAAAATGCATATGACAGAATGGAGACGATTCGTTTTCTTATAGGTAAAATTTTTATTTCACTCTCAAACTCATAAATCATTCTTATTGTTTTTACCATAACTTTCCTTGCCTAAACAATTAATGGCTTTGAAAAAAGCAAACATTTAGTAAACTAAAGCTTTTCGTCTGACACTCTTCAGAGTTTAAAACGTCAGAACATAGATCAAAAACTCTACGCTAGGAAATATATTAGCCCAGTTGTGGATCGAAATAGGCCAATCAGAAACACGAGCACATGACTGTATAGGTTTGCCAATCAGTGCTGCTTGCCTATTGTGAATGTTACCAATGGAGTCCTAAGGTGAAAACGAACTCCTTTTGTCTACACAGTAGCGGTTTTTTCGTGCTTATGTAGATAGATTCTAAAACTGCTAGGTGGAACGACGATCGGGCTTTACCAATAATCCGAAACATGTCGCTATTATAGTTTTTTGCACAACCTGGGTTTTCTAGTAAATGCTGCCCGATAGCAGAATCGCAGGTTTAGTTGTAATTTTAGATTTGCAAGACCGAGGTGGCTGTTCTCTTTGCGGATGGGTTTTGTTTCTAATATTAGACGGAACAATAACCTCAGAAGACTAGGTTCAGCAAAACAAAGGCCTTCGAGTCTCAATGTGTTTCAATAATTTCCTTTTGTAATAAACACGGAGAAACTAGGTCAATTACTTTTAGACACAGCAAAGCAGGTCCCTCTACTGCCTTGTTCATCACACAGATACCTGGAAATTAACTGAATAAACACGATTTTGAAAATAGTACATACTCTATTACCCCGGATACAGGTGCATGTGCAATTAACCGAAATTTAGGCCATTTTGAGTTTTAAGTAGAAAATTTGCACATTTCATAGCCCGTGTGTCATTTAGAGAAGCATTATGTGCTCTGAACTGGCCAATTTAAGGAAATAAGATTTGAAAAAGATACAAAATAATCAAAAAAGCAAGAAATGCGTGTAAAGAAAAAAAAGATAATTTACTTTGAAAGAGGTTTCAGTTACTGGGTTGGGTTTACGTAACTTTATAATTATTGCTAATGGTTCACAAGCATCGATATGCTCAATAAAGTTATTCATCAATTATTGCTAGTAGCTCTTTCAAACTTCACTCATGGCCATTTTCGAAAATAAATGGCCGAACCACAAAAAAGTTGCATTGTCCATTACGTCATCTTAAATTTTGCCAACTCTGACACAGCCCTGTGCAGTTACTCGAGCGGTGCTTGTAACCGGGGTTATTGGGTCAGATTGATAAAAATTATAGTGCAGTGCAAATTCTAGTGCAAATTCACCTTTGAAAAACTAAGATAGATTTCTATACCTCAAAAGTGCAGGAACCCCATCGAATACTTTTACTTGTTCTCTGACATGCACATCAGCACATAACGTTCTCAGCAGATTTATAGCCAGCCTGTTTTGTAAAAAAACCATTTATTGATTTATATGATATTTAACATTCTAATTTGTTAACTTGTTAAAAATCACAATTGAGAGAAAATGTCAATGATATAACTTTCTCACTAGTAATCTAACTTAAGGAGCAGAAGATGAAAAATCATGACACTTAATCAAATCTGAAATCATCGGTAGAGACAATCTTGACGAAACCAAATTCTTACTATCATCATACAATTTACAGAAGCCTAAATATCAGCAAACTCTTGTAGAAAATAACTTCTGGTCTCTGAGTTCTGAGAGAATCATGAAGAGCCAAATTCAAAACTATAACACCTTAGGGTGGAGTGCCTGTCAAAAGTCTTGGTACATTAAGGCAAATGCTTGAATATTTTAAACTGTACCCCACTCACCAGAACAATGTTGTTTTGTGCAGTGTTAAGAGGCTCGATCGGATCCATTTCAGATGCCAATCAAATTTAACTCTACATCCAATATTGTTTTGGCTATTGGAGGAGTGGGATGTTGGCATTTTTACCAGAAACAGTTTGTTCTTTCAAAACACTTAAGCAATGGGCATTCCAATGACTTTCAGTAGAGATTGTAGCTAAACATGACAAATTTGCAGAGACTATGCGAAAAATTATCAGATCAAATATCACTTACTGTTTTGTAACGATGTCATAGTCCTGGACTATCCTGATTAGAACATCAACACAGTTTAACTCTCCAATAACAGCTCTTGGGCGTTCGCTAAAATATCAAATCGCAAAATTTGCTTACTCCGGATACACAATACAGCAAGTAAAATTACATCAATTAGATCAAAATAAGACAAGGGCTGATGCACTCAAATACCACTAGGCGCCGAAGAAGCACTTCAAATAGGGGAGATCCATTAGCACAGCCAATAATACCGATACAGTATTACTCTCAGCACACAATCCAATTCAAAACTTTTGTCCTCGGCTGTTATTCAATGTGCCTACTTCCATTCAGTATGCACGCAACAAGTTTGGGTTAGGCCATAAAAAGAAGGCAGAGGCTATCAAAAAACGATACCCGAAAAAATAATCCCGAAAAAAGTATCGCCTTCCAGTGATTTAGTGTTGAGGTATAGAAGTAACAAGTGACAACAAGTACCTTTGTCCCAATCCAATGAGAGCGTACAACGTCGAATGCAGAATAGAAACATCGGTGCAAGACAGCAGCATTATAAGAACCTGTTGGAAAGAAAAATGACAATTGGATAAAATTTTTGCATTTGAAACTACAACAATTTAGCAAGTATAACAAGCTCTTATCAATATTGTTTTTCAAAAGACAAAATACACAGATAAATCTTTTTATATCAAAATATCATATTTCATATTAAATGTAAAATTTTAATAGCATGTGAAAAAATAAATCTGATTTCGTGCAATGTGACAAAACTAGCGACAACAATCACAAAGTTGGAGACAAGCACAGCTATGAAGATCGTGTAAACAAAGACAACCAAAACTTCCAGGGCGAGCGATTCAACAACAATAACGACGACAACAAAGAAGGCTAAAATGAAGATGACAACGAAAATAAAGGACACAATAACAAAGGCTTTTAATCCGTTTCGACAAATGAATCATCGACTTCCTGTAAGAAGCAAAGAACAAATGATTGACAAGGTAACAAAGAAACAGATGAAGTACCTCATGTAACCCGCATGCAACGATCCAATCCCTGTGGTCAGAATCGGCGACAATTTTCTGGCATATGTCTGTTCGTGTGGAAGAAACACGATTTAAATGAGGTTGTCCTCCATTCACAATTGTTAAAATGGATGCTCTGCCATTCAAAGCTTTTATTTCAAAGGTTTGACAATTATTTCATATAATCCTTTGGCAGTTTATTTTTAATTGCATACTCACTTGTCATTTCTTTCAAGATTCCAAGAGTGAATTCTCTTTCGCCATATTCAAGATATTGTTCTGATGTGGCTTTTAATTTCTGCAGAAAACAAAAGTTGGATCACAGTTGAAAAGGGATTAGAAACTGGTATATTCAGCCGATGAAAATGCTCATTCAGAAAAGGATTCATGATTGTCAACTAAGGGAATAAATTATGAGATTCATCAATTGAATGTTATTATATATGATACAAGGTTATCAAGTGACTTACATTAAAATGTCAATTCATTTCAAGTATATTTGTATACTACAGAAGAAGAATACTACATTAATACTGTAATACACAAGACCCAAGAAAAATCATGTACTTAAAAGCATTACCTAATATAAAAAAAGTTACCTGGGTAAAATGCTTGAGACCCTGCATCTCAATGAACGCTTTCTGAAACAGATTCACAACGCCATGAGCAACAAAGGTGATTTAAAAACTGAAGAAAACTCAAACAACAAGGAAATAACTAATTTCAAAAACTGCATAATTGTTAATTGCTTCAAAAATAACACGATCACTGCAACAATTACAAAGTAACAAAACTTTCAGTAGCGATGCGTCGTCAAAAAGTTAGCTCAAAATGATTCTGTGACCAATGCTCCTTCCATGATTGGTTGTTATCTAATGTTTTTTTACTCCGTGGACGAAAAATACTTTCAGAGTTTAGCAACAAGAATTGTTATATTCATTTTTGAAATATAAAGGATACCTGATACGACGGATCGCGGATAAATATCCGAAGACATGATAGGATCCGCAGAAGCTTGTCCTCTGAAGCTCGGTTGTTCCATTCTCTGAAACAAAAAATTTCATTTCAGCAAAAACGAAAATTGTCAGACAGTTCGCAACAACTTCCCCTGGATAAAAAGCAAGTCTCCTTCAGATTTATAACCTTAAAACCCACCCTCAGCACCTCAATTTATTGTTGAAGCCGCTTGAATTGCTTTTGGATGTTGTGATTACAACTGCAACATTGATTTGAGGGAATGGTTGGGGGATAAGGCTATTCCTGTTACAATTATTATCTTTAATTTTCGAAAGTGAAACCTTACCTTTGACAATTTTGTCCAAGACAATAACAAATCGACAAAGTACCATTGACAGGTTTTAAAAGTTCTAGCATAAATTTTAAATTTTTAAAATATTGAAATCTAACAGTAGCGATAACTAACCATTATGGCAACTAGCCATGGGAAACAAAAAATGAACTGAAAAATCAGAATTCTGTCTTTCTGACAAGCCTGAGATCAAACACGGATAATTTGAAACCCTATACCACAATCAAGATTTGTACTCTCAATTAAGACTTGCAAGGGAATTCTTTTGTCGTCACTATCAAGAAGTGACTCGAGATTCTTCTAGAAAAATGCTTTGCCTATGAAAGTTGATTCATTAAAAATATGTGAGCCTGTAGATAAATGAAGATTACTGTTGACCGTTCTGTTATACAGTTCCAGATGTTTTAAAAAAATGTTGGAATTGCTAGATGATCGCATTAAGCAAGAGACCTAAAGTGCAACTAAAATTCGTCCTGTTCTATACATTATATTCCGCTAATTGGGTTAACTGGGCAAAGTCCACATACGTGAGCACAGCAAAAACAATAAAGTGATTGTTATATAGACACCTTAAATCCTCAAATTAGTCCTCGAGTTTTTCAAAGGAGGCTTGTAACGAAGGGGAACTTATAAAAATCACCTCCATGTTGCAATACAAATAGCTTGTTTTGTAGCTTTTCCATCAAACCAAAGCATGCATGAAAGCATAATAAGATAATTTAATCTCAAAGGTTGATGTGTTCATTTTCTTCGATGATATCTTTATCACTTTCTCCGTGATTTTTCTTTTTTTTCATTCACCACAGAACGTTTCATCAACCATGGGGTGCAATTGTGTAACTTTCAGTTGCATTAATACGCAAAAAGCGGCAAAAAGCGACAGGCGGGGCCTAATTCTATGATGGGGGCTTATTAACAATTTTTACTTCAATGTTTAAGGCTTTATGAGAAAGGGGGGCTTATAAGAGAGAAGGGGGCTTATACGACAGAAGGGGGCTTTTACGAGAGAAGGGAGCTTATACGAGAAAAGGGAGCTTATATGAGAGAAGGGGGCTTATACGAAAAAGGAGGGCTTATATGAGGGGGGCCAATGCGAGGAATTATGGAAATCTAAAAAATAAAAGATACTCACAAGCTACATAGCCTCTGTTTGACAATTTTCTCGAATATCTTTAAGAACAAAAGTTAAAATGTTCATGTCGAGTTTTTCACAAAACAATCAATTCTTGTAGCAAAAATTTTGCAAGGCAAATGCGATTGCTTCCTTCAAACCTTTATTATAACACAATAGAAAACAAGACAATTTCATGTCCACAAATTGTCGACAAATCTAACCCGTAAGTCAATCTAACATATGTTTGAAGCAATAAAGTATATCACCTTTTTCACAATTATAGAAAGAATTGATCCTCTCACATACTTTCCTGGCACACTCAATTCTTTAGAAACACAAAAACGTAAAATTGAATAACATTAAAAAGAAGACTTAATAAGCAACAAAGAGCTCTTTTATCAATTCCATTCATCTCAATGAAACAAGAAATAGGTGCCTAATCTTCCAAAAGGATCATTTCAATCTTTTTTTTAAAAGTAGGATTTTCCCGTGGTTTCTTAACTTTGAGGGTGATCAACTTTGAGGGTGATCAGTAAGTAGTACTATAGCACTCGATTTTTCGATCGGGTCGCCTTTTTATAGACAGATTCTAATATAAATATGAGTGTATATGCAGTCTAAATTTTATGTGAAAAATTTAGAAAAGATTCCACTGTATCTCAATGGGCACAAGATGCACTGAATTGTTTGTTCTTTTGCAGTCATTACGCTTCCATATACATAGCGAAATACAATATGACGAATTTTCTTTAGACTTGTTAGAAAACACAAAGAAAAGTCATTTCAGGATCGTGGCACGCATGTATTCATCACGTGACACAATACTTGTTCCTTAACGTAAACAAATCTAAATCTAATCGGGTCTTTTTCCGAAAATCTTTCTTTCTGCTCTTCAATACATTTTTCGCGATACTTTGCCCTTTGGCATAATTGCATGATTTGTAAATTCCAAAAATATGATTAGCTTAAGAAATGCAGCAAACCAATACTACGCCACAGGCAGTTTAACAAAATTGATCCTTATAACAGGAACGGCGGGAGTAATTCTTTAAATGAATTTAGAATCATACAATGAACAGTCCTGCTTTTGGCTTTCAGCAAGTCAAGTACCCCCAATACTTATAGCGGTCTCTCTCCAATCAAAAACTTGTTTATGTGTTGAAAATCAAATAAGAGGAGACTCGTCGACATCTGATCTATGTTCTTCGAGCCTCATCGAATCAAATTGTTAATAACCTGAGCAGAAGGGTCGCGCATAGAACTTTACTTAATCATCAAGCAAATAAGAGGTTCCATCTTAACTTTTCCATTGTCAAAGTTTGGCGACTTAATTTTCTGTTGTGAATGACCTGTTGTCAAAGACGGACAAAAGCTGAAAAGCTGCCCAGCAATGTATTTCAATGATGATTATAGTAGTATTTTCATATCCAAATACTAAATACCAAACACATGAACTGTATTCTTTGCATTAGTCTCTAAACATAGAAGACTTAGTCCTCGAGGGTATTTGCTTTGTCACTAGCAATTTTGAAATGTTCTATTTTTTAGCAATAGTGGATCAAAGAAAGACCATTAGCTTCACAATTACCTGTTTGAATAAGGGTACATGAACACCAGAGCTGAAGTTTCTCTCATTTTTAAACCTTGAACTGAAAAGGATTTGTCCATTATATGTTAGGAAACAGGCTTTGACAAAAAACAAGATAATTAGAAAACATGTAACAAGACCTTTTTATAAACCAATTGTATTTGATGAAGGCTATAGCTAAGAGCCTTGCTTTGATAAAGTATGTGTACAGATTTATAGATGATTAGGGTTTGGATTTATGTTCTTTTTAAATGGGAACAGGATTGTGACATCTAATATACTTGTTTTACAGCAAATGAGACTGTTTGTTGGCTAGATAAAATCATCAGATATTTCATAAAATCATAATTTTCAATTAACCCAATTTATCAAACTTAATGATCAGGAAATTCTTTTGGCTAGAAAATTTCAAGTAATCAAGCAGAAATACAAAACAAAGAAATCTGAATCGGGCTTCTAAATCTATCCATTTAGTTCTCTATCTAAAAAATTGCAATGCTTCTGCCATACATCTACAGCAAAAAAGATGGTTGTGGGACACATTCGAGAACATATCAGAATGAACAAGGTCTTAGGTACAAACAGAAATGGAATGATTGAATGAATAACCCATCTTTATTAATTGTAAGATATATATGTATAAACATCAATACCAAAACTGCTGGAGCAAATCAACTTCCTTGTCTCCACTTTTGGTCTTGGATTTGGGGCTTGAAGTTGGTGCCTTTTCATCTAATTTCTTGGGCAAAGATGGTAACTATAAGATAAATAACAATGTGTACGTAATTAACTACAAAATGAAAAATTATCTTTTATATCATAATTCAGGACAACCTATTTTAAAATTTACACCTGAATTGAAACTAGCAAGCTGATATTGAAAAAGAAGAAACTTTTAACAACAAGGCACTTTAAAAATTTAGATGTCCCAATATGAAAGAAGGCACACAATAGCAGGAACATCCACACTGAAGTAATCCCATATTCTCTTCAAAGTATAAACTTCAAAGCAAAAGTATTCAGAATATTTGCAGTTTACTTTTGGTCAGCATCTGATTTTTATACTATGAAGATTGTCAGACAAAAAGTATTTCAGTATGTGATGTTTCCTCTTTTTCTGTTGCCTTCAAATTTTGCAGTACCAAAAACTAATAACATTATTTGATTGATTGGGTTTCCTCTGATTTTCAGATCAGAATAATTCTTAACACAAAAGCAGCAATACCTGTTATTAGCAAACACTTTGTGATAAGCAGAATTACCTGTTGTTTATGTAGTGGGGTGCTAAGAACGGATAGCAACCTTTGCAACTCATGGGACTCCCTAGAAGAATTAATAAGTTTGATGTTAATTAATGAATGATGTTGTGTTCTACAATAAAAAATTTATAAGCCTATATATAGATCTGAAAATCAACATGACTGGCAAGGGCCTAAGACTTTAAAACATGAACAAAATTCAAATTATCTCCTTTTTATGATTTCAATAGGTGGGCTTCTTTTGGACACTGATAAAAAGAATCTTAAAAAAGACATTTTTTGTTGACTACCTAATTAATGATTCATTTGCCTAAACTGGATGATTATTTGGACTTTAAGCAGTGGCATATTTGATGGGTGTGAAACTCTGTGATACTTCGTGCATTTTCATAGCTGGTTTAAACAGTTGAATACTTTGGCAAAATCAAAATGGCAACAATATTGTTTTCATCAACTCATTAGTGCATTGGTGCCACAAAATATATTAGGGGCTTGGAAGCATTGTCTGGAACTAAACCATTGAGACAAAAAAGTATAATTTTAAACCATGGCCCTACCATTTAGAAATTTCAATTTCATATCAGCATGGACCACAATTGCAAGATTCTGATTAATATCTTCAATTTGTTGTTGGGCAATGGGGTTCCATTTAGCATTCATGTTATACCAAGGTTGTACCATGATCATTTCAGTGCCAAACCATGGTTAACCATGGTTGAAAAACATGGTCTGACCATGATACAACCATTACTAAACATGGTTTTGCCATGGCTTTTTCACGGGGGCAACAAACCTTTAAAAACTGTTTTTCATGGTTTTCAAGGTTAATGCTAATTCACATTAAGTTTTTTCTAAAGCTGATATATTTGAGTTGAAAAAGTCTCATTTTAGACCACAATAAGTTCATTGCAAAGAAAAGACTTTTAGGATTCTGAAATTTTAAAGTAAAATAAGTATCTGTTTTTAAAATCAGCTTGCAATATTCTCCCTCAGAAACAGAGTAGAAAAATTCAGTCATCAATAACTCATGCATGTTTAATCATCATCATCATCAGTCAGTTACATTTGAAACAATTATAACAATACGCCAATTGTCTCTATTGCTCATCAGGTTTTGGTACAATAAAAAATCATTTGGTATGTTATATGGTATATATTTTTTGGTATATTATCATATTATTGCAATGCAATAAAAAGGACCTAATTTCATTCAAAATAGAAATGATCAGTGCATTAATGAATAAGTTTGAAGTAGGAAGTGCAGAACATTTAATAAAATTTCTAATGCTGCAAAAGGTTAATAAAAAAATGCAAATATTGAAGAATCCTCTTCTTTGAAAGCAACTCAATCTACATCGTTTATATTGGGAATAGAGGTAATCCAGGATCCACCTACCCAAAAGGTGACATGTTTTGTCATTGTATTCAATACATTACCATACCTTCAGTCGTATTCAATATTCTGTTGAGGTGCTGCAGTTGCATTGGTTCAAAATAAACACAAACCAAATTTTACCTGTCTCTATTCTTGCGCTTGGCATCACTTCTTTCTTCTCTTGACATGTTTACTTGACAGCATTATTCGAGACTAATTCTGAACCAAACACCATTTTAAACCTAAAGTTTGACAGAGAAAATCCTTTGAAAGATGTTCAACGAACATTTCACTTGTTTGAATGAACTTGCTTTTCAATCGAAGAAGAGATTATCCAAAAATGGGTACCATTAACCAAAAACGATGTAAGCTAACAAGAAATTCCGATGAAAAATGAAGCAAATATCTATTTAACGATTACTGAGATATGAATCTATGTGATCACCTGCAAATTATGAGAGACAAAGAGAAACATCGCCATGTTTACAAATGGTTACTTCTTCCACGCGAAATCAGTTGCCCGGTTGCATATCGAGCGTGTATTTTGCGGACCAGAGAGACAGATTGAGCAAAAAAGCAGCAGCAGCAACACCCAATGCTTTTTTCTGTTACCTTCCTGAACGAAATGCCTTTCTTCTGCTCGCATTTTGCAATGCTAAATGGTATTGGGGACTGGGATATCTGGGGACTGAGATATCTGGGGGACTGGGGGCCTTGGCCATTCATACTTGAGTGCCATACTTTGAATGCAAATACGTTACAATTGTTGCAAAATGGTTACAATTATATTACACTACAGGGTGAGAAAAAAGTCTTCTTTTACCCGGCAATGCAGACAAAGTTTTGGGGGGTACAGTGCCCTACCCATACCCCCATTTGCGACGCTCATAATTAAAGGGCTGAAGCCTCCAAGCCCCTTCGTCTCCTACGGCTCATTCCTTTCGTAAATCATCGTAGAGATAAAAGGAAATCTTTTTTAAAAACTATCAAAGTTGGTAAACTATCAAAAGATTATCCAGGACATGTGGAAAAATTTGTTCTACTCTTACGAAATCTACGTTTGCGATTCCCTGGTTTTAATGTCATCTTCACTTATGCAATGTGGTATAAGTTTGGGGAATAAAACCAATTTGACAAGTATAAAACCAATTTTCTAATTGCAAAGATCTATTTCACTTTAAATTGTTATGCCGTATCTGATTACAGACATTGACGATCAGTGACTTCCAGTTTTCCCTGTCATCAGCTTTTTCAATTAAAGTTCCAGCATCTCATTGGTATGCAGCTTCAAACTATCCATGTATGTTCTTACTTGCATTCCCCTGTCTCTTTTACCTTCAATTTTGCAGTAACAGAACATAACATTGATAGAAACAATTAGAAAAAGACAACTTGAGTCTTTAAGACACTTGTGCAGAAAGAAAGGTTTAGAACCTCAGCTTTTGACGGGTAAAATTGAAGGTAAAATGATATATACAAAACATAAATCAAAGCCGAAGATGTATCAATTATACTGCAGGGTGTGCATGGATGGAGAGAACAGTTTTTGATAAACAGATTGATTTTAAGATTTCCTTGACCAGACCCGCCTATCCAAACCATTCTCCTGAAATTGCAAATGTTAGTTTATCCAACAAAGTGGCTCATTTCTCAGGTATCAACACCTATTCTGTAAACTTTGTAAATTTCGTCAATTACAGCCATACTAACAAGCACTGTATGTATGTAATATTTGTAAATTTGTTCTCAATGATATTGAAGATAGAGTTAAAAGGAGCTTTCCATTCTCATAGGAAGTGATCGACCATGATAGGAGGGGGGCTCTGCCCCAATTTACGTTTGCTGACATAATATGAGTAGTTTCTAAATGAAGATATATTTTTGATCGATTTGGGATTTATTTTGGCAAAATATCTAATTAAAATATCCACATCAAACTACTTCAATTGTTTCAAATCTCGATAAAACAGGAAAAAGGTCACCTTGTTGTTTTATATCCTCCAAATTTATATCCCTTTTTTATGACACTAGTTGTTCGAAGAAAAATGTTCGAGATCTTAGTTAGAAGAACTGATCATTAAAGAAGTTTCTGGAAACTATGTCAGAAAAGACTTTTTTAAAGCTTTAAAACACGCCCAAGGCCAGAGACTTGCAACAGTATTTTTTTTATTAAACATGTGAAGAAATATCATCCTTTCCTATGGGTAGCTAGTAAATACTGGCTTCCTATAAATGCTTCTATAAATTTATCCTTTAGTTAAGTTAGCAGAAAAGCTATTTTACAAAAGAATTGAAATAAACAGCTTAAAGAGATCTCATTTAAATTCACTTTTTCAGAAGTTTTTTTAAATTAGAAGGTATGGAAAAGGAAATTTCACGAACTGATTTGAAAATTTTAAGCCATTTCCTCAATTTTTTAAGATGCGATTATCTGCAAAAATCAAGGGACTATAATTTCACGAGTTATGAACTGAGTTTAACCTCGAGATTATCATCCTACAGATAAAAATTTTAACCTATTAATTCCTATGAATCTCTCAGAAATGCAAGATAGAGACGAAAGAACAAATACAATCATTTTCTATCTGACAAATTTTTAAAACCAAAACGATACTCTATTTACAAATTTTCAGCAAAATTGTCTAACATATTTTGTAAAAATAACACTGGCGTTTTATGACATACACCTGAAGATCCATATTAAACTTATAAAATACGAAAATCAAGTAGTATTTTCACCAATTAAAACCTAGACGCTTTCCTGATTTGCCAACATGTCCATACGCCTTGTCATGAGTTAAACCGTCCTTTCGATAATACGGTAGCTGGACTCCCGTTGCGTCACAAGTCGGGTAACTCGGCCTTAGGCCTCCGATCCCGTCAAACTTGGGTCCAGTTCCTCCACCTGGACCTGATGCTGCAGCTTTGACAAGCGGATAGGGGTTTCTACCTTTCGACTTTGCCTCACCAATGACCTTCTGGGCGTAATCTTGAAACTGCTCTTCTTCTTTGACAACTAATTCGAGGATTTTCTTGTCATATTTGAGCTGTTGTTTGCGAGCAACTTGTTTTTTTTCCTTCTTATGATTCTGAAGAGAAAATGTTTTAAAACCTTACTAAAATGATGTCAGTTGAAAAAGACTCAATTTTTAAAAAAAAATCAATGCCAAAGTTAGATTACAGGAATCCTGAAAAGTATCCTGCATCCGTAATTGGGGGGACGGGGGCTGGATGATTTGAAACTAGCTCAATTTTCTGCGAGTGTCTCAGCATTTTTTGCCAGGGGTGTGGAAGTAAAACATGAGGATATCCTATCAAAGTATTGTGTCAGCATTTCCGAATTCCACTACCGAAAAACTCCACAAAATTGAAACTTTATTTTCTCGTAATCCAACCTATTAGTCAAAATGCAAGAGCTTTGTTACTGAAAATACATGAAATATCAAAATATGCAAATTCACCAGCAGATAAAATTTCACCAAATCTGTTGATAAAAGGACCTCTTAAAGAATTGAAGACGTGAAGGCACTAACCATTTGATCCTTAAGTGTCTTCTGATTTTTTTGTGATTTTACTCGATTGTTCAATCTCTTTTCTTCCATCTGCTTTTCATACTAAAAGAAGAATCATTGTTAAGTCACTTTCAATGCTGAATTGTTGTTTCAAATGAACATATAGATGCAAAGGAGCAATTAACTGAAATTGACAAAATTTCAACGACAGTATATCTTCAAAAAAGTCTTAAAAAGATGAAAATTATAGGTTTGGTTGTTTATTTTGCTTTCCCTAACGAGAAATCTAAAAAAACATTGACTCGGATGGAAAATTAGATCGAGCAAGACTAGGCATCTGAAGAAAGCCAGATAAGGTATTTACCTCTTGATCTTCCAGGACACGGATCTTTAAAAGTTCCTCGTCCTTTGTCCGTTCTTGTTCTTTCACATTCTCCGCGTACTCAATCTAAAACACGGAACATAACGGTGAATAACTTGTTTTTATCCAAACAGAACTGACAATGAAAGAAGCGCAATTCAAAATTTGTTTTGTAATATAAATCTAGAGCAATATATCGATAGAAAGATTTCTTTAGATAAACCAAGTTTTAAAGGACCGGATATTTATTTCGTCCTACCGGAGACTTCGTTATCTAAGGGTATATAGTAGGAACCGGCTTGAGCTCGTTGTACCCGAAAGGCTGTTATATAGGAGATATTTGTAACCGAGGGTCAATTACAGCGGAACAAGGGGGCAGAGAGGAGGCAAATCTTTGGCTCCTTATACCGTGGTATTTAATGAAAAGGGGTGGGGGTACGATGAATCGATGTCCAACTGATATGAGGACACCCTAGTCTTTTTCTGCTCATCAAAGCGTAAACGACAACACTTAAAATATTCAAATTACAGCTTGCAGTTCTCTTCTAAACATCTTGTATCATATGAAACGAACAACGTAGAAAACCGTGCACCAATTTAACAGAATACCTACCATGTTGACTCGGTGATCCCTTATGGACTGGAGCTCTTGTTCTCTTTGCGCGTCTTTTCGCTGTTCTTCTTCCTAGAGATAAGATCAGATAGCAATTTAGAACCACAATAAGCAAATATATGACAAATAGAATTAATCCCAAGTATCTATCGCCTAAACAGCAAAAGGATAATCGTCTGCAAGCATTGATAAACAACATAGAACAGTTTCATGCCTTCATAACAATTTTCGTGCAAGGTTCCAGACAAAAGTGATATGAGCAAAACATACAATAACAAAGCACAGAGCCTCGACAATAACTTTTTTGCCAGGCAGCAGTAAATCAACAGCACTAAGAAGTTTTTCATTTTCAGAACTATAATTGCTTTTCAAAATGCAATAAGTTTGCCATTAACTAGCCCAGGCACGATATACTTTGGGGTCACACAGAAATTAGCTATCATTAAAGCCCGTTGGCACCGCAAAGTTTGACAAAAGCATGGAAAAGCGGAAACATATATCATGTTAAAGAATTTTCTTTCGACACTCCTCGGAGCAAAGACGTCGTATAATGTCCAAAGAAGACAGAAAATGGGGGCCACCAGGTATCCATCCTGAATCACGCTTCCACGCGTAAAAAATTGGAAATCACGCTTTCATGGTACAGGAAATTAACTTTCGCGATCACGCCCCCTAGAATCTCTTTGAATTTTTAATAACTGTCTGATATTTCTTGTTGGCAGAGCCATCGGTATTGGAATCTCTGAATAATGTAGACATTCATTTGGCCTGGTACAGGAAAACAAGACTTTCTGCATATAGAAACGATACCATTCCAGTTCGAAATTCGCTTGCAGCATTCATTTTCACACAATCCCGCCATGAATAATGCTAATTCACAGGTCACGCGTGAATGTTAATTCACGCATAATAAAAATTTGATTCACAAATTCACGCATCGACCATACGCCGATCACGCAATCACGCCAAAATACCTGGTGCTCCTAAAATGTGTATCAAGATCCGGATCGAAAGTAACGTGAACGTAGGATATGCGATATTCTTCCTCTACGCTACTTTCGATCCACATCTAAATATAACTGTTTGATTATCCTTTATTAGAAGTTAGCTACTTTATGAATTAAAAGTAGAAAACATACCAGTCTCTTTTTCTCTTGCTCAGCAACAGCCTTTGCTATTCTGTCATCTTCATCGTCTACTTTTTGCTTCATTTGTTCATGCAGTTTTTTCCTCATGTTCTCAGTGTGATTTTGGAAAGCCCTAGGATTAAAAAATATGATTGAATTATGTTTTAATTAGGAACCTTGAAATCAACAAAGGCCTTACCCATCTAAAATAAATTCTAAACTGTCTCTTGCCAATTTAAAGTGCATTCTTTAAAGATAGCTATTAATCTTAAAGCTTTAAAAAGCAATGTTCCAAAAACGTATTAGCCTACAAAACAATTTTCAATTAACAGCAACAATCATGGATCATCAGAAGTTCCAAGCTGAAAAAAATTACATAAAGCTTTCTAAAAAGTTACTCACTGGAAAAGTTCAACTTCCTTCTTCTTACGCATTTGTATCATTTTCTACAAAAAAGAGATGGCATTGAGAAACCACTTTCTTAAGAAATCACAAAAAGGTGATGCAATGCAAAAAATAAGGCTTTTAAAACATCATCAGAAAACTATAAAGTAACGGAGAAGCTTCCTGAAACTTATGCAGGCTTGCAGTAATACAAGGCATCAATGATTTATTTGAAGACAATTAACTGTTATAATCTGCTTATAAATCAATAGAAAACAAGCAAACAGAAAGAACTAATTAGTACCTTTTTAGCATCTACAAATTTTCCAATTTCTACATCTTCAAGATATTCTTTCTCCTTTTCTTGCTCCAGGTGAATCTAAAAAAGCAAAATATTTCATAAATTTTCATATATTGCAACATGGTAAACCAAAGTTCTATAATTAGGAGATTTGTGAAAAATGCATTTTCATATTAATCTAGTACATAAATCTTCACATTAAATAAAGAAGACATTTAGTCACCTTTTTCAGCTCAAGGTCTTTTTTGTATGTTCCTTTCAAAGCTACTTTATCCTGTAAAAAAACAAAAAACAATTATGTTTCAAAAAAAGTAGATCTCATATTAAAAACTTATAAAAGAAGAAGCAGCAATCCTTTTTTAAAAGCATTTTCAATAGCATTTTTGTTAACAAACATGCAAAAAGATAGAATTAATAAATATACAGAAAACACTTACAGCTCGCTTTTGCTTGACAATGGCAACTTTGGCAGCTTCATACATTTCCTGCAAAAAGAACAGCAAATCTCAATTGCACAACTACTGAAAATATATAATTAATATTTCAAAAATATACTTCACAATATGCATTCTAACAATTACAGATCTTTTGAATAACCTTTAAATTGGAATTTCTAAATCTGAACATCTATACTCACAACTTGCTGCTTAATATTCTCCCCTTCTTTTATATCTTCAACTTTGACTTTTTCCTGCTCCTGTATATGATCTGTTACCCTACACAAAGTAACAAGATATTATCATTAATTTAAGAGCTACAATTTAAAGAAGGCATTTGCTTCAATATAACTCACACTGACTGCTGATTTGGACTATCAAATGTTGCAAACAGAAAATCTAATTCCAATGGAAGTGTTTCGAATACAATGAAGAGACATTTTCAATGCTACTTACTGCATCAATTGAAACTGTGCAATGGTTCGCTTTTGGTTGTATCTTTCGGCTGCTTTATCTTGGTCTCTTTTGATGCTTTCCTCTATTTCCTGTGATAAGTGAAATAAGAAATTAGATCATACATAAGGAAAAACGTTTTCCAAAAATTAGTCAATTTAGACAGAGCTAGTGTTTATTAGGTATCCTGATGACCTAACAGAATAATTTCCTCGAAAATTCACTAGAGCAATTAGTTTATTCTTGACTAGGTAGAAAATGAGAAGCTGAAAATATCGGCCAATCAATAATTTTATTCTGGAAATTCTTGATGGCACTTTTCAAAAATCTGACAATATTTGGAAGAAGGCAATGAAGTATCTATTTATCATTGAGGTTTGACCATAATCTACAATTAGCATGGAGCATCAAATATGTTCATTTAATTATTGATTGGCCTTGAATATACCATTAGAAAAGCACCTGCAATATATTAAGGATACTTGGCAACCTAATAAAGAACCAGCATTACAATGTGGACAAGCAATTGGTTTTCTTAAAATAAAAATCTTAAAAAACACAGATTGATATTTTAGATTTTGAAGGTGCAGTGCTTTATATATCCAGCTTGCTACATACCCTTTGATGAAGCTGATGCAAATAGGCATCTCTGTCTTTCTCCCAATTCTGTTTGCTTTTCTTTAACTCTATTTGTGCATCTCTTTCTTTCATCACTTCAGTTAACAGCAAGGCTCCCTTTTAAAAAATTAAAAAATACACATCTAAATTTCCTCAACAAAAAATAATAACAAAAAGCAATGATTTTGACTTATTAAACAATTGTATAATCTGCAAGCAAACATACATGGAATTCTTTCACTCTGTCTGTTTGATAATATTGCAATGTTTTGGCTCTTTCAATTGCCTCCTTCCTTTTCTCGGCTTGCAACTTAGCCTCTTCAATGTCTAATTTAACTCTTTCTTCCTGAAAAAAAGATACTCAAGATTAAGTCACTAAAGCATGGTCTTTCAAACATTTAAAATATCATAACTGATAAAAAAGTTCTAGGTGAATTGTGAATAGAAAAAAAGAAACATTTATATATAAAGACTAATAAATATATATATATGCCAATTTAAAAGAAGTTCTTGACTAACAAATGGAAAAATTCATATATAGTCTATACATACCTCCTCTTTTTCTTCTTTCAACTTCCTTGCATGGAGTTTTTTCTGCCTTATACCCTATCAGGTAAATTTTTCATTTGTCAGTTCTTAAAAACCAAACAAAAGACAAATGGTATTCACTATACAATATTACATATATGGAAGGCAATACTATATTTTCTCTTTCGAATCCTGCCCTTTGATAAACGCCTCCATCTATTTACATTACACTTTCAGCCAACCATCTGTAATTAATGCTACCTTTCTACCTCTTTTAAAAACTTTATACAAAAGTTGGATTTTGTAATAAATGCCACAGCATTCTTTAGAGAAAATATCTTACAACTTCATTATTTTTTAAACCAATCTTTCTAATATAAAAGAAAAGAAATGCTGTTTGAAAAAAAATAATTACAAATCATGTTCAATTATTCTGATTGAAATTTTTCTATGCCAAGAAGTGAAATAACAACTTTAAATTATACATCTAAAATTTACCTCATTTGTGTTGTCCCAATTCTTCACCATACTTTTTGACGTTTCATGGAGTCTCTCTCTCTCATCTCTTCGGATTTTTGCCTCCTCTGCCTCCTTGTTGTACCTTGATAAATTATCTTGTATTCTTTTCCAGTCCTTTGGCTGGATAACCAGAACCTGAAAAAATAAGGAAAGAATTCAATATTGATTTATTCAATAATGTTACTTGAAACATGAAACAAGCTTCAATGTTATGAGAAAAATTAAAAATTCGAAAGAAAAATATTTATTCTTACACTTTTAGGATCTATTCCTTGAGCAGCAAAACCAATCCTCTGATCTTGGTTGTTGTATGCAGTGGCATCTAAAAAACAACATTGGACAAGGGGTTAGTAAATTCACATACAACTAGTAGATTATGATCGTAAAATGCTTGTAATTTTCCTTTTCATTCAATCCTTCATACTGTCTTAAAGTCATTTCCGTGTGCTCATTTGCATAATTGTAGTGGATAAAAAATCATAATTTACATACTTAGGTTTAAAAACAATTTAATGCTTAATTTGCTGAGAGTTTATATGAGTGTTACCTTGCGTTTCTAAGGGTAAAAGCGACCGAAAGGCCTAACAATCGTTAAATTCGAGAGAATAAAATAGTTACCGTTATCTTTAACTTGTCCTTCTCTTCTTCCATACATAACTCTTGTTGCCATTCCTCAAAATTCCTGTTTCTTTAAGTTTTTAACCAACTATGGTCTTGTACGAGCTTAATGCAATGTTTTCATGCCCTTCTTAGTTGCACTTGTTTTATTGGGAAGATTTGTCATCGGGTTTCCACGACAACAAAAAACTAGACCTCCTCTTCAAATCGAGTCAACTGTTAATTGGCATTGAAAATTCGAATAACATTTTTTGGGCACAGAATAGGGAAGGAAAAAGGAGGGATAGTGTGGTTGGGGGCAGATGGGACTTGCTTTTTTCTGCATAGAGGGCTGTAAAGGCCATGGCAGTTACGGTTCGTATAGCATATTCGATTAGCAGTTACGGTTCGTAAGAGCAAAACATATTTTTTTTCGAAACATCCTGTGCTTTTTATGAGATATCATTGGATAAAATTATGCCATCGATGCAATAGGGGGCATTCAAAAAAACAACCAATGGGGGTTGATCTGCAAATAATCTCTAGAGAAATCGACCCCATCTCGTATCGCAACTAATGCGTGTATTGTACTCTCCTGTGCAACAAGGGTTTTTTCTTCACGGGGAGGGGGCGGGGGGTAAAGGTGGGAGACCCCAAAAGTTAAAATGGCAGGGACAACAGAATTTGTGTTTGGGTGGCAGGGGATGGGATGTAGTACCAAAGAGAACATATGACTGTAACTGGGGACAACAAGTCTTTTGCTTGCATTCGATTTTCGAAAGGGGACTCCCCGGCTGGAAAATCTCTCACAGAGGACGACTTTCTCTGACTCTGAGTAACAGAAGAGAATGAAATTTTTTTTGTTTCAACCCTATTATAAACAAAAAATAAAGGGTGTTTCAAAAACAAAGGAACCCTTATTCCCAGCTACCAACAATTCTTTCGTAACTGTCATTTTGTTTCGATCTTTTGTCGGTATCTTGAAAATCGGCTAAATTTTGGCATAAGAAATTTTTTCACAAGTTTCGAAATATGTCAACATACAGTCAGAATTTCATATAAATCTCATGGGTTTCCTACAAAAAGCCGGCTTCAAGGACACTTTTATGAAAGGACACTTTAGTGCCCATTTCCCCTCCTATCAAAAGGCAAGGGCGGTCGCCCCCCTCATGCCCCCCTCATGCCCCCATCCAGCGTCCTTGAACACACGCAATTGCAAATTGGCAATTGTAAAGATACGTGGTTATTTTGAGAACATTATACATGTATATTTTTCTGCCTAAAGGGTCCGTTTGACAGAAAGGCCTGTCCATACAGGGAATTACTGTATGAACACATTTTTATAGAAAATAAGATCTGGATTTGTACACTGATTTTTTTTTGCTGAGAGTTTTCTTTAAGGGTTTGTGCAATTGTAAAAATATGAATTTGCCAAGAGAAAAGGTTCTGAATATTGAGGTTTAATTTCAGAGGATTTGATAATCAAATTTTACATCACAATTTTGATTTTAGAAAGGATGGAACAATGGGGACTGTCCCATTCTACATTGAAGAAAACTTTCAAAATGTGGGCTTTTGTAAAAATTTGAGCTTTTTAATTCTTATTATCATTAAAACTCCTTTTCTCCTGTAACGGGAATACGAAACATAACATAAGCTGTGGAGTGAAACAAATAGAAAAAATTATATTTGTTTTTGTTGCTCTACGTTGAAGATCCAACAAAAAACTTCACATTGCCCGAGCATGCAAAACAGCCCTCCCAGTGGTGGCGCTAGGTTTCCTCCGACAAAGGGGCTAGCACTTCCGACGGAGGGGCTAATTTTTTTAGAGAACGATAGGGCTAGGGGGCGACAAGGAATTGTAAGGGTACTGGAGACCGAAGGCGAGCGTTGCGAGCCGAAAATTCGGGGGGTCCGGGGGTACTCCCCCGGGAAAATTTTGGTGGCTACACCCATTAGATTGGCTAAAAATGCTATCAAAATGGTGTAATCGTGTTTTTTACTACGTTTTTTGACATATTACTAAGGGCACGTTTGCCCCCTCCGTTTTCCGCCAAAACTTAAAAAATTCGCTCCGACAAAAAAAATTCAAGCATAATTTATCTTCCGACGGAGGGGCTAGCCTCCTCCGACGGGGGGGCTGTAGCCCCCCCTGCCCCCCCTCTGGCGCCACCACTGAGCCCTCCCCCCTCTCCTTCGCTGATTTTTTGCATTAGCAAACATTAAATCCAGTGATCTCGTGCATATGTTTACATATGATTTTGCATCTAGATGTACTTCTTTACTGATGCAGTAGTTCTTCATCTAAAACTAATAAAGCTACTAAAAAACATCGCAAATCAACGGTCTTTAAGTTCCAAAGGGGGGGGGGGCTGACACAAACCATAAATGTGTGAGCCATTGTGCAGAGTCTAGAAAAAGACCAAACCTTCCTCTGGATGAAACTTGGCCTTGCTGGCCTTCCTCAAATTTGTCTTTGTATTCTTTGAATAATTTTTTTACAAATAGAATTTAAGAAAAATCGTCTATGATTTGGACTTAACGCTTTGTCAGGAAAGAAAAAAGTCCACAATGATAAATTTCTCTCACTTTATTTACTCTTGTTAAGTTATCTATTTGCCTTGTTCGGAGCTACAGATCGTTGGACAACCTTCCTCCGACTCACAACAGTGAAACTGAAATATTTTTTGGGCACGGAATGAAATCCCCCAAAAGTTCATTTTCTACCAAAAATTATCCTCAAGGTTGAAAACACTGAACTAAATAATTCTTGATTATACAATGTCCTTTATTTTTTTTGAATTGTAACTCAATGTCAAAAATTGATATTCAATATCTTTAAATGTATTGGGCATGCGCAGTGTGATCATTTATCCTTGGCTTGCATACTTGGAGCAAATCACGTGATCAACTGGTTGTCTTCACGCTTCGCTGCACACTGCGAAGTAACCAGTATCATGTGACTGATCCGCGGCATGATTAAAGCTTCTTCTTTAGAAAGCACGAAAAATATTCTGGTCGCAGATGCAAGATAAGCTTTAAATTTCTAGTTTGGGGCATGGATATAAACAATCGTAACTAAAAATAAAGATATGGGTTCTATGATATCCTCAATAAAAAGGGGACTTGAGTCCGTCTCGCGTTTCAAGAGAACTGTAACTGAAATGAGACAGAACCTTTCTGACGTCCAACATTGCACAAGGGACATAGTTCGAATGGTCAACAATTTGCACACGATATCGTTTGAAGTCAAGGAAACAGTGAGCCAATGTTCCATGGAGATACACAGAACTTTATGTGAGCAAATCTACAAGCAATTCTCCGATGAAGATATCGAGAATTTAAGCCACATTGTGTTTTATGACGAGTGTATTAGTAAACTGAATGAGATGCAGAAAATTGATGGAACGATTTCATCAGGAGACTTCCTTGCACATCTTTTTTATGAAACTATAGCAAGGATAAGGGAGTACGAAGAACACTGGAGGGAAGACAAGACGAAATTTGAATTGTTGCTAGGGCTAGAAAAATATCTTGACGAAAGCCTGCGTTTTCGCATCGATACCTTCACTTCATTTGATGAGAACACAACAATGGAGTCTAATTTAGATAGCACCTACAAAGCTGTCGAGAAAAGCTACTCCGCCGAATTTGAAGAGCAATGCGATATTGAAGTAAAAGATGAAGAGTGGATACCTATGAATCTACTTGAAAATAAGAAGTCGTTCAGTTACAGACCAAAAATGGCAAAAGAAAGGCAGCAGTGTCGTCAACGTAAGGGAGTCAGAATTTGGAAATTGAAACAAAAACAGCTACAAAATGCAGCAAAGAAAATGAAAAATCTGGAAGTATTTTGCGATTTGCTGAAGCACCAAAATGAGCTTCATTCTCGTTTAAATGATCATTTAGCAAAACAAAAGGGTAAGATGCTCGATCCAGTTAAGTCTGTGTTTATTAAAAGAATTATTGAAGGAGGAGACATTTTTCAGGTAGAAAATGAAAAGTACTCTCCCTGCATGGCGAAGTTTAATGCAGCTCTTGAGAAAATCATCAAAAAAGGTGATTTACGAAATTTGAACTTAAAATTGAACATAAAATATGACGTAAACATGAAGGAGCTTGTACCGGTTATCGAAAATGCAACTTTGAAAATAGAAAACATGAAAGAGGATATCGTTAGCAATATCGACAGTGTTAGAGCTGCCTTACTGATAGATATTAAGGCGATGCAAAATGATCATGAACCAGAGATGCCAGACAGAAGAGAATCTCTTGCGATTATACCTTTTCAGGAGACATTGAATCTCGTGAAGGATAAAAGTGCTGACAAACTAGAATCAAACGTTGAAGAATTTGTAATTAAATCGGGTCTTGCAGAAAAGATCCGAAAGGAGAATCTACTGAAATTCGCTCAAATACCGTTAAGTGAAAGGGAAACAAAGAGGATGATACGAAAGGTCATCCAACAGAAGGCATCACAAAGGGAAATTGAATATGCGGGGTTCTTTTTCAACCTTCTAGCGACAACAATACGGGAAAACATTGCCAATGGAGATTGTACCAAAGAAGATGCACTTTTCATAATTCTAGACGCTCTGCAAAGAAACCTCAACTTTGAGAGATCTTCGTTTCTAGAATCAGAAAAGGATACTTTTGTCGCTTCAAATGAAGCACTTGTGAAATTTAAAGATCTAGTAACCAATATTATGGCATCTAATGAATTGCCAGGTTTCATTTTACACAAAGTTTTAAACCAAGAGGAAATAAGCTCTGCATTAGTAAACAAAGCGCTTGCATTGTTCATACAGGAAGCTTTTGGAAGAGAGAAATCGGTACCCTTACAAATGGCTTGGAAGTATTTACCAAAGAAGAGACTTTCGCCAGAGTTTTTTGTCGAACTGGAAAGGCTTTTGTCACAAAATGCAAAAAGTGAGCAAGTAGCTGTTGCCATAAACATCATCAAAGAACTGGTGAAAATCAAAGAAAATAGAGTGACAATCATGGAACTTCTGGGTCCACAATATTAATCACGAATTAACAAGACACTGAACGTATTTGTATACATCCCGACTTCTGAAGCGAGTGAAAGTGGGCACAGGAAAAAACTCCTGGTTTTACCAATACTTGAGCAAACCATATGACAATCCAGCATATTCCTTCAATATATTGTGCCTGGGAATTCAACCATTGTCTGCTCAGAATGTGATGACTTATTGTGAAATGTCAATAAACGTGAAAAGCGCTAGGGTACATATTTATACGTTGAAATACATTCATAGTTAACATAAGCATGATACTGATAATTCTCAAGCTAACTGGGATCTTTGATAAAGTAATACCTAAAAAATATCTGGATCTCCTTTTACAAGATATTTCCATGACTTTAAATTATCTCTGAAAATTTACAGTTCATGGGTGACCTTAAGCAGGATTCCGTCTGTGCAAAGGATTGTGTTTTTAAATCAACGGTTTCACCTTTTGAAAATTTGACTGATATCGCATTTGAATTCATGCTTATGGCTGGCTTCATTATAAGCTTTAAAGCCAAATGAGTTGATAAAACTAACATATTAATCAAACAAAACTTATACTTTTTTCAGCAAAGTGATGTCATGAATAGCTAATAGGGCCATTATGCAAGACACAGCTCAAATCATATCAAGTCCCTTAAGTGGCAACATTGAGAAATTCCTTGACAATCTTTGAAGATCAGTCCTTCCGTTTGAGGTGGCTTCAGAGAGCCTCTTTGGAAGTTGTTCGCATTGCCGAATCTAATAACAGTATAGTTAATCTTGAAGGTATCAAAAGCCCCAACTAAAGTAGAATATTTATCAATTTAATAGAAAGACCGACAAAAATATATAAATTTCTGTCAACATCAGTATCAGTTAAGGGTTTCAGATACTTCCAGCACTTATAACAATTATCATTTAACACAATAATAAATTTCATGAAGCCGTCGCTGGTAAAATATATTGTGGCTACTTGAAAGATGTTACTTACGAGTTGAAAACTAAATACAAGAAAGTGAATGACAAATGTTCCATTCATGCTAAATTTCCACAACAACGAATGTCAGAGTTAAACGTTCTTGTTTAAAAATTGCACATTAAATGTACAAAAAGACACCAAACGAACCACAAAAAAGAATTTCAAAGTATGCTATAAAATTATTTCAAACCAAATGTTTGTCATGCTGTTTCTCTTTCTCTTTCAATTCATATAAGTTTGATTTTAAATTTAATTTGCTAAAAGGTTTAAAAATTGACTTAAAGGTTTATACGCTCGCTACAAAACCTTGAAGAAAGTCTTGGTAAATCTTCTTTTCCTTGGAGGTCGCTGGTAGGAAGTGACCTGTAAGAGAAGAATCAGTTTAGGTAAACCAAAAGTTACGTCAAAAAATATATACAAAAATAGACGAAAAGCAACAATATATTAATTTACAAAAGCTGACAAGTTCTTCTCTAATTCATCAACGCTGTTGCTATTTCCTCCCCCTATTAAAAACCTCCGAGGAACACCTCCAGAAACAACAGCAACAACATGACAACGACTGGCTTAAATTTACCCAAATGAATCGTTGTCACCAATGCTATGAGAGAGACAAGACTTAACCATTTGAAATCATCAATAGTTTTTCTTTAGTTTAAGCAATGTGTAATAATTGCAGTATTTCTTACCTCCTGCGTGAGAAAGTACAGTTCGATTATTGTATAGATGACTAAGTTCTTCACTTCTTTCTATAAATAAAATAAAGAATACGAGAACTAAAAAACGATTTACAGCTTATACTGTAGAATTAATACATGAATATTCTATAGCAAATGAGACACATACATTGCATTGTGAATTTTTCTGGACCCAGATACATAACTTGGTCACTTCCTGTGCATAACCCCGCTCGTTTTGTGCAGAAAGATGTTGATACAAATTGATATTTAGATTTGAAAGTGGATATAAAATTCCCGGATGCAATGCAGTAATTTCTCAATAAAACTAAGCATAAACACAAAACGAAGCCTTAAACCTCGGGTTTCAAACATTTTGACTTTGCCATGCGTAGTTTAAAACAATAAGCCCATACCTTTGGCTATAACTTTGTCAGTGTCCCCAAATATGTGCAATGATGGGCAATTTATTTGTTTTTGATAAAATCTCTCATGCTTGCTTGATTTCGATTTGAATCCAGCGCACAGAATTGCAAACCGAAACTTGAAAGGCGAATCTATGAGAAAGACAAAGAATTTGTGGAAAATGACGTTGTGACAACATATTCTCAGTGGCGGATCCAGCCAAAAATCTGACTACCGCCGAAATGAGATAGAGGGTTGACCACACCCTTTAGACCGCACCCATTTTTTGATCACACCCGATTTTCTAAAATGATTATTGCTTTCTACTATTTCTTATATAGACCATTTTCAAGAGACAAGCGGTGCTTTACTGAAATTTCATCATTTAGACGAGGAACACCATAGAATTAGAAAAAAAGATACATTTGGCAGAATTTTGAAGTGTCGCCTAAAACTCGCATTTAGTCGGACAATTACTTATGAAAATCAGACCTGTTGGAAATGACAAGTTTAAAAAGCTAGATAAAATTATTGAGAGCAACTTTTGTTAAACAAAGAATCATACTTTTGGCGAATATTGTGGGCCTGACTTTTAATCCTGATGCCTTCTTTAATTTTAGAATATTTGAGTCTTAATATTTTTTTAAAATATAGTCCTACGAATAGTTGTGTATTGTACAAAATAATGGGTCACATCGGCTTTGAAGTTACAGTTTGCCCACTTGCAGAATATTTAGGCATCCCCCCATCTTTCTGTAACGTTTGAGCCGTGTTGAGCGGCAGTACTACTCAACCCCCCATCTGAGCGGTAGTCAACTCGGTTGTTCATTGGTTGTCAACAAAATTTGTATGCATCCCCCCAGGTTGGCAGTGATTTCTGACGATTTGATTGGTTTAGGCAGGCTGACTACCGCTCAGTGCAGCTCAAATCCGCTCTACACCGACTCAACCCCCCTAGCTAGCAAGCCACGATTTCATCATCGTTCTATTTGCAAACATGTGGCTCGGGAATTGGCACGCAATTTCCATAGCGATAAGGATTAAAAAATATTTCTGTCTCTGTGGAAATTTCAGGCATGTTTCTAGGAAGAAAGGCTTGGTTTGCAGCGCGATCAAATATTTTCAATAATTAAATAAGGTTTAATTAAAGTAGTAGGATAAACATGAAAATGATCCTTGTTTCTATAATTTTTTGAATAATCTGACTACCGCTCGAGCGGTAATGGCGGTAGTCTGGATCCGCCACTGATTCTCACAGATTTATTATGTTGAAAAGAAGTCTACAGTAATTTTACAAGCGAGAAAACCTCTAGTGAAACAAAATCCAAAGAGATGAAAAATAAATTCTTCTTAATCAAAGCTATTAAGAAAATTATTGAAAGATGCAACATCTCGCTATTTTTTCAGATCATTAGCGATTTCGTTCACAGGGTTCAGCAAGCAAGATACGATTAGCTGATTGATGATTGAAATACCTGGTTCTTCACTCAATGCACAAATATGAGAGACGACAGTCGCACCTTGACTGAATCCTAATATTCCTGCAATTGGTCAACGGTAGATAGAATATTATGAAAATCAGGAGAAAATAAAAATTATGTCTTTAAAATAGGAGGAAAAATTCATGGAGGTACATGGTTCTTGCTGTTTATAAAAAGTAAATTATAAAAGTGAAATAATAAAATAGTGATTTTTAACAGAGTAACCAAAAATACGGTAAAATAAAAATAAATAAAGATTATTATAGTTGTTGTATAATTATAATACTGTTTTAGACATATCAACGGGGCGTGAAGATTTCATAAACTTGACTACAGAAGAACATTTTCTGTTACATAAGTGAATGATTCTTCAAACCTTCAGAATATAAGAAATCTTTAAAAAACCATTTACCAATAATAAAGAGCATTTAAAGGAATATTTCAAATGACTTACCATCAAATGGTCCCTGGCGAAAAGATAAGATATGTGTCATCAACGTTACAAGAAAAGAAAGAACTAAACAAAGATTCTAACAACTAAAGTTTATAAAAAACACTGATCGGGAGAGTATTACCGCATTTGTCAGAATGTTAATACATTTACACAAATGTTTAGCAAAGTTTAATTCAAATATAAAACCAATACGATAATAAACTGCTTGATAAGACTCTGAAAGATTTTGATAACGAAAAGTGACCGGGGGGGGGGAGTGATCATGAAGGGAGGGATGTGAACTCAAACCCCAAATGGCTTGTTAAGTCAAAGCCCTTGAGAAATCATATCGATTCTAAACAATTAAAAAAATTAAATGTAAACAAACTGTTGCCATTTACGTAAGAAAAGACTTAAGATATAAACCTCATGAGGTTTGGAAAAATGAATATGAATTGATGTACATGGTGCCACAGAAAGAACACTCCGAAACATTTACCTTCTCTTTGAACGTATCTTCTATTAGTTTGATTGATTCATCGTGTCCACAGTCAACATCACTCGTCTGCAGTGAGCTAAAAGACAATGGATCTTCTGACGAAAACCACCAACCATATTCTTCACCTGGCAATAAAAATAAACATTTACAATCACTGATAAAAATGTAGTCAATTCAGGTGCACGTTTTGTATAAGAAAGTGGTTTATGAGATAGCAGTATTGAGCTCATTTAAAAAGCTAAAGAGGAACTGTCACGCAAAATAGCCATAAATTATTATATTCAGAATATGTTGCTGAATTCAAAAGCTAGTATAATTTTCTAGTCAGATTCATTGTTTAGCTGTTTTTATGGGAACTTTCATCCGTCTAAAATGTCACAGCAAGGACTCGGGAATTTCCCAAAGAGGAAACAAGATTATCGCCAACTCTAGGTTGACGTCAAAAATGTCATGTTAACAATGTCGTTATAAAGTCTTTCAAAACAAAATCCTAAAGTTGGTAAGACAATTTAAGGACTGGGGGTAATTCCAAACTTTCTTGTAAAAACATTTATAAAGAGTGTTTGAATCGCAAATTGAAGCAAGTTACAAATAAGGAAAACGAACTTACGCTTTTCAGAATTTTCATCCTCTTTCTGCAGTTGGTCAGGCACTTTGTGCGGGGCTGTTATATACACTGAAAAACAAGCCACGGAGAACTAGCTGCTAGAAATCATTCTTTAATCGCATAAACAAGAGATCTGATGATTTTCAAGACAATTCAACACATCGTTGAAGTGCAAATCTTTATTGTTATTCATATGTGAAGATCAATGACAAAGCACACAAAAAAACAGGGGATTGACACTTTGCATATTGCAAAAAGCATATTGCAAAAATTCTACAAAGAAATTCTTACCTAACTCAATCAGTTTCTTCAAGCCTTTTCTAAATGCACCAGTTTTTTCATAAGATAAGGAAGAGCTTTGCCTAAAAAAGATTATATCATACAAAGAAAAGAAAAGGCTAATTTACGCCACAATACTACTTCCATTATCATCATGGAAATAAAGATTAAAAAGTAAAAAATTGAAGATTATCACCCATCAATGAATATAGTATATAAGGAGGTTTGAATTAACTAAAACTAAACATCACATGTGGTAAAATATAATCAGGTGCTTTTCTTTAGAACAGGGGTCTCAAACTCAAACTATTTTGGGGCTGCTAGAGGCAAATTCTTGCTAAGCAATGTTCCAGTTTCAAGTCACTCCCCAAGAAAACAGGGCTGCCCTAGAGAGGATTCCTGAAATATGGCATCAAGTTTGAAATATATATTGCTCAATTATTCTGAATAACGATGTAATACAAATATGGATACAATGATGAGAAAAATGCACAAGCCACATCAACACTAAACTTTGCTGTCAAGATGAAAAGGGCAGATGAAAATATGCAAGTTTTTAAAAACTAGACAAAATTGCTATACCTGTAGCCATGTATCACCAAAATCTAAAAAAAGAAAAAACCATTTAAAAATAGGTAATCGTTCACTTGCGCTATATATATAATTCTCTTAAGGTTACTGCACAAGATTAATCATACCACAAAATTATTTTACAAAATTATGAGTCTGATTATGTTTCCAAAACAATTATTAATCTCCATGCTAACATAAAAAAGGTAAACATTACCAACTATGAGAACTTAAATCAATTTCAATTTGATCAATTCAATGGCACAACATTTTGTTTCAATTTTTTGAAAATATTCGCAAAATAATTATTGGACATGCTGTTATCTAATTGGATTGAAAGCTTGGCAAATACACCAGGGTATCAAAGGTATTGCACCACGTTGCTCAAAATTGTGGCACTTTCGGTCAACTTTTTGAAAATACAAAACATTTGAATGCATGAACTGGAAGAAAAAGGCATATCTTGAGGCAAATTCGGTGAGAAAAGTGTTGGTATATTTTTTAAAACGATTCTCAATCGAAAGCGAAAAAACACACCCAAACTTGCCCACACATACGCAAAAAAACAACACTTAAGGCTCACACTGAAAACAATAACACTCCTAAACAACAACGCACAATAATCCCTCAAGGGGCGCACAACAAACAATGTTGACAAATACTCTAAATTGATTGAAGTTTGATTTGTTGTTTGCTTTGGACCAATTGCCATTTGCCATAAAAAACACAATGAATTTGCATAACAATGGTGTTTGATCTTTCACATGAATTTCTCTTTCTTTGAAGTGGTGCAATACTTTTGATAGGAGAGTGTAATATCTGCTATTCATCTAATCAAGACAAAATAGCCACTAGACATACAAGTTATTAATAAAAGTTGCACAACAGATGATGATCTATCAGGCTTCTGTGGGAAATCAAACACATCTTTACAGTGGCCTGCAGCATTCCAGGTGTAAAATGTTGCATGGTGACATGATTGCTTTCAATGGGAGTTGTCATGATTTCTTTTATGGGCTTTTATCATAAGATCTTATAAGCATCTTCCTGAAGTATTTCGATCTAATTTTGACTATATTTCAGGCATCTGGTTAAAATTAGTCAGGCAAATAAACTAAAAAATGCAATGCTTTTGGGTGGTACATGCTCATATTATCATTAATGCCCGATGATGACAATTTTTTAGACGAATTACAGATGATAAATGACAGGGAATTTATTCTGTTGCTATTAATCAACCATTAAAACTGGCTGTTTACGAAGCAACACCCTCCCCCCCTCCCCGTAGGACCAACTTACCCTCAGAAGCTTTCCTTTCTCGGCCGCCATGTTGTCTGTCGATTTCACTAGCCTCTTTTCAACTAATTCCAAGAAAAAGATAGAAGAGGCTCGCTGCTGACGTCCACACTTTTTGCACGGACCACAACAGCTGCCATATTTTAGCAAACGGCAGTTTGTGAGATGCCGTCGACAATTAAACTTGTAATATTTGATCTAGCAGGCACGACGGTAGATGACAATATCAATGGCCTACCTCTTGTTACTGTGGCAATCCAAGAGGCATTCGCAAAAGCTGGTTTTCCAGCAGTGAAACCAGACCTAGTCAATGATGTTAGAGGGATGGAAAAACGCGAAGCCATAGCGTCTCTTTTGAGAAAACTTAATATTAATAAAGAAGAGAAGCTAATCGATAAGATTTTTGCAGATTTCAAGTTAGCCTTAGACCGTAATCTTAACAGCATTAATCAAGAGATACCTGGAACAACTGATGTTTTCAAGAAATTAAAAGAACTTGGTATTTTGATTGGGGTTGGTAGTGGCTTTCCTCATGCTGTTGTTGTGAAAATTGTGCAGAATCTTAAGTGGGAGAGCTATGTCGATTTTGTTTCCAGCGCGGAGAAAGAAGGCCATGGTCGTCCACATCCTCATCTGATACAATCAGCGATGAGAGATTTCAATGTAACAGAGTCAAAGGAAGTTGTCAAGGTTGGTGATACACGGATTGACATCCAGGAAGGAAAGAATGCTGGTTGCTGGACAGTTGCTGTACTGACTGGGACTCAAAAAAGATCAAATTTAATGGAAGAAAACCCTGATTTCATTATTGATAGCATTGTTGATATATTTGCAGTGATTAAACAGATCAGCAAATCATCACATTGATCACCAAATGACCCAAAACAATATACAACTCAACAACACATGCATTGTATCACACATTCTGTTAAAATACTGGTATAAATGTGCATAGTTTACAATGTTTTCAAAAATTTAACTTTTAATTGTCTTTGCAAGTTTCATTTATTTATTGTTTCCTGGCTGTTTCACTTAACATAAGTCCATCAAAGTAAATCTATTTCCTTTATTAAGAAAACCTAGCATGGCAAAGTCACTTTCTCTATTTATCTCCCTAAAGATACAGTCATGAATTTTTCGTTTTTAATAATAGCTTTCATTGAGAGCTTTTATCATGTATATCTTAAAACTATGCCAAGAAGAGTTGTCTAGATACATTATTTTTTATTTTGTAGATTACAAAAATAGGCAAAAATCATATAAATGTATAAGGAAAGTTTTTATCAGATGCTTTTGAAAATATGAAATGTTGGGTGGTATGGTTAGTAATCTTTTTTGTCTTCTATAACGTATATTGTGATTAATTTCTTGTTGCCGAAAACAATATTTAAGTGTGTGTTTGATTAGTTTTTTGTCTTTTAATTCCAAAGAGGATTCCAAAGCAAAAAAATTATTTTGGTCTACACAAGACAGGACCTTTTATTAAAGTAAATTAATTTTCCGAAATGCCTACATGGAATAATTACTTGCTTGCCCAATGCTTTCAAAATTTGTGTCACAATGTTTTGGTGCATTCTGGATCAAATGCCAGCCTAATATACAATGATATTTAATTTCAAAATTGTGACTGTTGCAAAAATGGTATGGTTTGTCTTTTTGATACTATTATGTTATTTTGCATGATGCCTGTGAAAGCAATACTTCATCATTGGGAGGTTTATTTGGCACAAAAAGACTTTATATAAAAACAAAAAGATTTATGACCCAAGAAAGTTGATACAAAAGCTCCTAAATAAAGTGACATGCAGTCTTAAAGGAGTTGTAATTAATTGGTGTCTTCAGGATAAGATGACAGCATAATAGGGAGATTAATTTGAGGGGGGGGGGGGTGCTCATTCAAAGCTTGATGCTAAAGAAGAGGGAAAGGGTGACTCGTTTGGGATGGAAGCTTAACCAAATTATTCTAGTATATAATATTTTTTAAAAATGTCTTTTGGAATTTCAAGTTATTCAATGGCTTCTATTGCCATCAAGTTTTGATGTTTTATTTTATGTGTAATAACCAAATAAACAACAGCCTTGTTAAACTAGAATTGATATGACAATAATTACAACCACCTAAAGTTTTGTAGCCTCCCATACTTCTCCACATGCCAAGATTAACCTTTGCAGGGGTGGATCCGGAGCAAACTTGAAGGAAAGGCAGTAAGTAGTGGGGGCGCTGAAAATTTTTCAAAAATTGATGACGAGAGAACGCTGTATGCAACAATTTCAGATCCATTTTCGGAATAAACAACATAACTTTGAAGTAATCCTTGGAGCAAATTAATCTATTGGTCTCAGAAACTTTTTCATCTGATTCTCATTTTTCAAAACGGACGCCATACTTGCTTCAACTCGTCGAGGGAGGGGCAACTTTCTATGTTTATTGTCTCATGTATTTATTATAATTGTTGTAAGTAGTTTATTATTAGAATATCTGTATGTAGTGGAATGTAAAATGAATGAACTGAACTGAGTTGCCCCCCCCCCCCCCATTAAATCCGCCACTGAACCTTTGTAACAATCGGATGAATGCAATAGAATCAAATTCTGGCTTTTTTTTCATTTTTCTAAAACATTTTTGCTCTGTATCAACAAACCATTGTGAGCACATATGGACACATCTGCATCCAGTTAACGCGATCTTTAAAATTACTTTCCCGGCAACGGACAGCAATATCGAATAAATGGCACAGGATTTCTTAATTGGCAAACAATTTTCACTCGCTAAGCATTAAAACGTTTCACTTCATAAGCACTACAAAATATGCCAGTCAGTTTGCGAAATGCCAGTCCATCGCTATTGGCAATATCTCAGGCGACTTTTTAAGATATAATGAAAATTTATAAGCCTAGTTGTCAAAAAATACTGACCATTCCTCCAGGCAAAATCTTCAAGTTTTCAAAATTTTCCATAAAAAAACAAAGAAAATAAAGTAGTTTTTTTATACTCTTATTTATTAGCCTCCCCCACTGTTATTGATCGTATGGTCGCATTGTTTTCCGGGCCCCTGGCAAGCTCAATTTCATCTCACTACAAACGTCATGCTAAAACGTCTGCGTGTGAAGATAACTAAGCAGGACAGAATAAACCAGGATATATTTTAAGGAATTTTTACAACTGCACATATTCAAAATGTTTGAAGCTTTGGGTGTTGCCTTTTAAAAACTTTCATGACCACACCAATCAAACTAACATTATTTGAAGCTTTCGAATTACACCAGCTCTCGTCAAAGCCTCACAAGAGACAAGGAGAAGCAGTCTAGGTTTAAACATGTTTTCGAGAAGAAAGATTTCAAGGAAAATGATTAAGAGCGAAACAAACCAGATAGCTTCTAAATAATGAACAAATTTTAGAGAGATTTCACAGACTATGATCATTGGTGCTGTTTTGTTCTCGTTGTTAATACTGTAATGCTTTTTTTAAATGTCTACTGGTATCTGCTGCAATTTTGCTTTTTCAATACCAAATCTCTTTATTTTAGTTTTGTCACTGCACAAAATTTGAGCTCATCACTGCACAATTATGATTCATCACTGCACAAATTGGTTATCACTGCATGTTAAAATAAGCCCTGGAATAAACCCATTTTTGCATCTCATGTAAGCACACGGTCCTTTAAGAAAATTGTTCAGAGAATTTTTCAAATCCAGAAATCGAGCTTAGAATGCAAAACCAAAGAAACTCTTCAAAAATCCTGGACTTGATGATAGAAGATTACTTGTCCAAAGGCTTTTGGTTTTTAAATTATTTTAATCAGATCAGACAAAACAAGTTCAATACTTGAAATTACTTATTTTATCACTGACTAAGTTTACAAAGGAGTGTGGATGCATGTGCGTACATCCTCATGCAGGAACAAACTTAATTTCCGAAAGTTGGCTCAATAGTTGGGCATGCCCCAGGAGAACTATACATTTGCATTTATTAGTTTCTAAATATTTTTCCAAATTTGCAGAAAAATGATTGGTTCCAACTTTGAGCATCGCGCATTGCAATACCTGTATTAAGAGTAATAAAGCAAAAACTAGAGTTGCTTCAAGCTTCTATACTTCTATTCAATTTTTTTTCCTTTAGTTACTGTGTTTGTAGTTCCTGATACTTTCATCTTCTTTATGTGTTCCACGAGAATTTTATATCGTTGAATACACTCTTCCTGTAAAAAAACAATTTTTGTCAAATGAAAATTTGAAGCAAAATGCATTCCTGCTACATTCTTATTTGCAAATTCTTAGGTTGATCACGCCATTGTGTGGAGTTATGTACTGGCTCGAGGCCTCTGAGCCTTGAAGGCTATCAAGCAACACGAGGGATGAACAATGGAAAAAATGATAGGGCAAGAAGGCCTATGTACGTTCTCTATCCGTTTTTGAGAAAGTCGACACAACTTTCAGCAGTAATTTTACACCGTTTAATTAGGCCTTATGAAAAATATTTATATCATTGAAGCAGCTGCATTATATATCATAACAATAAGTAATGCATGATTGAAATTAAATTTTGATACACAAAAAAACTAGAATCGACACAATGCCAGCCAATTATAACTGGCAATTCAAAAAATGAAATTTTACCAGCTACAATAGATTTACCACATAATTAGTGAATGCAATTCAGGAATTAAAGATAAATCTTTCGATTATCATACAATAAAAAACACTCATTTGAAAAGAATCGTGGATACACTTCTGTATCAATTTTAAATTGTCAACATGCAACTTACTGCATTGAAAAAACCTATGGAGTTTACACACGATTGATTATTTCATTTTGAGTAAACGTGCTGAAAAGTAATTGAATTATTTCAACCCATTTGAATTTGTTTTGTTTCTGCTAAATTTACATTGATAATCTTTTTTAATTTTAGACAAAAATGTTGCTTGGAAGCTCGTTGTATATTCGCATAAACATGATAAGAAAGAGAAAGTCATAGAAAGCCTATATTCCTCATCAAAGAAAGAGAAAAAACTGCAACATCAGTTGGAAAAACCATTCTTGAAATTTCTATAAAAAATTGAAATTTTTCTTTATATTGATCAAAGTGTTGAAAATATTTCCTTTAAATTGACAATTCAAAACTTTATTGATTTGAGAAATTCAAGATCATTTCTTTGTTCCTCAATATAAGATTAACTTAATATTGAAAAGCCCATCCTGCTTACCTTCGTTTTACCTGGAACAGCACGTGCAATGTGTGTCCAGCGATCGGTTCTTCTTTTCGGTATCTGAGCCAATGCATTCTCCAAGCATTTCTGCTGTACTTGGCTCCAAACATCTGCTAAATTCTCTTTTTCCTTCGTAGCATCTTCCTGTTTATTTTCTTCCTTCTCATCTTCTTTGCATTGCGTCTTATTTTCTTCCTCAGTTGAGTCTTCCGGCTGCTCTTCTTCTTTGGGTACTTCTTTTCTCGTCTTGACCTTCCGCTTCCTGACTTGTCTGTATTGCTCAATGTCTGAATCTTCGTCATCATTGTTCGAAAACCCCTGGTCGTAATCATCTGGTATATCATCCTGGGTCATGTACAGCTCGTTCTGAGTGACCGTGATGATTGGTTTGGTACTCAGCTCAGATTCTATCGCCTTTGAAATTATATTATCGCTGATTTGGAATGCAGCTCGCTTGCCAACTGCCACTGATGTTTGGTTGCCTGATAAAAACAAAAAAATAACATTCAACAAACTAATGAATATTTATCATTTAAAACGTAATTCAAATGTAATTGTAAGATGAAAATAAACTATAGTATGTGATACACAGCTAATAGCAGATTACAACGCTTTATAAATATCCATGTTTTTCTTTGGATATCTTAATAAGAACACTTTCTTCGTGAATTTCTAGGAATCATTATTAAAGGGAGTGTTATTAAAACTGCAGTTAAACCCAATTACACTACCCCTATTTTAACATAAACCCCACCTTCCACCATTACCTTTGTTTGGAAAAAGTTTACAGTGGAAAATCATCTTTTCCTGCCTTCCACCCTGTAATAACTGTTTTAGGACAATTTACTATCAAAACGGAGAAAAGCCACCCAATTTTCTGTATTATCAGATACTTTTTCTAGAACAATCTAATATGCATTTCCGCACTTCATGGGCCAGGAAACTGTCCTCCCAAATTTGTTTCTACAGTTTATCGAAAAGAGCCCCCAGGTTCCTGCTCGTTTTATATGGAACCTTGATTGAAGAATAATTCACAATTTTCCGGGCTGGGTCATGCTGGTTAGTGAGCACACTCTTGGTCTAGCCCTGGGTGCAAATATTTCTGCATTTGATTTATGTTGCTTTTAATCCTTGAGCAAAAACTTGTGTTTGGGTGGATTCTATCAACAAATTTAACCGCAATCTTAGGTGTTTCTTCTAGTGTTGTTTCTGTCTTAATCAAATAGGCCCAAGAAAGTAAAACTATACTTCTCTTAATAAAATGCTACGCTCGCTTTACTGTCAAAAACTGATGGAATTCTAACAAGGTGTAAATTACAATATGACAATCAAAACTGTTTATATGACAAAGAAATTCAAGAACTATTGAGTAATACCTGATGCGATTGTCCCAGAATCACATAAAGAAGTCTTCATTTCTTTGACCTTCTTTGTAACCTTAACAAAAACAAATAAAGATGAAAAATTTCATGTTACTTAATCGCTATTAACCGAAATAATCATTGCCAGTTCAAATATATATTGAAATGTTGATCACTATACATTAAAGTTCGACTTTAAAATATTTAAAATTATTCAGAGTAAGTGTATTAAAAAATTCAAGGTAGCAAAGAGGCTACACAGTCAGCAGCATTAACGACTTAAATTTGATGGAAATATGAGAATATATTACTGTTCTGCAAAACTTAGTGAAAATACTAACAAAAAATAAAGGGAAGAAGTGTTCTTGGCTGCCATCAGTTGTTGTAAAGGACCTGATTCAAAAGGACCCAATCAACTATGAAAGGAATCTGTTTGTTGGATAATAAGCAAGTTTTTCTGCCAAAGAGAGCGGTTTTATCGTGTATGATCTCTTCCCTCTTGATGAAAATGGCATCCACTACAATGCAAAATGCAACGACAAAAACTGTAGCCAATAACGAAACTAACCTCTTGAACAGTACGGCCAATCTGGTGCGCAATGCGATCCCATCGACCTGGTGTCCCTCCAGGGAACTTGGCCATGGCTTTTGCAAGGGCTGACAAATCTTCTTCGGTCCATTCGGAATTCTAAAGTCATTACAGAGATTCATTTAGTTCAGTGCTGAGCCAGCAAACAAAAATTATAAACATACATCCAAACAAAGTTTTGGCGGTAAAGAATATAAAATAGCTTACATCGACAAAAATCTTTAATACTTCGGCCTGACACTCGAGAACTCTAAGCTAGAAAACATATATGATATATATACATTTATATACATATCCAGTTCTGGATTGAAATAGGCCAATTAGTAAAGCGAGCACATGGCTGTAACGGTTGCTAATCAGCGTCGCGGAAGGAGCCTGACACTTAATTGAGATTTGAAATAGCAATCTTCTTTGTTAGCAGTCCTGATAATCGATGTAAAAGACCCCTTTGCGTCATCATCATTGGCTTATCTATTTGCTTTATTCCACAACAATGTAGACTACAAACTAAATCAGGGCTGCAGCTTAGAACTAAAAGATCTTCCCAGACCTCTCTGGCACGAAAAATCTCACTAGCGGTATTCCAGAAGTGACACAAACAGCTCCAGCCAAAATGGAAAACAGATCAACGTTGGAACAGAAATCTCTATCCGTTTCTAAATGTCAAATGGACGCTTTAAATTCGACTGAAATGGAGAGTTGATGTGGAAACATTCTTTAAGGGCACCAGCATAGATAGGGCTTAGCAGGAATGAAATCAGATATTATCAGTTCATGAAGTATGATACGTCGATAAATGCTTTCCTGACGAAGTTTGTTTATTTCATGCTTTAAAAGATGCTTCTCACCTTGCGATTTACTTGATCGTCGCTTTCCACATCATCTTCATTTTGTCGGTTCATATAGGCAGCTGACATCACTGGCAAACTGTCGTCAATTTCTGAAGCATCTCGCAGTTTAACTACAGGCTTCTTCTTTACTGGCCGCGGTTTTTCTATGAAATAAACAATTGATATTTAAAGGTATTGGGATAAACAGTGGTGCTGTCCTATAAAGCTTGGAGGGGACTTTGCTGTATGCAACTGCAAGAAGCCACATCAATGACCAAACCCATTTCCACACTCTTATGTTGAAGTTTCTCTGTCGTTTATTTGAAATCATTTAAGTCCTTCAACAGCTCAAAGACTGATAGGAATTGCTCTTTCGCGGAAAATAGTCCCAGCATAATAAAAGATTGTCTACACAGAATTCGTCGAACACAACATATGCACACTTGTTAGAGTGGGCCTAGCCCCACCAGCTCCACCCTCCCCCCCCCTGAACACCAGAGTCTTTCACGGCATCTTTTTAATAAAATTCGATCGATCATATCTTAAAAACAAAAGAATAAACAGACAATGTCCTGGTAGCCTTAAGGATAAATATAATTATAGGGCCAAACCCTATAACTATAAACAAGAAATTGCAGGAACCTAAAAATTCGAAGAGATGATCTTAAATAAATCAAAAGTCGTTTGCCATTTGGCTTTTAAAGCATATTTATGATATTCCCATTTATAATGAGAGATCTACACGTTATGAATTAAAAAAGCAATTTTTAGATAAAAGTTTACCTCACAAGCTGAAATTGACTTAAAACATATCTCCTGGAAGATCAGCTGCTTTTTAGACATGTTATTATACTTAATTCTACCTTTATCTTTTTATAGTCGTACTAATGCATAGAACACTTGCCTGATAACCTCATTGAGCAACTCAGAGAAGTGACTTAGAAAATTCAAACCCGTCATTACAAAAACATCTCTTTAACAGTTGCGGTGCCAAGGGAGGTAATATCCCCCCCCCCCCACTTTTGTCAAAACATGGTCTACAAATTTCTTCAAAAAACGGATTAAAACACACTAGGTAGGGGTAATTCATCTTTCTTGAGGAAAATTAACCTGGTACAAAGCAATGAAACGAGGCAAAAGGGGCGTGGTATCACTGGTCACGCCCATTACCCTCTCACTCTACAGTAGCTGGTGCGGCCACTGCTTTTTAATGATAATGTGGTAAATCATATTGATTGTTAAGCGACACTAAACTTATAAGATATGAACTTAAGAGATTTCAAATAATGGGAAGTAAACAGGTAACAAAAATATCTGATTTTCGTAAAAATATTTCTGAATGTATGCAGTTTCTTATCCATAAAGTGCCATCTTCACTCAAATTAACAAAAATTAAAAAGGTGTAAAAGATGAGACAACAGAAACCGCAAGCTTTGAAACTGGAAACATCCATTAAGATCAAAAGGATGCTTTTCCATCAATGCAAATTTATTTAAATAGACATGAGAAAATGAACAAAAATGATCTGAAAAAACTACAAGAAAAGTAAACATGTGTCAGGTATAAAACCCAGGGGGGGAGGTACTCCCATTAAAGCCTGACGGTGGTGGGTCCAGTCGATTTGAGGGTCTTACCAAATGGCTCCCGAATGGCCAAGTTTCGATCATAACACAATGGCTTAGTTTAGCTTACGATTCATTAAAGATTGTGAACAAGATTTTATCTTACTTGAAACAACAACAGTCAATTGTGAAGAAATTTGTAAAAGAAGGACCAGGCGCACACAAAGATATGGATGCTATCAATAACATGATTTGGTTGCTATCAATAATATAATTTCCGTCCTTATGCTAACATTTGAGGGTTATTACAAAAAAGACTACCATTTGAGCGTAATTTTTTAACATTTTAGCTTTGGCCCTCTTCGACCCTGACTGGACCTGTAAGGTCATAATGGGAGTACCCCCCGTGGGGGTTTAAAAGGCAACGAGCAAGCTTTTGGTTCAATAGACAGTTACCTTCAGCCGGTTCTTCTTCTGCTTCTTTGGCCTCTTCTTCTTCCAATCTTTTCCTTTCCTTGTAATCATGGTATTTCTGCTTCAAATCACGGTATGTTTGAGGAATGCCTACAACGGTTGACACTGTTCCTCTGTATATCAAAAATGGCAAAAGATTCCGTAGTTCTGGCTTCTTGTACCCATAGTTCTTTTCTACAATAAAGAAATAAAGTTTAATTTATCGATACAAAAAAGAGATCTTTCCCGAAGGGCCTATCATATTTTTCTAATTTCTGTTCCATGAAAGCTTGTCAAAGTATATAAGCGATCAACAACAGGCTTATTTCATCATCATTTGAAACGCTATTACAACTCAAAATCTAGTTCACATCCTTTTCTGCTCAACTATAGATCAAAATTCAAGTCTGATATGCTCTCTTTACTTTCGAAACTTGACATTGCTTTTTGACAAGCATAATGTACTTATTCCATATGCCTAAATCGTGAGCACCTAGCAAATCTGCAGTTGGAGTTATATCGATGTCATCTGCAACGATCTTTCCTTTTGCTCGCTTCTTCTCCCGCCGCTTTTTCACAGGGGCCAATATTTCTTCCTATAAAAGATAACGTCCGTTCGTTGACAACTAATAGCACAGAATCATGCTAGGTCAAGCTTTAGAAAATTAATAGCCCTGAACAACATTGCAGACGATTTACAAATAAGACATTAGCTCTGGAACACTTTTAACACCATCAAGACTTTTTTCAGAACAAAGAAATTAACGTTCAAAACATAAATATAAAGAAATCAAATATTAATTATATTGTTCTACTTAATTATGATTTTTTCAAGTTGAGTTTCTTCTAAGACCCCGTTTACACTAGAGTGTTTTATCCGGATAAATTTTCATCCGGATAAAAATTTATGCGGATAATCCGGATAAAAATTTGTGCGGATATGAAATATGGCTCCAATGAACTTGTTCTTTGCTATGTTAACAACAAAATTAGGTATCTATTACTTTATATTTTGACTAAATTATCATGCGTTATATAGTGGAACTACATTACGCTAAGGAGCCATAATCTCGTAAGGTTACATACATGCTGGCGAAACAGAAGCAGAGAACCATAATAATTGTCCTTTTATCAAACTTCACTTTAATAATATCGAGAATTTTCAACTCCAGTGGTGGACTTGCAAAGGACATTTGCATGAGATCCCTCCCTTGGCCACCCTCTATACATACATTTAAGGGCCCTAAATTGGGTTATCTTAATCATATTTCTAGGGCTACAATATTCTCAATAGCAACAATCCTCGTACAGTAATGCCTGCCCATCCCCATTTCGAACATAACAGAAACACAAATAAAACCTGAAGTATAAGCCATCAAAATCCGTCATTGAAACCATCCTAAAGACTAAAGATATACTTACTAACTCAAATGCTTTTTCCAAATAGACGGCCCATGAAACTATATAATGGCCAAGCGTTAAAACAAAGAATAGGAGAACCGCCAGCTCAGCCAGTCCCATTTTCTTGACCTTTCGGTAGTAGTATATTGGCTGTCTCCAGTCAGGTAATCCATCTTGAAGAACCTGATCATACCTAGAAAAAATTAGGTAAATCACTTGGCTAAACATTACAAAATATATTTTCTGATAAACTAATAGCTTCGAGGGACATGTCATAAACAGACGAAGCGAAGCAGTGTTAATAAATTTGCCGGTAGGATATATCCATACAAAACAATTTTTGTGTCAGAACAAAATACCCTTTCATAATTTTTAAGCCATGTCTGATTTGCCTGTTAAACAATTATTTTTGATTCATTAAGATACATGCAGTTTTCTTTGATTCAAACTTTCTAGGAGAGCAGGAGTTTTCAATTTTCGAATTTTTGAATAATCAACAACTGGCCTAAACGGAAAAAAGTTTGCATATAAAAAAATAAAAATTATCAGCCTGTTCTTAGGTCGATCACTTGACACCTAATGAAAGCCAAGTTGAAAGACAGAGCCTTCAATCTTCTATAGAAGTAGATGGTAGTTTTTGTGTTTTATTATTTGACAAAATTTGATAATTTGACAAAAGAGAAGAAGCAAACTTATAAGTGGTGAGAAAATGTCTGACAAAATAGAAAGATATGCCAAGAGTTTTTCAGTGAAGGGAAAATTTGCTGCTACAGGAGACTCTGGTTATATTCACATAAAATGATGCTTTAAAATTTGTGAATGTAAACAGAGTGTGAATGTAAGCTAATCTATATTTAATTTTTGCTTATTTGGGTCTAAATTTTAAGTGGAGTAGACTGTACTTCATTCATTATGGTACTTGCTTCGGTTGATGCAAAAATATTGCATGGCAGCTGCCTGGTGATTGACCCACTTTGCTGAAACAATTGGCTTCAAAACCACTTCAAAACTGCATTATAAAAGCACTCTATACTTTATAGCTTCTTATAACCATAATACATTGTCACAGTAATAATAAAAGTAGTTTGACCTACTTTTTTCTTTTTTCTTCATCTTTAAGTACGTCATATATAGCAACCAGCTACAATAAAGGAATTACTTGAAAATCAAATTATGAATCTACCAGCTGTTTCGTAAAAAGCTGACCTGCTATTATTAAATAAAGATATTTATAATTAAACTGGTTTGTGATGGTATGATCAAATGAGTCTAAACTAATTTTGCAAAGATGTTCCCATTGATTGTTTCATTTGACGAAGCAACCAAAATGCCAAATTGATTTTATTTTGTTTTGACTTCATAAATCAGCAGTAATTTTGTGATTGCAAAAGTGACAAATGAATCATACTCTTTAAAATTTCATGTGTCATTTATTATCTTTTTACTAAATGCATTGTAAAATGCTAGACAGTGGCAATAATGTATTTGAGCAAATATCTGCAGCCATGAAAATTTACATAATTTTTAATATAGTTGCTGCTTTCACCTGTCTGAACTTGGTTTCTGCATCTGGGCTATCATTTTTGTCTGGATGCCATACTAAGGACAGCTTCCTGTATGCCCTTCTGACTTCTGAAACTTTGGCTGACTAAAATAGAACAGCAAAACAAACTTTAACACTAATGTTTAAAATGGGTGTGTATGCAGAAAGATGCCTGGTTAGCTAATTTGCTTTGCCAATACTTAATCACAATTTAATCACAACACAAAATTTGCTTCTTTTATAGCTGATTAAAATAGCTCATAAAAGGGCTCTTTTCACTGTTACTTTTACCCATTTTTCAATAAAGGCTTTAAAAATAACGGACATAGCTATTAAAATTTTTGGCGCATAAAGCAGGGCAATTTGCAGCTGCTACGCAGATTTTCACATGATCAACAGGAAATCATTCCTGTTGACAGTTCTCAGTAACATTTCACTACAAATCCCAGCAATTGATAGCACCACAAACAGTCTTAAAATCTCCAAGTTCCCCTTGCTTCAAAGCAAGAGAAATAATTTCTCTCATGAAAGTGAACTAAATGGATCAATTTTGGTTTATCACACAAACATTAAACCTTAAAAATAAAACAATAAGTTACATATACTAATATGATATTACAAAAAATAAACTGATATTAGATTAGATTACGGAGATTAGAGAGTGAGAAATCTTAAAAAAGATGAGCTCTTTCAGTAGATAAACTTGCAATTGTTTAAACCACTTGCAATAAAGCCAGATATTTTAGAGAAAATCCTTAGTTAAGCTTTTTTTACAGCAAAATGACCCCATTGTTGGTTGTAGTTTGTGGCTCAGAATAACAAGTTTAAAATGAAATACCAGCATCTTTTTACCATGACCTGAGCGCTAACTTTTATAATCAGTATGTATATATTACATATGCTTTAGATGCTGTACATAAGTATGATGTTTAACTTAAAGCTGTTCAGTGTCACATTCAAAGGTTCCAACTATCCCAATTTGGGCAGGAGTATTTGACTTTAGTATTCTTTTCCCGTTCTCCCAATTTCAGATGGAACCTCCTGCTTTCAGAAGTGATATATGATTCTGTAATAAAACTTTATTTCCAAAGACATGTTGAGGAAATAATTGAATTCCTAAATGTAAATCTGATTTATGATTTATAACAGAGAACATTTAAGGTCAACTTTAGATTTTCATTCCAGTGTGTTTGTCTCTTAAAACTTGTTTATAGTCAATTTTTCAACATATGTTAGAAAGTGGATTCGTATTAAGGTAAGGATTGTCCAAAAAGTACTGAATGTTTGTAATGGATAATGTATTACTTTATTCCTCGAGCTTATCACCTATCCAGGGTCTGAATTCTTTTTCGACATATCAAGGAATTAATTTTGGTGGATGTGCCAAAGTCAAATTTTCACAGGAATTGATTACAAAACTCCTGATTTTAGCTGTTCTTTGGGTGGAACCTCCAACCAAATATGATATATTTTCTTTGGCTGGTATGATATATCAGTCCAAACAGGGTGGAAAGTCTGTTTATTAATATTTGTCTATGTAGCTTTCTAATGCTAATGTTTGGGAGGATGCTAATGTTTGGGGGGGGGCAAAATGAAAAATCATTAGGGGTCTCTGCTGCCTCTGTTATGCCACTGTCTTGTGCACATATGTCAACAAATAGATATGGCCCATTAGAATAGGTACATTTGACTCTGGCTTTACGCTACAGATTTTAAAATCTAGAGGATGCTAGACAGCCTGCGAGGACAAAAACATTATCAAAATATCTGAAATCTTGAAAGTTTACTTTAATCCAAAAATATAAAACAAAACGAAGGTTGACCAGTCAAGGACAGTCAGTTTCATTTACTTATCACTCAATCCTTACACAATTCTACATTAATGATACCACCAGAATGCAGTGTCTTGTGAAATTGAGATTGTTAAATTCAGATTGTAAAAAACAAAATGAGATCGTAGAAATTGGTGAAAGATAGAGCTTTTTTAATTTGGCTAATTTTCACTAAACGGAAGAGTTTTATTGATTGTCTTCCTGGCCTGCGGAATGCTTTGGCTAACACGATTGTCGTTCTTGTGGCCTATCTTCACGCACAAAGCCCTTGACAGGAAAGATATCAAAGATGTCTGACTGTACTGAACAAAACGTTCGAGCTGAAAAGACACCATCGTATTCAAATAATCTTCGATGATCTTACGCAATGAAAAAGATTTCAAGAGAATTTACTCACCTGTGAAATTTGAAGCACGTCATAAAAAGAGTTTCCAATCCCAATTTCTTCGACCAAATCGAAAATTTCTAGATCTGTTGTGTCATAAGAATTGACAGCAATTGGAAACACAATTAAAAGATAGAAAGATAAAGGAAAAAATGTGATTTCCATGATAATAAGTATAAAAAATTTTCAAATAACAGAGATTCTAACAAGTGGCCTTCAAGTGATCAAATAATATTTTCCTTGAAAGGGAGGCTGTAACAAAATAGCCGAACAAAGCACATGTAATGTGATTCATTGGATATGAAAAAATATATCTTGAGTAATAAACAGTAAAAAACATACTACTACATATGTGTTTAATTTAGTCTATTGTATCATGTATTTTTAACCTATAAAAGATTACAATTTTCAAAGTTTTCACAGCCCCCTGCAAAAGAGCCAATGACGGACGGGGCCACGGCCACTTAGGTATGAAAAATAAATTATACTAGCACAGAAGAACACTACAGGCACGCCGGAGGCGGGGGCTGGGGGGGGGGGCTATGGCCACCTCACTTTTGCCGAAGTATGATTTTCAGGTTGTGGCAACAAATATAATGGTAGAAAAACTACCGAAAAAATTTGCCAATTTAACTCGATGCGGTGAATATTTAACTTGGAACAAGTAATTTGACTCAATGCCGTGATATTTAACTTGGGAATCTTTGAAAATAACCAAGGTCTTTTCATGGGACGGGGTCGTTGCAATACGTTTCAAAATACTAGAATAAATTTTTCTAATTTGTCGGCAAAAATTATCCAAAAAGATTTCTCGATAAAATATCAATATATTGTTGTCGGCTCGTTATTGTCGGCTGTTGCAATCATTATATTGTTGTAATGTATGTATTTGCCTGAAATTAGAGAGTGGCAATGTTTTCGAAACCTTTATACAGGGCAAAGACAGCAGGCATACAGCAGACGTTTGTTAAATGTCTTGATCACAGAAAGCTTATATTAATTGTATCACGCTTTTGAACTTGGAATAATGGAAGGATTTAAGAAACTTTGAAACGATTCAAGGATCAGAAGCTTTTTCTGAATTGATGGCCTTAAGCAACAAAGAATCATTATTCTGTATAAACATTGCCTGGGTGAAATAACAAACTCATTTGTATCTGATAAAATTTCATTTAATTTGTTCCTTCGACAGGGAGTCCCCCTTTGCCTTAATTCGCTTAGTTTGATGTTTTCCTTCTTATTTCAATCTTTCCGATTGATTATAGCTGCGATCATTTAATTCAAAAAACAAATTTCCGACCAACCAAAACATTTCCTTATCTTCAAAACTTGCGTCACTAACTTCACTTAAAAAACACCTTTTAAAAAGTGTGCTTTAAAAAGTGTGCTTTAAAAAGTGCGCAATGTTTAGCTTCTTTAACTGTTTGTTTTTATCAATATAAAATTACTTAATCAATGGTACATTTAACTTATTAAAACTTTAACACGTTTTTCATTCACTAACCCCTTTAAATCAGAATATTAGACGATTTGTGTTCAGAGTGTTTGACTGTTCAATAAGGGTTTCTAAAGGTTTTTATTGTGAATTCACAGAGCCTATTTTATGGAAATTTTCATGAAAAGACCACACTTTAAGAAAAGAAAGCTGTATATGAAGCATGGAATTTCAAAATATCGACCGTTGCCGTAGAAAGCATTTTTCTTTATTCGTGTAAAACAAAAATATTCAATGTAACACGATTAGAAATATGTTTCTATAATAGCCTATTCTTTATGGACTCCGACAGTAACAGTAGTTAAAGGTTAACATTGCTAGAAGCTCTATAGTTCTAGCCTGCGTCACAGACCATCACCACCAAGGAGGAGAGTGACGCAGGCTATATAGTTTATACTTACTTTGATATTGAAGAACACGCTGAGCCAAAAAATTTGAAAAGCGGGGGGTTCAATTAGAGCAGAGGGCTATAAGATTTTTGAAAGATTAACATTGGGGGGAGTTCATTTATTGGGGGCCTTAGAGTAAGCTGATCAGTTTCAATTATTTCAGGTTTCAGAAATCGACATCAGGTTTGCCTTTCTTAATATTTTCTGATCCTTCTCTCTTTGTAGGCATCACCTGCTTCCGAAAAACACTTTAAGGAACCATTCTTGCTCTTTTGCTTTCGATACAGAATGTTCCCGTCGTTGCTTTTTGTTTATCCAGAACAAAGCAGCTGTAATAGGGTCAAATTCTGACTGAACTGAACATCGTTTGCGGAGACAGGGAGGCACGGTCATTTGTTTTTATTTTGTTGTATGTGCTGATCAAACGTTCAACGTCTGCAGAATGTGGCTTAGCTGCTACGATCCTTGCGAGGGCTGTTCGAATTACCATGTACTTATCATAGCTAACATGACAAACCTCATTCCACAATTTTGAATTTCCAAGACCACATTTTGGATTTCCAAGACCACAAAATGTGGGAAAAACCACACTAAAATAGGCCCTGCGGCTTCATATGCAAAATGCAACAATATTAATCAACATATCTCAGTTTGCTCGTGAAAGAAGTTTGCGAGTTTTCGCTCTGCAGAGGCAACTGCCGTGAAGACGAATGAAAAACTTCTTCGACTTGCATGACATGAATATCTTAATTTGTTAGGTAATGGTAAAGAAAAAACACCAATATGGTATAAACGTGATAATGTTTCAAGCAAGCCATGGAATTAACAAAAACAAATCAAACATGGCCATGCAATCCCATGATCCTCTGACGATTGTTGTATACGCTGCAAGCTCACAACCGCAATATAAAGATGCCGAATTGTAGCCATGTTTTGGCCTAGAGCGTATCCAATCGCCATATTTTTCAAATTCGATAAAAGCTGATACCACTATCCTGGCAAACATTCCGCTCACCCTCGATAATTCGTGATTCAATATTCTTTTCATAGATGCTCTATCAAACAAACCATTATTATCAAAAAAGTAATAATCTTCATAACTGCCCCTTTATAATTCGGAATATTGAAGGAAACAAGTGTGCTGTGTACAAATGCATACTACCTGCAAATGTGTACAAACATTTTCTCTTCATAATAAACAAGAGCAGTCCCAAACACGATGCTTGTGGAATACGGCAGCTTGATTTGTTTTTACGAGCTCTGTTCGACGATTGCTCATTTTGTGTGCACCGATAGTTTCTTCAAAATTTCCTGATTGTCGATGTCAAAAGCTTAGGTAAGATCAAGAAACTGACTAATTTTAACTCTTGTTGCGATTGCAATGTAGACAGGCACCGCGCAGCCATTGGGCTAGCAGGGGCTAAAGACCCCCCCCTCCTTTTGCAATAATAGGTTAGAAATTTTTTAGAAATTTACTCTAGCGCAACTTTTGTAAAATTTACTTTGACGGATTCTGAGTAGTAGCAATTTTTCTTGACTGGGAACCTTCTTTGTTCATTTTCTTGGCGTCTTATCTTGTTTATCTATTTCACAGTAATTATTATCTTTCTGGCGTTCTTAAGGGCGTGGCCTAATCAGATTTTCCGTCATACCCTTCTCAGCCCACCCACTTTTAGACTGGTGTGCGGTGCCTGTTGTAATAACAAGTGTACGTTAGATTCAACAGCGATAGAATCGTTAAATGAAACCTGGGGTAAGCAAATTGATCCCTTGATAACATGATTGCTAGTTCAAACCTGGGCCGGGTATCTCATAATCTTCTCAAGTGTCTAATGCATCAAGGAAAGGATTCCTTTTCGTATTTTCTCTTTGCAAGCAATCAGCTTCAGAATGACTTCATCCTTCCTGTAACAAATGGGCCCAAATTTACAGATATTTCAAACATGCAAAGAAATAGGCGTAGACAAGGTGTGGCTTTTAAAATTATCTTTTTCAATGGTCTTCCTTTCAGTTGTTGAAACCATTAATCTGCAAACCATTAATCTTTCCTTTTCTTTTTCTGCTTGATGGACGCTTTGGGCAGCAAAATCCTGGAGAAATTAATAGATAAAACATCTTTCTGTTCTAACACGAGTAATTGTATTGTCGTTGGCTTTCAGTTGGCAACAACCCCTAATTTTCTTCGTGGGCCCGACTACTTAGCGTCTTAAATTGATTTAACACTACCCAGAGAACTCTCCAACAACCAAGGCCATACAATAGACTTAACAATTAAATCTCTTCGTTAAAGTGGTTATGAGGATAAATAATTCTATATTTGGTCACATTTTGATCTAATTTCTGATCTAGACAGACTTATCCGATTTGATTAGCTTCTTGCTGCTATTTATGGAACATAAACTGTGACCACGTCGCTGATATTTCTGTTAGCTTATCGTACGTATTTCATGAAAACACGGCTCAGCCTGAGACTGTTAAAGATGAACAAAACATTAAAATTTCAATGACTTTTCATTAACAAGCAGATGTTCGCCTTGAAGTAATTGGACTATTTTGAACCAAAATTGGTTATATATATTTCCTAACTTAGAAATCAGAATTACAGACTCCAGATTATGGAAAGACTTTAGACTGAAAAAATAAAGCAGACAATGTGCAGCTGACCTATTTAAGTTAGTCGTTGTCTCAATTCAATTTTTGTCTCTGGAAATAAAATCCTACGTTTGTTCGATTTCTTTTCCTTATGGAAAACCCCTCTTAACATAAGAGCAACAACTCACAAATGCGTCAGCAGAGATGAAAATTTAGTCTCTCATAAATTTCTGTTAGTCTTGGGGCACTCTTGATCCAATGTAAGCACGGTGTGTGGTCATTATAACAAGGATAGTAAATGAATATTCAAATCTTCGAGCGAAAATGTCTTTCTATTGTGTGCTTTACTGTCACAGGAAAGACTTAGTTTGTTGCTTGCAGACTCCTGAACAACCTAAAGTACGGTGAATTCTCCAACCCTGATATCTGGTATCTGGTACAATCTTCCCTCAAACGTACTATTGTTTTTCACAACGAATACCAGGGGCTACCAGAAATCTAGAGAAAAAACTCCTTGGATCCACTCTATGAGAGATATTTTCGATTGAGTCCAATATAAGAACTCAAGATGATGCTTATGAATCGCTGGTTCATATAATTTGCTTGTGTTGAGAGTCGTTTGAATAATTTTATTTGACGTGCAGCAAACACAAACAAGGGGACGCTACGAACGTGTGATTGATTACGTTACTGTGGATTAGAATATAATGCAAGATTTAAAGGACAGTGTTACAATGGAAGACATGATTAAGTCTTATTGGGCAAATTCTTGATGAATCCTGCAATTTAAGAATCGAATCTTTCTTGACAAAATGATTAAAAATAGCGGCCTTGAGTCTTTGCTATGACATCTGGAAAGCAATACGTTTCTGCTAACGGAAGTAATCTGACTTGCTCTAAATTAATTGTGGTGCTCCACAATGGTTTATGCTGGGCTCATTATTTTCCATTATACATATCACTGAACTGCCTAATGCATCTAAAAAATTCAAGTTTTATCTACTTGGTGACGATTATAGTGCGTCTAAGAAATTCAAGTTTTATCTACTTGGTGATGATAAAAGCACATCTTATGAGTCATGTGATCTGTCTAATCCAATCAAATTGATAACAGAGAGCTACGCCCAGTAAAGAAATGGCTTGATGCTGATAAACTATATCTAGATATTGATAAAACTATCTACGATATCTTTCATTCTACATTATGTTATTGTGATTGTTATTGTGAGAGTAACCAGGTGTGTCAATAGAGTGAAAATTGTTGGATTTTTAGGCCTTCTGATAGACTTAGCTGGGAATACCAACTCAGAGAACTATTTAAAAAGTTAGCTAGAATATGTGAAATCTTTTTAAAAACAAGAGACTTATCAGGGTGCTTGATTACGGGGGGTGGGGTGCCTTTGCCCCAATTTTTTCTGCAAAAGAATAGAATTTTTTGTGAAATCGTTACTGGGTCTTTAATTTTCTCTGGCCCTCCTTACTTTCAAACCTGTGTCGGTGACCCTGCTTACTTCCATTATATTTAACTAAGATATTTAACTCTGCTTATGCAATTCTTTGTTTCTGTCCTTCTTGAAACATGACCTTATTGTTTGGGGCCAAACATATGAATGATGAATTTAACCAGCTTCAATTTACAGAAAAAAGGCAATTAGTTTCATTTCAGCTTCGATATCATCGTCTATCTTAAAAGATCTCAAATTTTTGAAACTTTCGAAGATTTCTAAACTTCGACTTTTTACTTTTCTACCCACAAAGTTTTTAATTCTACCAACAAAACGTAAACCTATTGCTTTTATAACTTTTTCTAATTTAGTTCATCAATATTCTACAAAACAAGCCAGTTACCGCGATTTGCTTTTGTTTAAGCACTACCTGTTGTACTCAGAATTCATCTTAAACAAAGTAAATCTAAAAAACTACTTGTTGAGCAGGGCAAACCAGCTAAATATTTCGATCCTCGTAATTTATTTCTTGTCTTTTTTCAGTCTTGCTTGCTATTTTCAATGTTTTTACAGTTATTTTGTGTGAACGAAGAACGGCCATGTCTGAGGGGTATCCTGGGCTACTTTTGTGACTGCTGCAAGAAAAGACGAATCATTAAATTTCTTTAAACTATTTCGATTCATCAAAATTCATAAATATTATCTCAGAATTGGAGAATTGGATCTCTCCTTGATAGGTTTATCTAGTGAGGGAGCTCTTTCTTTGAGTAATTTTGTTTCTGTATTTTTTTTGTATTCGTAGTAAGTTCATGTTCATTATAATGCTCTTGTAGTTTTGTTGTTCGCTCTATCTTTAGCTGGAATTCAGGTTTAGTTGATAGTTTGGTTGTAAAATATTCATTAACTTCTTGGCTGCATCAACAAGCCCTGCCCAAAGTCTGGGAACAATAACGTAAGTCTGAGGTCCCGACCTCGAGCACAAATTTAGCCATTCCCTCTTCCCAGGCAACAATGTTCGTTTTTTTATAAAACAACGTTTGAGATTTGGGAGCGTTAGCTTATGAGAAATGAAACAAAAAATATACAAAAGCAACATAAGTTTCTCGTAGTTCTTAGTAAAACTGGCTGGCCAAGTATAACTCTCGCTGAGTAAGACTGAAAGAAGTTGAGCAATTTTTGCTTCTATAATCATTTATTTGGTCAAACCAAGGTTTAGTCTCTGAATTTCCAGGTTATTTTAAGCGAAGTTAAACAAACTCAAGTTTTTGAATTTCCAACAAGTTTTTGAACTTTGGAAATTTACATAAGAAAATCTTATGAAATAAATTAAATCGAGCAAGAACGAATCAAAAACGAAACGAATTTTTGCAAAGGGCAGACACCAGACAATCATTTTCATATCGATTTTTGGGAGGTTGCGGGTAGAGTGTTCGTTGAATCGTGGTCGAAATGAAATGAAAGAAATAAAAAACGGTTCAAATTTCGAAAATGTTATAACATTAACCACGTTTTTCGAAAATTTGCCACAAGAACACCTTAAATGAGGTCTTTTACAGTCATTTTTTAAAAGAAATCGTCTTTAAAAACCGAGTTTTAAGAAGATAAAAAAATTAGGAAACCAAAGTACTGTTCTCGAAAATCCTTCTCTTAAAGATGGGGTGAAAATGACTCCTTCGACGACTCTCCTTTCTGTTTAATTGATACAATTAAATAGAAAAAAGAGCTCCGTGACTTATTGAGGGTTCTATTTCAAGTTACTTTGTCCAAGGTCTTGGTGTTACTGTAAAGTGGCTCTTTGGCATTTCGTACTTAAGAAGCCTTTAAGAAACTGTTAACCTTGAAATCAACTAAAAAGGACAGTTTTGAAAAATTGTGAATCGATGTTTTTATCTTGTAAATAATTCAGGTGACTTGAATTAAGATTATTAATGAGTCAACCAAAGATCATTTGTTTAGCAAAAAGAACGGGCGAGTTTCTTTTGTAGGCTAAATAGATAATTCAAAGTTACTACTTCAAATAAAACGATTATCTACATGAATTTCAGTTCGGCGGCAACAATATTCGCAGATTTCACGGAAATTACATTATGCATTTTAGGAACCTACAAAATGGAGCTTCGTCGATATGAATTAGAACGCTTGTCATTATTGGCAACATTCTTTAACAAGACCCATCTTTTCTATTAAGAATACTGTTGTGAAGGATTATTCGAAGTTACTTCAATAGGTGATGCAGACTTTACTCTAACACGGTACCAGAGTTTCTTCATTTCACGTCCAATGTCCTGGCAAAAGAAGCAATACACAAGAGGATTTGCTGCCGAATTAACAAGCATAAGGGTGTATGCCCAGATATTTATGAATTTTGGAAAAAGTTCGATTCTATGTGACACTGCAGTCGTGGTAAAAGCAGGGCCATAGAAGAGAAAAAGCGTTGCAACTACTACGAACGTTGTTTTGGCAGCCTTCGCCTCTTTCACTAGCTTCTCGTCTGTTGCGAAACGTTGCTGCTCTTGTCGAATTTTTCTTCTAATTTTTCTCGATATGATGAATATTTTTGAATAAGCAAAGCTGTTCCATAGCAAAAAGAACGTCCCAATTACAGTGACCATTACGATAAATGCGAGTCTGGTTTGCTTGTACGGGAGACACCCAACTGCCCCATAAGAGGCCCCAATTATCCATATCAGCACAATCATTTTCAGAGAGCTCTTGCTGGTGCAACGGCGTTCGTGATAAAACGGATAAAAAATGGCGAGAAAACGCTCGAGAGTCACGTAGGAGACAGTAAAAAACGAGGTGGCTGGTAATGTATATCCAATAGCTACCGTGGCAATGTCAAGAGCACATGGTGGCTGTCCCTTCGTGGCTAAAACAGCTAGCCTTGCTATGTGCAACGGCTGCGCCAAAATTCCGGCAGTAAAATCTGTTATTGCTAAAGATAGGAGTATCATGTAATAGGTTGTCCAGAGACGTTCGTGCGAAAATATGACCCATATGACACTTCCATTAAGCACGGTTGAGATTACAGCAAAGAGGAAGTTGACAATGCAGTTGATAAGAATGTTGTATTTAAAAGCGTCGTCTGTACAAGATATCATGTACTCCGGGACGACCAAGCACGATGTTGACCATGAACAATTCATTTTCTATTCACCGATACGATTCGCGCAATATAACTCCGATAAAAAATGTTTATCCGCCTTTTATTCCCATTGATAACACCAAACAAGCTTGCAATATTGTCAACTCAAGAAAAACAGCTTTTGCATTTGTCCACGCACATCCAGTGACTGCGATCTTCCAGAGATTAATGAGATAAAAAACAAATATTATCGATCAGATGAAAAGTGTCATGTTTACCCCGAATATTCTACTACCAACCGATCTTCATGTGCTTCTGATGTGAGTGGGCTTAAATGAACTAGGATCGCAATGACCACGAAATTCTCTTCGTCATGTAAGACCTGAAACAATAGGAGCAATGCATGAGAATAAGGAACAACAAATAGTATTCTTCCCACCTGTTCATCAAACAAACTCGTTAAAAATTGATCGCCAAACGCAACCAAACGCAATCAATAATATCTTTAATATAATAGCGTTCCATTTGATCAACAATATCTTTATATTGTACATTGACAAACCATGACGCAATCAGCGTTTGATAATCAAAAATCCATAATTGGGCGAGGCCCTTCAGTGCTAACGAGGCTGAGGCTGATCAGGATATGGTTCAGGAACCCGCAACTATTAATAGTAATTGGCTTTAGCTACTCAGGATCTCCGTTTATTTTTGTTCCTACTTCCAAAACCGATAGATAACAATGTCTCATTTTATCGATGCAAATAAAAGAATACCGATCACTGAAAAATTTTTTGATACCAACAAAAGACTTGCTGCTTTAGCTTGGATGGACATTAAAATCATCAAAAGTTTGCTTTCCTCGTCACGTACAGTCAACGAATAATGATAACAAACGAAGATGGTTTCAATAGGAAATATTTGCTTACTAAACATGAAAAGATTGCTTTGTTCGATGAATCAAACCTAACAAGGAACAGAAACAATCGAGCCGGAAAATTCTAGCTGATTAAAACCTTACAGATTCCAGATGACAATGGCAAAGAATGTTTAAGAAAAACCCTCGGGGCTTGCAAATTGCAAAGCGACTTGATTCATCGGGAAATGATGTCATTTTCTTGATTCTCATGAGACAGTCTCGCCGTTATAGTCCCCCGTTTAACGGAAGAAACTGGATCGATCCGTACATTTCGCTTGCGTTTACACGGGATCGATCCCAGATCGGTCCCTAGGGAGGAACGCACATGCGTATTGCTTATGTCATTAGCACCTAAAGAAGATAGCACCAAATTTGTAGGAAGATTGACAACAAAATGACGGGATCGATCCCAAACGTGTACACGAGACGGGATCGATCCCAAACTGGATCGATCCCAAACTGGAACGCTTTCCAAAGCGAACCCAAATTAGCACGGATAGCGGATCGATCCCGAGCGTTCCCGTGTAAACGGAAGGCCGATCCGTACCAGTTTGGGATCCCGGCCTGGATCGATCCCGTGTAAACAGGGTCTAGTCTACTGGTCTCACAATTGAGATATGGGAAATTATGAATTTACAACTTTTAGTATCAAAAGATATTATGAATTAACAAATTATTATACAATATCCACAGAAATTTTCAACTGAATTTAAAACCTTTAATTTTTTATAATTAAACAATCTTTCGTCTAAACCTTTGTACTCCACAATCTACATACTTGAGAATGAAGATGATAAATTTTGCAGCAATGCAAACGAAGTTTATGAGAAAAAACTTGAAGTTTTTTTAGAAGCCTTTGTTAAACCAATATTTTATTTGTTATAAAATTGATTTTTCAGCGCTTGACAAAGAGCCTATATCAAGGTGTTGCTCGAACATAAAGAGGACGAATATTCAATGTTATTGATAATATTTAAAGCCGGCTGAATCATCCAGCTGTTCCCCTGAGCAAGACTTTAAACAAGATCAAAGTTCTTTAAAAGTACTACATGTTGATATCAAACTATAGAAAACGAGGAAATAACACTAGAATTGCCAACAAAGAGCGTCGTTGCCGGAGTTTGAAAATAAACAAATGAAGACACATTTTTCATGCATCTGCAAGGATTGTATAGGATTAACAGCCTGCTGCCAAATCCGAAAATAAATTATGTATAACGGTTGGAATGGCATTAGATGGAATGGCATATAACGGTTGGAATGGCATTCGTATAAAGATGGCATTTTACATTGCCTTTCTCAGCTGCATCATTTGAATTTGAACTGAAGAACTTGAAAGAAATTTCCATAAGTCTCACTCCCTACTATCATTTTGTATCCTTTAAATTTAAGCTTTCGATTGAATTTGTGAACATTGTCAGAAATATCCAGCGCAGAATGTAGGTTGAGTCTATCAGTAAATTTTCCCAGTTTTTTTAAGCTTTTCTATACATACAGCTATTCTTCATCTTTGTACTTTTAATAAAGGACAGGTCCCAAGGCCTAGTTCCTTATGTCCCTTATTTTTGGATCTCTTTGGCTCACTTAAGGTACCAAAAACCCCAAATCATTTCTTAATTCTAACTGCATAATAAGTGCCCTTAAAGAAGCGCAAACTGCACATTAAGTGCCCTTAAAGAAAGGCAAAAAGTGAAGAACCGGCCACATGAATAGAACCGGCATCCTTATTTGCAAACCGAAAATTTCAATTGTCTTTAGAAGTATCAGTTCCTTAAAAGTTTTGCCTTCATATGTAAGTTCCTTTTACAGTGTTCCCTTAGTAAAAAGTGCATCAAAAACTTTTCCGAAACTCGTTTCTTAGACTTATAGTAGATAACACATATTGCAATGTATTTTCCTTTTATTTTGATCTCAATTGAAAATATTTCAGTGAATCCATTGCACCCACATTGCACGATAATTGAAATGTGACAGCATAATCGAATCTTTGACTTCCAAATGCTCCAACATCAAATCCAGCTTACATGCAACGAGAACTCATCATAGACTTAAAAACACAGTATAATAAGAGCAGACGTACTTGGTCTTTAAAACTGTATCTTTCACTGAAAACCCATCTTGATCGCAGTAACACCACATCGTGCCTGGATAAACAAGATGGATGATTTTAAAGTGACTGATAATACTCCATTTCTTATGTGTACAGATTCTTAAAAATTACAACTTTTCGTTTGTAGTAGCAAGCAGCAAGTCTTATACTTTTACTTTCTTCATTCCTACTTTCAACCACCTAGAATTATTATGCCCTTTTGTTTCGTACAAAGCAAACAAAAAATATAATTTTCTATAAATCAATTGACAGTTCAAGAAATTTGCTTAGCAAACACAGGAAATTCTGCCTTTGGTTTATATGGCGCTATGACTTTTATCTTGTATGCTAAAGAAAAAATTACGGCATTACTTGGCGAGAGGCAGGTGGCAGTAGATTCAAACAACAGAAATAACTCCGCATTATACCCAGCAAATAAAAAAAGCAGTAAGAATACCGAAGTCCCAAACATATACATCTCTTGAAGAGGCCTTAGCAAACGCAATAAATGGAAAATTAAAGAATGCTCCACCTCAACTTGAAAGTCCCGAGAAACACAGTGAAGTGGTTAAGTAGTTCAGTGTTCTTTAGTTATATAGATAAAAAGCGTGTCCTTAGATTCTAGATTCTTTCAAATATTACATTGCTTTCAATGGTGGCGCAAATGAATGGTATGGGCGGGGAGGGGGGGGGGTAGAGGTCCCTCACTCTTCAATATGGTCCACATAATCTCAATATGGTCCACATATTTCTATAAAAAGTTGATAAAAATACACTGGGTTAGGGAAGGTAATGTATTTTTAAAAGTTGCCTTTGGAAAAAATAGCTGGTTTATAACACTAAAATAAGGACAAAGGCGTGGTCCTATGGGTCACGCCCATTATTTTTCACTCTTTCCCAAAACGTTGAGAAAAGGTAAAACTTAGAAAACATCAATATTGAAATTTTCTGCGAGAATGGTTTTGTAATGGCAATTCTATGATTGCAAAAGCACAAAAACTGCAATTCCAAGGTATCATAGTGGCAAGACAGGAGGGGGTGCGTGGATACGGACACGCCACCCTGATTAATGGATCAATTCTTTTCATGAAATGATTACGCAAGGAAGACTAGCAAATAATGTTACCACCTACACCATAGATTTCTTGATATTCACGCTGTTTGGCACTTGAAAATGATAAAGCATTAATAATGAGAGCGGCAAGATACCACGGTAGCAAAGATTTATTGCATTTTGGATGATCTTAGGACAATCAACGAGAAGCGTCATGAAGAGACTCTTATCAATTCAAGAAGATACCTCTCAATGTCATAAATATATATGCATTCTAAATATTCTATCTAGTATTCTTTGAATTTTCAAGAGAATGGCCTAACGTGCCAATGTATTCTGTGATAGTTTCACAGTAAAATATAATGGGTATGCAGAAGAATTTATTTTTAAAAATGCATTTTTCCTTTCTACAATCCAAAAGTTTGCTGCTTCTAAAAAATCGAAAATTAACTGAAGTTAGGTTTGATATGTTCCATATAGCGGATTAAACAAGGAAAGTGGATATTTGTTCTAAAAATCTAAAAAGCTTCTAAAAATATCTGCATCGAAGTTTATTCTCCAATAGTTTTTCGTCCGAGGGTTTGTGCACTTAATGTTCTTGGCGTTCAGACAAACCCTTAGTATTGAATTGTTGTATTGTATTGTAAAGATTATTCAATGTAGTTTTTACAATAGTGAAAACATACCAGATTATTTACTGCAAAACGAGCACGCGCACTTCTTTTCAAGGAACCAAGTTCTGATTAAACTCTTTAACTGTCTACCATTTGTGCTGTCTTTATTGATTCCGGGAGTGAATTCCAGATTTTAGGCCCTTGGAAACGTAATGATCTGATACCATTATTCGTATTTCTGACCTTTAGTAAAAAGCGTGGTTTAACCACTGGCTGTGTACCAATTGAAAAAGAAACCAATAAAAAGCAATACAATATTTTTCTCTTTCAGTTTTGACAGACAAGCTAAGATCAAATTTTACATCTACACATAAAAAGAGTAGGCATTCCTTATTCTACACATTAGCAAGTTCTTTATTATATTTGGTTCAAAGAGCCATTTTATTTTGCCGAAAGACTAGCTGGAAACGAAAGGGCGCCAAAACTGCCTAAACCGAATCCAATAATTGAAGTCGCTTTCTTTGGCCATGCAATGCCACCCTCGCAACGCAAATTGGCTTGATTTCTAATCGATTGGCCATTAATTTGCCTCAAGCGCTGTCCACAATCGGAAATCCAGCCCAGTAGATTAGCTTACTACCAGCTTAGATTTGCTAATTTACTTTTACTTTTTAAAGCGATTTACAATGTAGACAGAATAATGGAAAGGTTGGTGACACTCTGTTTATGCGGGGTGAGTTGAATAGGAGAAATAACCAGGGTGGGAAAAGTATAAACAATTACTGTCTTGCTTCCTAATCCCTGCAATTTTGGCTCTCGGTTGCATTAACGTTAGATGTGATGGAATTGACTTGACCAAATAATAATATGAGATTTGTGCCTTACATTGTAAAAAGCACGGAAAAAAATTTAGAATCTACCTGAAAATTATGCACAGTTTGCGAAAAAAAGCAAAGTTTTACTCACGATAAATGCCACCAAAATGTTTGCCTTTTTGGGAATTTCCATTCATAGATGCATTGATGACAACTTTCTGCAAAGCGTTCAGTTGATTCAAAGAGTCTTAGCTGCTTTTAAAAGCGACTCAATGAATTCTAAATTGAAGATATTAAATATAAAATCTATTACAGTCTAAATTCCTCTGTCTTTTCTCTGTCATTTGTACAAATGTTTCTCATTTGAGTAGAAAAAATGTCAACAAAGTTTTCAACCTCGCTGATACTGTAGCTTTGACGTCATGGAAACTGAATTACAAGGCAAGGAATGTTGATATAAATGCAAACCATTTTCTGTCCCTCCCTTGCTCTCAGCTGGCTTTATTCGAACATAGCTGAGACAAATAACAATTCATAAGGATAATTTAAACAGTGTACTGTAAGCAAACAGCTAGCAAAGGACAAAACTACCTCGTGTGTGGGTCGTATTTGTCAAAATAGATTTTATTGATAAATCAATATGTAACTTAGAAAAATGTTATCTTTCTTGTTCAAAGTATATACTTCAAATTTTGTCCCTTTCCACTAAGCCTTGACATATGTTACTTGATATCCATCTAGAGGAATCTTGACGTCATATATTTGTTGTCGCTTACAAACTTTCAACGCTTACAAATCTACAAAATAATGCCTGTAGTGCATCGTTGGTAAATTTAAGTCTTTACTTAAATTTCACACAACAGGGTTTCGACAACTAGCCATTTTACAGTCAAACTCGGACATGCATAATTCAGACTAACACAGGTCCGACTTGCGTAAGTCGGACTCGCATAAATCAGACTTGCTTATGTCGGAATCGCATGAGCCAGGCTTGCATAAGTCAGACCCACATAAATCAGACTTGCATAAATCGGATTCAGATGTATCAGATTCGCATAAATTAGACTCGCATAAGCTAGATATTTTGTGACTCGGACACAAATGCGTGGTCCGGTTGATTTTGAATAAACACTATACATGTTAATTGCACATCACATATTTTTGTAAGTCGGATTGTCACATGTTTGTACCTCGATAGACCAATTGACCAACAAATCTTTGCCTATTGCTAGTAAAGTTCAGGTATAAATGATACGATTAACGTTGTCCATGGATGGTTAACTTTTATATCTACATTTCAGCTGATAGGATTCCGTCATTTTAGTCTTTGGCGCTTGATAAGGGCTTGTAAAGTCGAAATTTGGTTTTTACTCTGTGGTGCGTCAATTTGAATTTCAGACGTGCAAGTCGTTTAATTTGTCTGCTTCCAAGATGAATAAGCTGTGTGAGTTTCCACTGAATCACTGTGGTACCAGTCGAGTTACTAAACCTCTTGGTTGTTGTGTCATCACCAAAAATCAATGTCCTTTTCCAAGTAGCAGGAAGTATGAGTTGTTTGAAATTCAAACAGTTTTGCCTATAAAGTTATTTGTTTTTTGTTTGGGGAGCGTTGCTTTTCATGAATTTGCTTTTTCTTCATGGTTTGGAAATAATTTGAAACCATTATACTCAATGAAAAACAGACAGGGATAGGTAGTACAAGGATTCCTTTTATCTGACAAAGAATTAGGGGATTTGTTAACTATAAGTTTTTTTAGGAAAGCTTCAAAGCAGGGGAGGATGATGTTTAAAGAAGACGTGGAACGAGCGGGGACTTGTTTGAAACAGAGGGGAAAATGAATTATTTTGTCTAGTTAATGAAGAAACCAACACTGCGAAAACTTGTGGGCCTATAAAAATTTGCGAAACATAGTCGATGTCTGAAGATAAGTTTATCTTTAGAAAAGCCAAAACCGCAACAGAAAATGGAATAACCAAAGAAAAGGGGAAGGTTTTATATTCGGTTACATTTTAAGATAAATAGGCTTATGGGCAAAGATTTCAACAAAGTTTGGTGCGAACCAGATCTGGCTTTTGATTTTCAAAAAGCCACGATATAGAAATAATATAAAACCAACACAGAGCACTTAACATGAACCCCAATAAAAGTGTTCAAAACAATGCAAATCAATAATCGTATTGCTATAATTGTTAAAACAATGAAGTATACAAGCTAAAGTGAATCGCTAGTACATATGCCATGAAGAGGATGATCACAACGGGTTCTTTTCGATAAATTATTCATATGTGGCTGTAACTTTTGATAAAGAGGTCCCTTCACTCTCATGATTATTCATAGCCACCATGAATCAGACTTTTAACTTCCTAGATAATGGGTGAAAGGCGTAGATGATTTCCGAGATAAAACCAACGGTAAAGTCATGTTGTACCAATATTTCAAGCGATGGCGTTGATTGCAGCCCTGGCCAGCCTTGCTATCGTGCTAGCTGTCCTTTCAGGAAAAGGTATGTTTAACGAAATAATTAAAAAACATGTATTTGTTGATAACACAATTCCAAATACTATAGCAATCGGTAGGGATTTCAAGGAGGCAATACAACCTACCAATAATTAGCATATATAGAAACAATCGGTATAAAATTCTTAAAAATTATCAATCTCAATTTTAAACATCTTCACAACAACATAGAATTTATTAAGTGCAGATAATTAAAGAAAGGATTAAGAAATAGTCTAGTCAAGATTTATCGTTCGAATTGGAATAAAAATAAAAACTATAAGGGTAAGAAAAATACCAAAACAAAAGGAAGGTCATATGAAAATAGAAAACAAGACGAAATAAATAATAACCAAATATAAACTATTTTTCTATTTATCTCTCATAATTACTGCAGTATAATACTGGTCATTGTAAAAGTTACTCGTCCATATTTTTTTACTGTAAATGTATTAAACTCAAATCATTGTAGCTTTCATATCAATGTAAAAAAAAGTAGTATTTAAACAATACTATATTTCGTACTATCATTTGAAATGTTGTAAATTCTGTATTTCATTCGACATTGAACCCGTAGAGAAGGCCTAGCTCAACATCTCCATGGCAACTATTGTAAAACTGATGAAATTTCAATAATAACAATACATTTAGAAGAGATCAAACGACCATTACAGGGAAATTCTTCGCAACCCTCCCTAGAGTACTGTAAAGGCGGTGAAATTGACATCGAGGACAATAGCACCTTTATTTGATGCAAGAAAACATTGTCTCAAGAGAGATCATCACATTTCATGCAATGTCGCAGGATCTGCTATATCACAAGATGGAAAACATAAGAATTTGCCAATGCCAAATATATGAGAAAACACACGAAAAAACGCTGAAGTTTGAAATATTTTCGAAGACTAGGGCACTTATCAATATTTACGGTTGTGACGACAAACAGCGATAAAATTTTTGCACAAATCTGTCATAGGTCAGGAAATCAAGGCAAGCATAGTTTGGCGCCCAAGTCATTGGATCTGTTAAAATATTTAGTATATATGTACTTTAATATAGTCTATATAGCTAGCAATAGCACTCAAAATGAGACGATTTGTTCGATAATAACTCCAAAAGGTCAATCTTTATAAATATTTAACATGAATTCAACGGTCCCAGGTTTGCCAACAGACGACTTACGAAAAAACAATGCTAGGAAAATCAATGAATTTCAAATTTCAGCAATAATCGCAAAAGCTATGAACCAACAAATACGTAGCTTCTTTTATCTTTAAAGGATTAAATAAATGATGAAAATTGGCTGTAACACACTTTATGCAAAACATTTATTTTAGTTATGAGATTTTTAGAGCGATTCTTCGAGACATTTTAATACTTATAAACAATATTCAAGCAATATGTACTTTAACATTGTGTATTTTTACAAAGACAGGATAAACTGATGTTTGTATCAAATTATCTTTTCACAGCGGATATTGCAAGAGCCAAAGTTGATTATCTCAATGATTTGGGCTCCGTGGAAACAATTCAAAATGAACTGAACCAATTTCCAATCATCAACGAATTTTCAAGTGACGTTGACCAAAACAAAAATAAGGAATCAGGTTTGCGAAATGTCGAGACGTACAGCAACCTGGATGTCTCCAGTTTACGCAAGGCTAAGGCCTTTTTTAACAATATTAGAAATCTGAAAGGAAACTATGCTGGATTTCGAAGACGCGATTACTCGATTCCGAATCTCGCTAGCTCTTCTTCACTTAATACGGAAGAATCCAACCTAGGAAAGAGGAATGAGAAACACGCAAGCAGTGTAAGTTATGCAAAAGCTACGGACGTGGAGCGGCAGATGGAAGATTTGAAGGTACAAATTGTTAATACAACCTTGGAGATAGATAAACTATATAAGTCGCTTATGGTTGATGCAAAAAATGGCTCAGGCAATAAAAGCAAGGCAGAAATGGCGGGCTCGAGTCAAAGTATCGACACTTTAAACAGCAATAGAGAAGTAGTTGAGGCTTGTGGGCAGAACTCGAAGTGCTGTAATCTGGAGGAGATTAATCGGTTGAGAGATAATATACGCACAGAGAAAGAAGTGAGAAATCAGATGATTCGCTTTCTAGCCAAGGCAAAGGTGGAAAACAGTCGAATAAGTAAAGCGCTGGAGGCTATATTAAGATATTATCGCCCTAACGAGAAGGTGCTGAATAGTCTCGGTATATCTACAAGATTAAAGCGTGTAATCCTTGCCGAAAGGATTAAAATGCTGCCAAAAAGCAAGCAAAAGGAGCTAGCTAGAAGGTGGAACCATCTCAGAATCACCACACTAAAGAGATAGTTATGAACTGCTGTGATGTGGACAGGCCATGCAAGTTGTATGCTGTTCAAACAAGGCTTAGACCATACGCTACAGTAGCCCTCTAATGCACGCAGCTGTCAATGGCCAAGTGATAGGGGCCATGCTAGGTAGCGTCATAATAGATCACAGCCATGTTAGGTAGGAACCGTACTAGACAGAGACACGCTAGATCGGACCAGACTAAATAGGGGGCATGCTAGGTAGGGCCATCTTAGATCACAATCACTCTAGGGTAGGTGTCATACTAGATAGAGGCATACTAGGAAGGGGCCATAACAAATAGGGGCAATGCTAAATAGGGGCCATGCTAAATAGATGCCATAATTAGATAGATGGCATATTTGATAGAAACCATATAAGATCTCAGCCTTGTTAGAGACGTTCAATACTAGATAGGGGCTATGATAGATAACGGCCATAGTAGATCATAGAAAGGAGCTATACTTGATAGGGGGAATAAATGATTGGGTCATGCTTTGTAGGGACAATGCTAAACAACAGGCATGGTAAATTGGGACTAGCGTTGCCGTCCTGAAGAATATGGAGGAGGGTGGCTATGCAGTAGGCAACTTCACCCATGACCACACCCACAAATATACTTACATTTGTGATAAAGTTTCTTTGTTGTGATTCGTTTCACCGACTCAAAGGGACTGACAGAAAATTAGTCATTCAGGGGAGATCTATAGCATCATAGAGGATTCGCCTAACTAAATATTTGCTCGCTTGTAGGGGGGGGGGGGGGGGGGGGGGGGAGGGGTGCTCAGCCTGATAGGGACCATGCTAGACAAGAGCCTTATCAGATAGGGGCTTGTTGGATAGGGCAATGCTAGACCTACCAGCGATATAATTTTTAACGGCAATCCTAGAAATTCCAGTTCACTAACAAGGGGAACTTTTTTTGTGTTCATTGGCAGAAAAGCCTCAGTATTGTTAACAAATTTAAAAAAGCAGCATTGGTTTCTCAAACATAAATAGCCACTAAAGAAAAATGAAGAGGGTCGAGGCAAGGAAAATGACGCTTATCAAAGTTGAAGACGGAAATTAAAACGACTGGGCTGGTGAAAACTAAGAAAAAGAAATATGTCAAAACTATTGCTAAATCTGTGGCAAACATACTCATTCTAGATTGTGGACAAAACATTAACAGCTTAAAATTAAAAAAAAGAATCTATGACCCAACATAACTCGAATTTCTTAGTGTCTCATCTTATTAAAGAAAAGTTAACGAATGTCTCATCTGAATAAAGAAAAAAACAAATAAAAAGGATCTTTCTTTCTCTGGCTGATGTCGAAGTAAAAATCGATAGAAACTGGCAACCTGGTAAGTGTAAATTCTTTGATAAAAGAAAGGCTGCTGCGAAAGGCCATTTACCGGATTCCAAGAATCATATCATGAATTATTGACATATCATATTGTGAACGTTTTTCATTTTTATTTACCGTTAAAAATGTACCCACAGAAGTTATTTATTTCTGAGCCTCAAAAAACGGTTTAGAAATTCAAAAGAACAGCCTGGCAAGAATTATGGTGAGAAAAACACACTGACGTAGATGGAAACTAAAACAATTAAAAAAGGGTTCACTAGTAAACAATAAAGATAATAAACTTGATCATGATTTTATGTGCCAATAATGCACCACAAAACACTACAAAAGAGGAACAACAATCACAGAATAGACAAAGAGTAGCAAGTCCTCTCTCTTTCACAAAGCACATTTAAATTTGTATACAGACGAAATGTTAGGGCAAGAGACGGAATAGAGTAATTTACAGTGCTACCGTAGGTGTAAACAGAAACATCACAATGTTTGGCGACTTTCAGAAAACTGACAAGGCGTTAAGAAGAATTCATGCCTGGGCACTCCTCCTTGAGTTCTCGTCTGGTCTGTGCACCAACTTCGATATACCATCATGCTGTGTTCATTCTAAATCGGGCAGTTCTACAAAACATTAAAACATCGTTTCACAATGCATAAAATCTATAAAATTAGTGTGAAAAAGATGGGGTTTCAAGAGTTTATTATGTATAAGATTTATTCTTATAAAGTAAAAAAGGCAATTTTTTATTTAAAAGTTTGCTTTTGCCATGAAAAGATATAGAGCGAGAGATGCCTACAGAACTTTAATTTAGAAATCCTTTACAAATAATCGCATTAAAAGTAAAATAACTTGAGAATCGTTACGAAAATTTAGTGAAAGATACATAACTTGGAGCAAAGCATCCTTTAGCCGGTAGAACAAATCGGTCCAGAGTTGGAACTTTGGGTTTCACGCTTAATGCGATCATTAGGCATTTCCAATGATGAACATTAAAGACGTTAGACACAACAAAGGGACGAATGGAGCCCTGTTCAGGCCCTAAGCTACTTCTCAGTATTGCTTTAGCGACACTGGGGCGAAAATAGCATTTTAGCCGAAACACGGTATCTTGCGTGCAGATTGCTTTTCTACTGTAATCATTTACGCAATCTCGTAATGACTTTAAGTTAATTTGTGAAAGTGAAAGTGAAAACGATTTCTTTTTCTTTGCAAAGAATTATCCCAGGGTACTATTAGAAACAAAATAAAAAAATCTACTAATATCGGCAAACAAGCTCTTATCATTTAGAAGAAGGATCGCTAAGCAGGTTTCTACACATTTGCCTCAGGCTTTTTTAAGCGCTTCAAACTTCAACAACAATTAATTTCAATTGAGTGACGTAATTCGAATATAAGATTTGATATACCCTTTAACATTTACGCCTTGGTGTTTAGAACATACATAAAAGCATGTTAAATTCTGCCTATGCAGAATGGAACACTTTGCGATTAACTAGTAAAAAGTAATTGTCCTTCTTTTATCAATTTAAATCATTTGGAAACAAGACCTACTTTCTTTAAAATATAACTATGATTGGACATATCAAGTTCTTAGATTTAAGAACAGTTGATTATTGAATAACCAAGGTGAGGATCTTCTTGCAAATTATTTCTTTAGAATCATAACAAATCCATGCCTAGCACGCATGACTTACACTGATATTTTGATAGAAAGAGACATCATTATAGGGAATATCAAGTCTATCATCAAAATAATATTTTTTCTTCTACAAATGGACTAAAGGCAAAAGCTTGAACAAAGAGGGTTTGTCGAAGCATTTATGGCAAACAAAAAATTGGTTTTCTATCACACAGAGTACGAGAACATGGATATCATAAAACATAAAATCCAGAGACTTGAAAGAGTTTTGCTACGACTTACGAGTTTTGCAATTTGAAATGCATGTGAAGAGAAAATTAAAAATTGCCAAAGTTACCTTCGTCGTCACTGTCTTCGGCATCAGCATCAGCATTGCCATCTTCCGGGTCAAAGCCCTAGATGGTAATACAATCAAGGTTAACAACATCGAAAACAACAAGATGTGGAAATGTTTTTAGCTTTATTGAAAACATATTATAAGACAAAAACTGTAATGGAAGCTCAAAGAAATCCCATGTCAATTTGATAGTTTTGGTAATAAAATGTTGCATTCTGCGCTTTAAAGAAACTCCATTGAGATGGAATGCAATGGATACAATAATGAGACGAAAAGGTGTCAAAGTCCTTTCATTTATTTAATTTTATCTTTATTTCAATATTTCATTATCACTACTTTGGGCATTTTTGCCTGATTGAAGATTTTCGATGCATTTCTAGACTTATTGTAGAAAAAACCTTAAATGCCAAAATACATAAAAACTTAAAGAGGATTAGGCGAATGTTCAAATGGCGAAAGAGGGTGCTGACTCATCGTAATTTACATTTCAAGAATCAAACCACGTGCCTATCAAAACGGTCTGACCGGAATAAGCAAAATTGAATAAAAAATATAGAAATAAGTAAAATATCTGACATGCTTAAAGTTCCCACAAAAGATTAAATAAAGACGCCTATTTTAAAAATTTGTTATGACTCAAGTATCTCAGCAACATAGTTGTTAATTTCTTTAAAAAAAGAGTGCGAAAAAATGCTTGTCTAATAAAACGGGTTATTTTTTCTGTCAAGGTGTTAATGATCTAAAACCGTGTCTGGGAGACAGTTTAATGAGTAAAGTCTATGTTTCTTAGTATATGGAAAGTTTTGTCTCTTTCAAGTCAACATTGATCACACAAACGGACTTGAAAGGCACCTCCGATTAACAAAAAAAACAAATAACCTGCTAAAAGCCTTACCGAAATGCATGCACCATTAATTTGGCCAATCATAATCGAATGTTCGATGCTAACGACCTCTAATCAAGCTTACTAACAAACAAAATTAATAGCCTCGTGATAGAATTGAAATTTCTAAGGCGTTATTTTACATGCAGCCAGCTAAGTTAAATACTGCGGTTGAGAAAAAACGGAAAGAGATTTAAAATAATCTAAAAATGTAAAATGAATGGGACTTGCTAAGTTCTGATCGAGATTCGTCTAGCTCAAGTATCTCTTATCGCTTCTTGTTTCATCCGAATAGAAAAATCGCGGAGAACGAGATAAAGATTTCTTTTTCAAGATATAAAGCGCAATGTTGATATTCAATAACTGAGAATATATTTTTCAAATAGTTCTTGTCACAGAGATACATTAAATATGTTCTCGTTACAGGGCATAGGGGAAAATGCCTTCTCTTATGTTAGTAAAGACGCACCAGTGCTCTTTGAGGCGCAGGATAGTCGATGTTTTTCAAAAAAGTCCCAGTTGTGATAAAGTTACAGTAAAATATTTGAACATTATAAAGAGCCATCATTAAATCTGAACAAACCTTCGAGTCGATCGTTCCCATGTTCTTCATCATCTGAAGGAGAAAAAGAAATTCGAATAAACGAACAGCCGATAGATGGCCTTAGAAGCAGCAAAATAGCATTATAACAAAATGAAGCTAAGGTACACTGTTACTTTTGAAAAATATCAAATTGAATTGAAAAATATCATTTTTAAGAAAATAACACCTTCACACTACAAAACTTTAGAGCTGTTTTCGGCCGTTATGATCCTCTTTATTTAATTTGTCCCAGGGTTTTAGTAAAATGCTTGTGAGACAAAAGCCAGTACTACAATTCATCAGAAAAAGCGAGCGGCATCACTAGGCCAGAAAAACTTCAAAGATACAAAATTGTAACAAGCCCTACAAAATCTAGGAACACGGTTTGACACGCCATTCCCTGGCAAAATTTGGTTGTAGACCCAATTTGCAAGAAGCCCTGTGTGAAATCTCACAAGACTTGCAAAATGCATCATGGGAAAATCTTTTGGTGAAATTAAGGCTATTAGCCTGGATTGAATAACTTGGAGCTTTCATTCTTTGGAATCAATTGTGCTCTTTGTCACACTTGGCAAAAATGAAAAATTGGAGAACTTACATCTTCGAGATTTGGCTCGTGAAAATCACCTTCGTAATCCGAATCGTCTTCATCCTTCCATCTGTTGAAATCAACTTTCAAATATGGCGGCTAAAAGAAAGTGGTGTCATGGAGCTTCAAAAAATCTCATTGACCACATAATTCATTATTCATTTTTCAAGATACAAGTTAAAACTATCCACGTATCTTGTTGGACTCAATGCCAGCACTACATAAACAATTTTTTCTTCTTTTTCATTCAGAAGCGAAACAATTTGGTACACTGCCAAATTTTGCTGTGTTTTTAGTTGGTACACTGAGATAAAAGATTTCAGTGTACCAACTTTCGGTCCGCCTGTAGCAACAGGGGATTTGTTTAAGACAAAAAACCAATAGAGCTGCTCAAGAAAGATGCTCAGATTTAGCAGTCAATTGAAAATCGACTATTTGGAGAGCGGTAATCCCTTTTTAAATTATAAATTCTTGCTTTCTAAAGGACGGACGTTAAAAAGAGGCAGATGTTCAGAAAGTGAATCATTTAGAATGTGAAGGCATTTGTGTTAATCGTTATCAACCATAATTAAAGGTTTGTTCCATGTTTTTTCTTCCTTTTAAAGCTTTTATTCGGATCAAGGCTCTCTTGGATCCATGGGTTAAGCTGAATTCACAATGGACGCATCACAGCGCGGTGCGTCACCGAGCGTGGCGTCATGTACTTTTTCATGCTATTCAGAGACGATGCGTCATCAAGCGCCCGTCATCTGTTTTCCAATGCTGTTCAAAGCAAACTTGCGAAATTCTCAACAAGTTATACTGTATTCCTTGCATTGCAAAATCAAGCCGGAAACTTAAGTTTGCTACAAAAACAGATGAAACAGTTATCTGAACCTAATATATCATATACAGTCTCATGTGGTTTCTTCGACATTTTGATAGGCTGGCCTATGTTTTGACAGGAAGACGATTCTCTTAGAGATCATCCATTAGAGAACTTAGATTTTTATTGATATTAAAGATTTGGAAGGTCTACTGCAATTAGCAAAATGAATGGCTTTACAAATTTTTAGGGTTTTCTTTCCACCGAAATTCGAGGAATATTTAACAGCTTAATTTTATCAACACTCCCCATATTTACATAATTAAATCCCTCGCAAGTACACCTTTGGAAGATATTGAAAGCTCAAAGGGAAATGACTGAAATATTTTTTTACCAAAACTGAACATACAATGACTCAACATCATTGTTGAATTGCACATGGACGAGGTAACTTTGTAGACAGAGACTCAAAACACGAATAATAATGTTTTTTTTATTATAAACTAATAAATGTAATTTGTTTTTGCTACTTTTTGAATTTAGCTTCCGAATGCTTTTTTCAGAGAGACTCATTAAAATATGCTTGACCGTACAAGCAACACAGTTTTATAATGGCCTATTTCAGAAGCTGCTTGTTTACATTTCTAGCTGTCATTATTCTCTAAATTTTCTGAAGCGTCAAAGTTGAATTTATTTAACTTTGACGTTTGGTGACGCGTGGCTGAAAAAATTGCTGCGTATGCATAGCTGCAGAAAATGATAACCATATTTGATTAGCGTCACGATGCGCCGCGCCGTGATGCATCCAGTGTGAATTCAGCTTTAGACGTTTAAAAGGAAGTGTTCATGTCACTAAGCGAAGTTCAATGGAGGGGCGTAGATTATGGCATCAAAAGGAGCAGGAGAGTTAAATAAAGGCATCGTAAATATACCCATGGCTGTAAATACAGTGATCCAGATTTTCTATAAACAGCCTTAGCATGGAATCTCGAGCTGTCATTCAATAGGATGGTTTTAGCGAAAAACGCCTTTATTCTTTATCCCCTGCCTATTTGCAATTACTATAAAAAACTTTGATCCTCAATCACAGGATTTTCAACTGCAGAAGAATGGACAGCACAAAATGATTATGCCAAGAGCCCCTTCCTAATCACCTAAATCTCTCCACAGATGTAAAATTTGTGACAAGGTTGTTGATTTAAAAAGAGCAGTTTTATTGAAAGTAAAAAACATAACAAAATACCTTTTTTGTCTCCTTTAGTAGTCGTGGCCAAAATCCTTCTTCCTTTTTCTTTAGATCAAAGAAATATTCCCTTCCTCCTTTTCTTTGCTTCGATTCCTGAGAAAAGTAAAAAGTACTAGCCTCAAATATACATAAATACATTAACATATTTAAATACATTATATATATATATAACATATTTATCAATTAAATATATACTAGAAACAATGTATTTGTACCATTAGTCATTCTTTTAAAAAAGGAAACCAATTATTTCTATTTTCTGTTCAGCTTTCTTAAAAAGTGTTCCATCTTATGTTTCATTCTCCAACAAACAATGCAAAACACATTCAGTGATAATAATCTTAACATGGGGTTGCTGTTTTACTCCAAGTGTGGCCATCAGATTGCAACTCAAATCTAACTTGGTCTCTGCTTGGGTTTGCATTCTGCTGTATATCTGGTCCATCTTTTACAGAAAATCCCCTACTACATCTTTTCTGTGACTACTAAGTGCTATTTTTCTCCAGAAGAAACAACTTTTACATGCGGTCCATGCAGTGAAATTGATAAAATCAGAATTATATATTTGATGTTTATAAATTTCATTGCATATTTTCTATCTCATATCAAGAATTGTCCTACAAGACAAATCAGGAATTCCTTTTACTCAACTCAACATATTTTTTATCTGTAACAAACCATTGTTGCTTACAACTTCAGCCTACAGTAACACCGACAACAAAATTGCATACTTGCTGTTATAACTAGACTTGTCGAGCCTCAGTGTAAAAACAACATCCCTTTTTTCTTTCTTTTGGCATACTGGCAATAAATCCCCCCCTTTTCAACCAATTTGTAAAATTTAACTATGACAACTAATATTTTAATTCAAAAACAGGATTGAGTAGCACTAATGAACAAGAAGCTCTTTGTTGTGCAGTCGGTAATCATAATTTTTTCATTTTGAACCTGGAAACCAAAATCATTAGGCTATAATGGCCCATATATATAATTCAAGGAAGATTTCAATTCAACTGAAAATCTCACCTCTGGAATTATGTCTTTCAAAAACTCTAAATCAACATGATACTGATTCTGTGATGAACCACCTTTACCACTGCAAAGAGAAAAATATCACCATGAACAGAGACAAGCAAGGAAGAAATATTGCCACATAGGGCTCAATGTTAAATAGAATGTGATCATCAAGGAACTCAATGTGGCAGTAGTAAAATGCTGAGACTGATAAAAAAGCAACACAGACATGGATTTATGCAATAAAGGGTGTTACCAATGATTCTATAATTGGAAGGCAAATGGTGCCCAATAAACTTCACTATATTAGAAAAAGTTGCAATCATGAAGAGATATATGAGTCCCTGACACAAAGGGTGGACAAGACCCTCATTATAAGTTGATTGAGGAATACCAAGGGTGCACAAGAACAAACACAATACATCATGCAACATGGACTACAAATCCAAAGTTCTGAGGTTTGAGTCCCAGTCAGGACCACATTTCTGCTTAGAGTTAGAAGAGTCATCAGCTCTCCTCTGCTATTCAAGACATTAGATTATGACCAAAAATGTAGTCACATCGAGAGGAAGGAAAGGGCACCGCATAGCTTCTTACTGTCCTAAAAACAGCCTTCTGTATTTCGCTTGTTTAAAAAATCAAAAACATAAGCTATATATTCTTCTACATATAATTTGAAAAGTAGAATTGAAAAGACCACTCTAAGATATGTACCTGAAACTTAACATTGTGTTATTTACAGTAATTTTTTCATCGTTCACATCTTCAAGTTGTACACTGACTAAAATTCTGTCATTTCTCTGTGCCCAATAGACTGGAGGATGTAGTGCCCTACAATGAAAGAAACATACATATATGTCTGAAACAAAAATAATTTTGTTAAAATAATAGATATATATATATATATTTATATGTACGTAAACAAAATGCTACTGAAATTCAAAACAATACAATTTCACAAACTCATAGATACATATCTTGACCAGCAAAAAAGGACAAAATGTATTTTGGCTCCCATTACATACATACATCTGCAGTCAATTTTATGTCATTGGAAACATAAAACAGTCAAAATGAAAGCATTCTCACTGAAAATGAATTTTATTTGCAAAAATGAAGCCTGAAGCATAGCAACAGTAACTATGCAACAGTAACTAAGTAAGTAACTACAGAACAGTCTGGTTTAGGTAGAGCAGTCTGGTTAGAAAACTCTTACACAAGAATGATCATCTGTGGAGTCGAGATCATAGAGGAAAGTAAAGGAATAACCTGAATCAGGTTTGAGCAATAACCAACATTATGATGATGAAGTTTTATAGGTAACTTGTTTATTAATACATTTTGTTGTTGAAAATACAATATTTAATTCCTGTTCTGTTGCAAGCACCTTCTTTGATATTGTCTTGCTTATTAGGTTTCTTTCAAATGCTTTACAAGAGTTATTAACTAACAATTTAAGGCACTCAGTCATTATATTAAGGGGTGGTATACCTAAACGTAATAAAATCTGCTGAGTCATGATTTGCGTGCTTACTTTTGCAGGCCTTGCCCGGAAAGGTGCTCAATCTAGCATGCGTGCCTAGTGTCACCCTAAAAAAAGCCTTGTGAGGGCCATTTATAGAGCCCCTCGAAACATAAAAACGATATAACCACAGAACAAAATATTTTTTTGGCCATTGTTGAATAAACTCGATCAAGCATAAAAAATCTTCTCAACAGACCTCAATATTATGTCTTGATTTTCGAGCAAGTGTTAATGTTCTGTTGAAGTATTATCTTCTGCTTTTTTCTTAATAACTTAAAATTACCTGTGCAAATCAGAAATCACAATTTTGTCCAGATTATCGCATTGCTTTGTTTTATCATAATTCTATATTTATATCAGCATAGTGTTTGTTGCGTGTTTTGTTATTTCATATTATTGTGATTTTTGGTATCATCATTGAATTTCATATTTAACAATCTTTCGAAGCTCTAGATATGAAGATCTCGATCTCCCAAAGCTCTCCAAGGATGCTCTCAAGGACATTCTATTTTGAGGTGTGAAATAGAGCGCCTAGAGTTTCTACGGGACTCTTTTTATGGAGCACCTCCATTCTGCTTACAGCAATGCCTGCTATTGGTTGACCTGAAACTCAGGGGGACACTTGGTCAAATATTGGGGGCAAGTCTATTGTTTTGATAACATGATGTCACATTTTCCCATTTTTTTAGAAGAAAAGACTACCCTCCTTCAAAATATAAGGGGAAGGAGGTGACTGCTCCCTCTTGCCCCCTCCCAGGTGTCTGCCACTGCTGAAACTGGGCACATGAACTTACCTCATTTTGATACACCAATTTGAATTACGGCCTCATTTTGAAAAATTCTTCAAAATTCTTTTGTATAAATTTTTTGACCTCAGATTCAGATTGAGAACAATGATTTTAGTCTAATTGTAAGTTTTCATTATCATATTGCTCACGATATTGATTTTATGACGACATAAAGATAAAAACTTTATAAAGGATTTGACCGTGATTTGCGACTAGGGGGGTAAAGTTTCCCCCGGAACGATTTTTGCAGTCAAATCCCTTACAAGTTTTTAAACTTAATTTCTCTGTAAAATCTAAAATACAAGCTGAAAAAATATGAAAAATGGTAGCCCGCCTAAAATTATGGCGATAAAACCAAATCTGAGCTTAAAAAAGTCGTATAATTAAGTTTGGAGAAATTTCCAAAACGAGGTCGTAAGTCGAATTGGTGTATTAACAAAACAGTTTCCATCAATATATATCAACCAATTATATATAAAATGATTTCTTGTTTTTAAATACATTGAAATACATGTTGACAACAAAATATGTTGTTTTTGCTAAATTCAAATAAGCACCCGGTCTGATTTTTTGTATTCAAATTAGTGCCCCATTTGTCTAAGGGGTGCCTTTTTCAAGCAGGGAGTGCTATTGCAAAAATTGCCTTATCCCGGGGCACTTATTTGTTAGGGGTGGTTATTTAGCAGGGGGCGTTAATTCTGTCAATTATGGAATTTTCCATGAATCTTTGATAAATTACAAAATAATTCATTGATTAAACTTATGCCTTTTAAAAATCAAAAATATCTTCGGATGTTTTAGCCCATTTAGTCATGTTTCTCTAGCCTTTCCACCATGAATATGTGGTTTATCTGTGCATTTAAATTAAACATTTGAAAGAATCAAGACCTGCATGTAATGCACTAAAATGGAGAAGAACTCCCGATAAAAACCATTAAATATTATAGCAACAATAACAACTTGATTAACCTGTCACAAAAAGATGCTCCTTAAAGAACTTTAACCAAGATATGTGTTTTGTGCTCTTAAATTGGTATATTACCATGTATTTTGTCAAATCAAGCAGATTTAAAGGTATGCTCTTTAATTTGTACATTACTATGTATATATTTTGTCAAATCAAGCAGATTTGAAGGTTACAGTGTGTGTTGCCACTGACTGCTTTATAGTACAATACAGGGAGAACCATCACCTAAGAGCAGAAGATATTTGATAAACAGCCCACAAGATCTTTGCATAAGCTATTTGTGACACCACCATTATGCTTAGTTTCTTATAAGAATACTATAGATTTTGTTAAGCCTCAATATTTTTGAAAAATTTTCTTTTTGACCCTGAATGAATTTTTAAAAAATTCCTCTCTTCAAATATTTTTGTTAATTTTTTGTTTCTTGCCCTACCAGATGGGGACTTTAGCTAAAACCAATTTCAGCATTAATCTCCATGTCCCTTGCCCTTTTATAAACCCTTAAAGGTATAACAGCTAAGGGTAATGGCAGGCAAAGGCCGCATTCAAATTATTTGACCTCTTTTTATTAATAACTTCCAACCCTTCCAACTAGTCACAATATCAAGACTTTGTCCCAACAACCCAATTTGAGAGATATTGTCCCAATCTCAAGAAAACCCATCTAATAATGTTGAATAAGCTAAACAATAAAAATGTAACACAAAGAAAACGATCAAAACCTTGAAATGGCTTTCTCCCTGTTAATATTCATTTAGGAGAAAAGGTTGTATATAGTCAAAATTGCTTCAAAGGGTGCGTTTTCCAGAGAACGGAAAGCATCCAAAGTTGAACATTTTCCAACCCTTTAGAGGCAACCATAGTGCTGCCTTGGGTAAAAGACAGACATAAAGAATCTGAATATATACAATTTAAGTATCCACTGGATGTCTATAAACATATTAAATTTAAAATCCTCCTATTACATTTGGCTTGCAATTTCGAATTTCGGCATGCAAAGCTAGCTATACTAAAATGACCCCTCCCATGCATTTGCCACACTCTGCAGACTGGGTAAAGAGCAAACATGATGTCTCTTGATAAATCTTTTGTCTTCAGAGGTTTTTGTATCTTTTAGATAAATGTGTTTAGTAAAGAAAATTTCATTAAAGTCAACCAGCGATTCCCAAATGTTTAGGCTATATACAAATAAACCAATTTTGCTACATAATGCAAAACGCAAGACTCCAGTGTCTATCTCATTTCTTGGAAATACTAATTTGGTGTGGAGTGGAAAAACCTGCATACCGGTTAGATTGCTCCCAAGTTTGGTTTTCAATAAACAATTAACACTGGGCAGAATCGCACCTTAAAGCACATAAGGTAACAATTTACAAAGTTGTCCTTGCTTTCGCAATATCAAGAAATTTTCAATGTAATGACAATGGAGGGGAAAAACCTTGCTTTCAGCCTGATCGGCAGAGTAGTTTACACGACACAGTTATCAAACATAGTCTGTCTTTGCCTGCATTGGTATGTATAATTATCAACGCAGCCAAAAAATATGTTTTCTTGCCTCATTCACTAGAGATTTTTCAGCTCTGCAAAAATTTAACACAAGGCAAGGGTTTCTTCATTAGGCCCAGCCCTCAGATTTCTAGATTTTTCCATGAAAAACCAAAGTTACGAGCAAAAAGTTAGCGCCATGGTAAATTTTCGTCTACTATCATTAAATTGCGCTGAAATTTGAATAACATAATTCAACAAATATTTGTTTACAGCGTTTAACTTACATTTTTTGTATTCACAGCTTGTGTAGCAATGGTTGATAATTTTACTCGGCAAACTCTCTCCAAACCTCGTGCTCTAGGCGGGAGTCTAAAGAGTCATAGGTACTCCGTGTATTTCTCACAAATGCTACCTGTGCGAAGGAGCGGAACAGCCGCCGCGAAAACTTTAGCAGCCTACCTCTAGGTTCAAGTGCATAACCCTTTCCTGCATTAATTTTTTTAAATCCAAAAAAAAAAATTTTTTTGCACTAGAATGTTTTATTTTGATGTGGAGAACTATTTTCAGACCAATTTTGACATTATTATTAGAAGATGATGTCATGTCAGATTGTTGTCCCACAACAACATTATGCAGCAATGGTATAAAGTTGTTGCTGATAATGAAATATCAAAATATCTAAAAATGTGGTTTTCTGTATATTTCCACACACTTTATTAAGACAGATAGCCAATTATTTGAATTTTCAGTTCAGATAGGGCTTTTGGAAAGAGGATTGGCCTTTTGATAATTAGCACTTTCTCCCCCTGGGCTGTTCTACATACATATTGATTCCGTTGTGGTACAAGTGATAACAGAAGGTATATACTGTTCATATATTTTATAATAACTCAACATGAACTTTAAAACTCTTAAATGAACTGACAATCTTGAACCTATCATACTGCAGTTAATGCCTAGCAAATGGTCCTAATCTTCACTTTGAATGGAAATTCTTGAAGCAGTTTCTCCCTCGTACAAAGCAGAGATGAACTTTACATTTCACACATTTGACTGCAGAGTACCCCTTAGGACAGTAACGACATCTCTGTTGCTTCTCCTCAAAATCTGGGATATGCCCAACATTATCAAAGCGAACATCATTGATGGGTGTTGCTACAGCATGACATTTTGTTTTCTTCTTTGGAGGGGGGGTAATCGATGGCCGTCCTCTTCTTGGCTGTGTGCTCTTCCCAGCAAGTGTCAAGGCATTTGCAACCATGGACTGAAATTGAATCAATGTCAATTCATCTTTACTTGGAATTCCTAGCTGCATGCAGTGCCTTCTATAGAGAAGCCATCCATTGATGACTGACACGCCAATACAATAATAAATGATATGCATGTAGTATTTGTTAGAGCGAAGTCTTATCCGGTAGAGAGCCATCAGCATGTCACATAAATCTACTCCCCCCATGTGCAAGTTATACTCTTCAACCATCAGAGGTCGAGATATAGTTATAAACTTCTTTTCTCTAGCTGACCACCTTTGAGCCTTGGAACCATCATCTTTGCCAATGTAATTTGAAATTAATTGAACAACTCCATTGTCCATCCAACGAACAATCACAACATTACTGTTGGCATCAACACACCAGTCACTGGACCCTCTTCCCTTCTTGCTCAAGCTTTTTTTGTCTTCTAGGACTTTCTCTGCACCTTTCAGTCTGTCTGCCCGTATTGTTGCTACAGCCCAGATCCTTTCCTTTTGAAGATACTGCATCAGTGCGACGGAAGAGAAGTAATTATCAAAATAAAGCTTGTAGCCAACATTTCTTTGCATCGTTGATGATAGGCGAGCCACCACATTACCACCAACGCCAAAATTTTGCAATGACTCATCTAGATTCCCCTTTGGAGAAGCACCAGTGTAAACATCAAAATCATAAACAATGCCACTGACTCCACAGCGTGCCCAAACCTTTATTCCCCATTTATGTGGCTTGTTGGGAATATACTGCCTTATTGGAGACCTGCCCTTTGTAGGAATGATCTGTTCATCAATAGAGTGCTTTTCCTCTTGTGGAACCTTCCTACATTTATTTTGAACAGAATCTATCACTGGCCTTACTTTGAAGAGTTTGTCAAACTCTGGGTGACTTCTCTGCACATTTTTTGAGTTGTCATTGCAATGAAAAAAGCTTTTGATTTTGTCAAAGCGGTTTACAGGCATTGTTTCTGAAATGCTGGAAATGTTCAGTTCTCTTGACCAGTACATTCTATACTGAGGGATTTTGTAAATACCCATAAGCAGAAGTATACCAATATATTGCTCTATCTCATCAGCTGTTGTAGCAACTGACGATCCATTTTTTTGCACAGAGTACAGGTTTGTCTGCTCAGATATGTGACCTATCAGCTGATCATCAAAAAAGTTTTTGAAGTATTCTATTGGTGTCAAAACTTCATTGGGTGGACTTGGTAGAGGTTCTCCACAGAACACACTGTTAACCACGGCAGCTTCCCTCTTGCGCCATCTTGGCATTGGGATTTTCATGGTTGCTTTGCTTTTTGTAGCTGATTTTCTGGTAACTGATGTGCCTTCTGGTGTGGTATTGACTACATTATCAGGAACTGGGTTCTCTGGGAAGCTGAAAACATTGTTCTCTCCATGTTCATTATCATCATAATGATAATCATCACAATCATCACTGTCTTCACCATCATCATCATTACTGATATTCATGTCTCCTCTGATAATGACATCATTGTTCTCATTTTCATCACTCTCTTCATCTTCTATATCACTGTTAAAAGCATCAGGGACAATAATTCCCAAATTTGCTTCTTTTTCCTCAACCCCATGATTCGTTATTCGAATTGTTGTTCTCCTGCTTCCATAAAACGAAGTGGTTGGTATGCTCTTTGCCATCTTGCAAATTGAACCTTGCTTATCTGGGATGAAAATAAAACAATTCAATCAATCTTTCCTGATTTATTTGAAACAACTTGAACTTATCTAAATTATTATATCCGTTCAAAAACTATAAAAAATAATCTCTCTGGCTCCCTAGCCCCCTTACCCCCAGAACCCCCCAAACAATTAGCCAGACCCTCCCTACCTCCCTTTATGCTGCGTGAACAACCATTTCCCACAAGACTTCAGAAAATACCTCGATATGTATGCTGGATACAAATCAAAATATGTCTATAAACGGTACACCATTATGACCCTTCCAGCATGATGTTGTTGTACAACAACAATCATGTCTACATGCCTGGAATTTAACATAACAAACAAATACACTGATCGACCATGAAAATGTGTATAACTAAGTTAACTGAAGTAGAAATTATTTTTTATCATGCAAAAAAGAGGCTTACCTTAGTACAGAGACTGTTTGTAACCTGGGCTGTTGACACCTTCTGAAATCAGTTTAGGCCAAAACTTCAACTAAACCAATACTTCATGTAAAACGCCAGAATAAAGGTTTTATTAACTTTTCATATAGACTACCTGTGGCAAATCAGACCACATGGTTTTCAGACAAATCTAGTCTCCTGCGCAGCGACAGCAACTTTTCCAAAGATTGTTGTTGAGCAACAACATTATGCAGGAAAGGGATAAAGTGGGTGACAGGTCAATGGCTCGAGAAAGCACTATATATTGGGTATAGCGGCCCAAGTAAAGAGTAGCAAATACTCTAGACTTGATCCAAGTCTATTTCATGCTTGAGAGAGGAGTATTTATTTCCCGCCGTCGGTCTCCTTCGCAGAAGTCCACAAGAGGAAATAAATACTCCTCTCTCAAGCATGAAATAGACTTGGAGCAAGTCTACAAATCCTCCAAATATGTGTCTCACAAATGAAATTAAATCGACACTTAGAAGAATGTTGTTTGACTGATGAGGGGGTGGCATTGGAAAAGAGTATTACCCCACATTTTAAGCTGTTCCCAATACATTCGCGGTAATCCCTCCCATTTCAACTTCTGGGGGACTGTGAATTGCAAAACTAAAACGACTTTATGGGATCTGCGAATTTAAAGAAAATTGCACGAGGAAAGCAACATGTATATCTTTAATTATATAAATATCAGAATGACAATCTATTTCTTCAATGTTTAGATTCTCAAAAAATTATAGGCCCTCGCTTTTCGAGCTCCTGAAAACTGAGACTTAAAATTCGGGGGGGGGGGTAAGTTAAACTGCCTACTTGGAATCCTAGCCCCCTGGAATATAGATCGAAAGTAATTCGAGAGGAAGAATAGTGCATTTGATTGGTTCCTTGTTTCTGGCCAATCGGCGGCCGCAGGTCCAAGAGATAAATTAATTCTTTCTATCTACACAAATCGGAATCCTTTGGTGATGGGGTAGAAAGCGTATAGACTAGATAGGGTAAAAATTAATTATAGCTGGATTGTACAAAGTCGTTATTTTATTGTATCAATTTTTGTTCATTACTCGATGTACAACACACACAACTCCACTGATTATAGATTTAAGTCGTTGGTTTATTGAAAGAGGAAAATGTCCCACATCAAATGTACGCGTCCCATGCTCCTTTGAGGGCTCACTGAGATCTATGATTAGGCGTTTTGATTGTGACATCGATAAATTTGATTTTATGACGTCAAAGGAATTTCTATTATTTTGGTATAAACTAAAGTTGCAATGTTTTGCATACCAGATCAGCTGATTGTTGGCGAGTAGGAGCTACCTGAGCAAGGTATGTCCGAACCACAAACTGGAAATGAAAGTCAACAGCAGGAGGACAGTCCCAGTCAGACAGGCAGCAAAACAATGATGCCGTTAAACTGGAAAACAAGGCCGTTGTTAATTCAGGGGGAATCCAGTCATGTTATGAAATCAAGCAGCAATTTTAAAATAGGAGAGGCTTTTCCTTCGTGTGGAGAAAACTCATCTAGAATATCGTCGTCAAGCCTCGGTTTAGTCAGTCTCTTCAAGACACAGAGTTTGAAGATGAATCCAGCAAAGGATTCAGACAACATTGAATGAGCATTTCTCGAAAAGAAACCGGAAAAGACAATTCTCATTTATATCCAGATTGTATACAACCTATGAGATGCGTATCAGAACTTACAAGCATACAAAATTTGAGCAAAAAAATTCATGTGATGGATCAGGAAAGTTTTGCTTCTTTGCTGAATTCAATTCTCTATCAAAAGGTTTCTTTAATTAAAAATAAGAATTTTTTGGTACCCTGTTTGCGATTAATCTTTAAAGCTTCAGGTCATTTTTTGCAACTTTAAGTTTTAGTTAGCGCAGTCTATTGCTTGTAAACATGAATTTAATTCTCCATATCTCGTAAAGCTCTTTTGACAAATTTTCAATTTGACGTCAAGGTACAGCAGTCTTTTATTGCTTTGAAAAGTTAATGAAAAGTTATAATAGTGGAAAAAATTGCTCTACACGTGGTCACCTTTATGTAAACACAAATTAACACGTAAAAATAAAACTCTTCTATACATAGAACAGGATTGAAATTTTGGGAGAGCATAAGATGATATACCGAAAAAGATTGAGAACATAAGAGATTCTTGCGGTGCAGCATAGTATCCCAGTTCTGATAATGTTTGTACAGTAACAGCTCTGGCGTTTAAAGTTACACCTAATAATTATATCTACACCAAATATTTGTGCCACGAATTTGAAAGTGGGGAGGGGGAAGTAGGGGGCCAAGGCTTGTCACCCCTTATACTACAGCTTTAAAATACTTGCTTTGCAAGAATGTGGGGGAGGGGGCATGGCCACCCCGGCCTTCACTGTGGCGTGTGCCCTGCTTTGTAAATCCCAATCAAAATGTGTTTACTGGCCTTGCTGTCTCCTAAAACATCGGTTATCTGAATTTTATGAGATGGGGGATATGTCAACCATATCTTAACCTGCGTGCAGACTCGGAAGTATCTTACCAGAACTGCAAATATCTACAATGCCTACCAAAAGTCCTTGGAACACCCTGAGATTTCTGTGAATTCGCGTGTCCCGTTCTATTTCCATGTCAACAAGGAGGGTGCTGCCCCCTTCCCCCTCATACAATATTGATCGCTAGCTGAAAACCATAGCTATGTAAAAATGTATCACTTGTACATGTATGATTATTCACATTTCCGTGGCACAACATTGTACAAAGGCGGGGGAGGGGGGATGTTGCAGCTCGTGCACAACGTAAATTATAGCAAGTGTTCCAAGACTTTTGGCAGGCATTGTAGCTTATTATATTTAATTGTATCAACGAGCTGATTGAAGAATACATAGGTAGATAACTTGAAGGTTTGGGAATCGTGGCAATCAGTAACAAAAGCCATGAAATCACAGATCTGAGAGACAGTATCAGAACTGAGAAACCAAATTGACAATAACAAGTGAGGGAAGAGCTCATAAAGGTCTTCTTTGCATAATCCCGTGTCGTAGATATGACTGGAAATTGTGGTGTTCAAAAAGAATCTATTTGATATCATTGGCTCGATAGAGACTATTTTCCTCTTTTTAGAATGCACCGATTTGGGCATGCTTCATTCCATACTGGGAGGGGGGTGGGGGGTGAGTGAGGATACCCTAAAGAGAAGAGAAGTTCTTGAGAGCAGAAGATTCAGAACATATGACAGGGATATCGCACAGGTCTGTAAAGATAAGAGCAATAGATTGACCAATGTTTCAGCATATTACGTCGACGTAATATATTTGACTTTTGAAATGTAAACAAGCAGAAACAAGTAAGCAGGATTTATTAAAAACTTAGATAACGTTGCTTTCGAGAGATGAAATTGTTGTAATTAGTTCAAAACCATAAACTGTCTGACATTGCAGCGACCTGCATTATTCTCAGTTAATTGCTAGACATATTTTCATACGTTCGATAATAAAGTTCAACAAGATATTTAGACTTTTCATTCGAAGCATCTGTGTCCAAGGTGAGTAGCTAAACCACAAGTACTCAAGCTTGCTGTTTGCTAATATTTCTCGTACATTAAAATCAACAACCACAAAAACAAAACACAAAATATAAACTCAAAGAAGACAATAGGTTTTGATTTATCTCCCGCTATAATTTGATAAATTCCTTCCAAGGCACACTTGAGATACACAATAAAACGTACAAACCATCGATGCAGCGATATAAATACACTAGGCAATGATGCCTCAAACGGATCCAATGCCATCCTCAGTTTAGGGACTATAGACATGAACCATGCAGCGAAGTGAAATGACGCAATCTTTATTTAGGAAGAAACATCGCGAATTCTCAGGCAATACAGAGGATCTAGTATTAGTAGGAACCCCTTTAACTGACATCTTAAAACAATGGCTGCTAGCTACAGAGATGTTCTTGCATAAAGGATTCACAAATCAAAATAACATATCGACTGGGGGCTTAAATACTCTAGGGGGTATAAGGGGGCAAAATCTAATGGAACCCGCATTGCAAGTGTTTCATTGGAAAATAAGGAAAAGATTGGGAACGTCAGATTAAAATGAGTCAAATGTTCCAATCTTGGTCCACCGAACAGAGGAGACATCTGAACCGCCAGAAGGCCAATCGAGATATTCAACCTTTTTAAAACAATTATAGGATGAGTGAAATTACCGGTGTAAAACGAGTTTGACAACACGAATTTCTCTTACACAAGTTCAGTGAAAAATATTGCAATATGGAGGTTAACAAGGTTTTAAGTGGCTATTGTGAAAACTTTATAATAATCAGCGAAATAATTAAGTCAGCAAAAATCAGGGAAAAATTTGAAGCATATGTTGATAATCGAAAAAATAATTGTTGAATATTTATAAACCCCAACTCATCGGTCTCCCTCCTCTAAAACCCAATTACATCGCTGATATTATCAGAAATCTTCTTAAAAATTCAAAATGTTATACAGAAGTCTGGAAATTGGACAATCCTAAATCAAGGGAAGAAAAATTTGAAACATCAAATTGCAATCACAACAAGTACATTAATCGTGAGTAAATAAATGGGGATTCGGAATATCAGTTTTAAGTGCTGGCGAAGTGTGTTAATTTCCAAGACAAAAAAGTAAATAAAGTCAATTTAAAGTTGACAATTTTCAGTAACTGCATTAAAATCCTCCGCAGTAAAACTTCATGATGACTTGGTAACTACAAAGATGAAAATACTAGCAAAAAGCTGCAATCCCATTGCTAACAAACTGCAAATTGTGCATCAGTAGCAAGCTGTGACTGTTTTTGGACTTCTTCATGCAAACTTCTACACGTGTCGTAATAAAGTCAATTAAATTCCAAAGGTCCCAAGATAATTCCAGGCTTGTCAAGCTCGATCTCTTCTCTCCAAAATCTTCAATTTCTCATTCAAAATGTTTTAAAGTTCCTCTGCAAAACACGAGTCAACAACACGATTAAATTGCTTTTGTAGCAGGCTAGCTGCTACTAATGAAGCGAAAATATTGATCCCACGAGAATTTTGCAAGACAAACAAGTGCCGAGGAATCACGGCTGGGTGCCATAAAATGACCCAACAACACGTGATAGCAAAGATCTTTAAACCGAGGAAACAACCACGTCCTCATCACGTAAATACCCAAGACTGACTGGTCAGGCCCTCTGCCCTCTACGACTTCTCGCTAGACAGGTCTGAGTGGTGCTCGAGGCTGGTGCAGCTCTCGCTTGGTCGCATCATCCAGTAGTCTTCAGCATGCAGCATCTGGGTGGCACACCACACTGTTGTCCTAGCCTCTCTTGTGTGCGTAACCAGACTCTTTATGCAGCTTCCTAACGCCAGTAAATCTAGAAATGAGTTGAATATTTTCATGACATATTCGTAACATATTCAACTTATTTTGCATATTTAGAGGTATTTCAGGATTCTTTTTCACGTTATGAGACGCAGATTCAAAATTGGTGAATTTGCAATCATACTGAAGAACTCTTTTCATGAACATGAAAATCAGCCAAATTTCATTTGATCTGGCTAAAGTTGATCACAATCCTTCGGTGCTCTTATCAAAACATTTAAAGACAGAACACAAATACGAAATGGAAATAAAAAGGAGCACGAATTCTTGGGAACACCACCTTACAGTTTGTTATGAAAAGCATCCACTGAAGCACTATTTTAGAGCGAGAGATCAATTTGAATTAAAAAAGTCACTTAACAAAGTTTATTCTATTCAGGAAAAAAGGGCAAGTAAATAATATTGGCTTCCTTTTGTTGCAACTGAACTTTCAAAAGTAGTTTTGAGAAACTGAGAAGGTATGTGCCTATTGAGCAGTGCCCTGGCACTTCCTCTCGATGTGACAACACCTGATGATTTCTCTGCCTGGAATTACAGAGCGTCAACAACTCTTCCCACTCTAATTAACAGGTTGGCCATCTTTGTGACTCGAACCCTAAACCCTTGGATCTGCATTCCACGATCCTAACCGATTAGCAGTCCTCCATCTTGCACATTCTGTAGAAAGTGGTGCCCCCTGCTGATTGGCTCTTTAAAAATGAGAGAACTTTGTGAAAATATCAGTTTGCAACTGTAATTCACGTACCTCGATCATCGTAAGACTTACAGCCATAACTTCCCACATGCGACCCTGGGCTGCTATTGATTTCGTTTTTCCTCAAATTTTGCAGCTCTCTTATACATGCCAGCCACTTGTCTAAAGCAACTCCTACGTTGGAATGCAAAGGCCTCCTTCCCAGCCGTTCAATTCGACCGATCAGAGACTCAACCTGGAGAAAAATTACACTGGGGTGAAAAATCTACAACACATGTCTATGTTCATTAAATGAAAATGTCAAGAATGTTGCATATCTGTATGGTTGCTCTGTCAAAAAGAAATTTTCCAACCTTGTAGCATTGTTTCATCATCATAAATACCAAAGAAATTAGAAGCAGTATCGCAAGTCTAGGGGTATAGATAGGGGACCTTACTATGATAAACTTCTTAAAAGCATGCCCATATTTTCTAATTCAATTATAGATATACTTTGGGTCCAAAGTTTAGAAAAAAACCTTTGGATATAGGGCTAGGCAGGCCTAGAAAACAAGTGTTGCCTCTTAGCCTAAATTGCTTCACATTGCCTCAGTTCAGGGGTCAAACAAAACAAATTTGTACGTTTTGTTATCGCAGTACTTTATCAGCGTTGGACAAAAAGTAGGCCACTGACTTTTGCAGTACAGCCATTTTAAAAAGCAATTTTGCTCAACTAAGGTCGAAATTGAGATCACAATTACTAAATGAATACCTTATCATGAACTTTGATTTGTTCGTGAATCATTTTATCCACTCTTGTTGGGTTAGACGACATTCTGGTATGATAGCCACCACCACTTGATGAAGATCGGCGTCTCGAAGGGTAAACCTTGGACAGCTCTTGTTCTGCCTGCATGGAAAAATGGAATTTAGAATACACTTAGTCAACATGGTGGCGCGAGGAATTTTCCAACGGCGGGGCTATCTATTAGTGGACAGACGCTAAATGTTGCTTCAATTCAGATTAGTATCGAGAAAACGAACCTTTTTCTATTGTAAAAAATACAGATTTCTTTTCTAGAGAGGGTTGTCATTCATCAAAGAAAGGTTTATAGGACCCAAAATTTAACTTTTACGCCAGAAATAGAATGAAAGGTAATACAAAAAACATTTGTGAAAAGATAAACAATCTGAGGGGAAATGAAGATTTAACAGCTTAAAGTTGGATGAAAGGTCTGCCTGCAGCGGCAATGCCGAGGACAACGTCGCATGGTGACAATTCTCAATACTCTTTATCTAAACATGCTGCCACCATCTGGCTTGACAAGAAGATCTCCTCCGCACTCGACAACAGTCAAGTTTCTATAACCTCAGTAAATGGCATGTGGTAAAGCGGTATTTAAAAGAAATTTTATTCTGAAGCCGAAAAATTATAGCCAGGGCTTAAAAAGAGATTTTTCTTCCTGGCAGCAAATAGAAAAAAAAATGAAAATTTCCTGCGAAGCTTTGACAAAGTTTCCATCAACTGAAAGTGATATTTTAAGTTGCCTGATTTGTTTAAACATTTGTCCTAAAAATTTGGTCAAAGCTATTCGAACAGCAATCATTTTGTTTATACTTTATAAGAGGATCAAGAAGAACAAGATCGAGCACAAAGCTCAATGTTTGTTTTCAAGATTGAAGTTAGTGGATCTGAAAATCTATAATAACTTTGATTTAATTTCATATCAGTACTAGCAAACTAGATAATATTAAAGTTTTGATGTATCCTACTGTTTTATGTCCTGGGTTTCATGTTTGTTGCTCAATTTTATCATCAAAGCTAGTAGTTCATACAACCAGTGGATACTATTTTACTTTTCAATGGTTAAAATTAATGTTTTAAATCAGGGGTGGTGCTAGAGTCAAAGATGTAAGCCCAAAATGCTTACGTTCTATTTAAGCTAGCGATGAAACATTTATGCAAATCCCAGTAGAAAGTATGAATAATAATGGACACATTCACACAGTTTTTGGGCCATGTTCACCTTTCAGTGTGTTCACATGTTCACATTGTGGCATGTTCACAAATGACGTAACAAGAATTGCCGTATTCAAGTGTTTTTACTTATCTAGAATGGCTAATGTAAAAAGAGAAATGCACTTTGTTTTAGCTTGCTTGGATTAAATCAGTAGCTGGAAATCATGCCCATACGCCGGAAATTCAGCATAACAGACGCTGTTAATACCAGATGATTGTATTTTGAAAGCTAAACTTCGTTTTTCGTTAGCAGTGCAGAACAAAAATTATACAGTATGTATGTATATCACAAAAAACAGCGTTCCATCGACAGAGAGTAACATAAACTTAATGTTCATATTAAAATCAAGCAATAGAGATTTCACGCTAAAAATTTCCTGGCAAAAGCAACAGTTTCCTGCTATGAATTTGTACCAAACGTTTCCCGGCGCTGCGGGGCATTTTTCAACCCTGATTATAGCTTACATTAAAGACAATCGATATATACGAAAAGTGGCTTAATTCATCTGTCAATCAACATTAGCCAATCAATGAGCGTCTGAGTAGTACCTAGCTCACTGATTGGCTAATTGCAGATTGGCCAATGGTATAAGCCACGTTAGTGTCTGTTGATTGCCTGGACTTTTCGTGGTTTGATTGATTGAAAATGATTAAAGCCAAAAATTCAGCCGAGGTGATTGTTGGGTAGGAGCGAGGAATCACGACTAGTGCATTGACATATAGTTTTAATGATCCGTGATTGGTGATTGCCATACTGGTGTTTGTCACTATCATACACACACATAGGTGTACTCAAAATAGATTGTCGAAATTTTGATAAATCTTGCTTACACTGAATGCCGAGAAATTAACTTATGATACAGCGATGGTTCATTGCTAACGAATGGTTTGACTCTATAATGAATTGCTAACATAAAATGAAGTAAACAAAATCAGTTGCGAAATGAGGTTTTGCCTGCCTATAAATACATGAAAGGAGGATAAACATGTAATTATAATGAATTAATATCTTAAAATGCATAGAAGCTCCTACCTTACGACATTCCCTCTCCAAGTGCCTAAGTTGCTCCAAACATTCATCTAGACCTGATCCAAGTCGTTTTCCTGCAGACATCATTTCCTCCCTCGACGGTATGACTTGTCCGTTCTTATGCTTGCTCACAAAACCGTTCTTCTCTCTTTCTTCGAAGTGAACCTGATGTTTTCTAGACCTTGTTTCGTGCTTGTGTGGATCATCTGAAAGCCCTGTTGGAGTTGGCTCTCTCCCCCCTGAGTCCTGCCCACCAAACTGCCCATCATTACCAGGGTCGGCGAACTGCAAGGCTCTGATGGCATGCATATTCTGCCTTTGAAGTTTGCCATGCTCAATATCAAGTCCGTTATCAAAGCCATTGCTTACTCCGTGGTTGTTGTTGAAAGAATCCATGCTGACGTAGCCAGATCCATAGAACGGGGATGTCTCTTTCCTTTGATTGTGTGACAAAAACGACTGGTCAGATGAGAGGCAACACGGCGATGCAAGCATCGGAGAACCACTGCACCTACCCATAAGAAGATCTACTGGACTGCCGTTGTGATATGGGGACTCACGGTTGTCATGACTACTGGGAAAATACGGAATGCTGTCTTCACTCGGGGTTGATGGGTAGGAGCCTTTGGGAGAAGGGTTCGGCGACCAAATGTCGTGAATGATTCTTCCTGGAAATCCAGCCTGGTTGGCATTGTCGTGGAGGTCAAGGTTCAGACTGAAACTAGATGACAAAGAAGAGATGCTTGGCGGCCAGGAGCCAGCGTCAAACCTGCAAAAGGACCAATGAAGGTATTGGAAAGCAGTTTCGTTTCAAGCATATGGCCGTAGTAGTAACAAAGTGGTTGAAAAAAGTAAAGTAAAGAAGTAAATTATATCGAGATGAAAAGGCCTAAACGTAAGATGACACTGATTTCTCCCAACAGCTACATGAAAACTGCAAATTGGTTTACATTTTAGGTCACTAAAACCAAAATATCAAAGTCCAATCCAATAACAGATGAATTGGTGATGATTAAAATGTAACTAAAATGTCCTTTGAAAAAGTATGGCTGTTGGAATATTACAAGATTGGAGAGAACAAAACAACGCAACTGCATTATTCTAGTACATTAAGTTCTGTAGTTGGATCAGACAATTGCCAAGTATTACACCTTCCGTACATTTTATAATCTCTCTATTCTGAAGTATAAACTAATGTCTAAAGCAGTACTGATCTGGGAAGCAGTATACTGGAAAAAATCGCGATAAAGAATGGAATATCATGTTTTGGTATTTATCTGTTTCTCGGAAAAATATTGATCGAAACATCACCTATCGAGTTAAAGCAACACAATTTTTGATTGCAATGTGGCAATACACTTTGATAGATATCAGAAAGGCTGCTATAAAATGAAAACACGCATTTTGGTAATATTACCAAATTATTTTGATTTTATGTTTTCAGTTGATTAGTATGAAGAAGAGTAAAATCAACAAGGGTGTTTAGAAGTCTATTGGCACCAGTTGAGATTATTTCTAGAAAAAACTTAAGTCTCAAAACCAAAGGTATTTTAATAACTGGTGGAACAAAGCTGGGTACTATTCAGGAAAGTTAACAGGCCTATGAAAAAGGTCTCATAGCTGAAAAGAAATGTTAAAGATACCGTGAACAAGATTCAAACGTTCTTTAGGTAAAGAATTCTAAGATTTAAACGTTCTTTAGGTGAAGAATTCTTTTAAAAATAAACGCTGAAATTATCTTCTCTAATAAACACGCCTGTAGAAATTTCACCTGTACTTTCCATTGAAACAGTATCTTCTGTCACAGAATCTAGCTGTTTATTGAAAAGTAGGTTAGCAGGCAGCGACTGGTCAAAAGCACGGAACCAATTGAAAACAAAATATATCTGCTGTAGTCATTCTCGATTCACACGTGGATATAAACATCCGCTTACTTTTTGCTCTTTATTCGACGTTTTAAGATATGCGAAATAACGGCCGAAAGAGTTCCAAAGGAAATTAATCAATTAAGGCTTACACATCATTCAGCTCTGTTTTGGAAATTGCCGTGTGCTGCGCTCCTCCGTCGTTGATTTCGTCATCTAGCAGGTTTGAAAGTACGTGGTAAGCGATGTGCTGTTTCGATGGTTGGTTTTCATCATCAAAATGCCCAGTAAACTGTACATCCATCAAAGGCGGTGCATTCTCTTCGGAATTAGGGGTGCTGTGGGCCAGCGATATTGGCACTGAGCCTGGCACCTTCATACTTTCCATTTTCTCAAAAGGTGGAAAACACATTCCAGTTTCCAGGCAGATCCCCGAATCATGCTGAAATTGAAATTATGGTAGAAAGTAACGAGGAAGATATTTATTAAGGAAGTAAATACACCAGCGATGAACACAGGGGAGCTAACCAATGCAGAATGAGATTGACTTTTTGGCAATATGGATTGGGTCAGTTGAAAGTTGCAACTCCCAAGTTACAAGATTAACGAGACCATATGACAACTGTCCGTGTTTAAGGAGCATGGAGCACATTTAAACAGACCGATAAACTTAAAGTGATTTTATTTGCGCAATACCCAAAAAACAGACATTGCAATAAAGTTGTTGAAAAGAAAAGGACGTTTCAAAAAACACCAGTAGCAACATATGGCCTACATTAATTGGCCTTTACTTCAGGATGTAAACTATCAAATGTATATCTTCTAATTAACCTTGTTTGATGACCTTTGACATGTCAAATAAAAGGAGAAAATGAAAGCCAATTGTTGTTTGAATGTTGCAATAGAATTCGGGGAAGTGTAAAAATACAGTTCACACATTGCATCGTCAATAGATGAAACAAAGAACCATTTCATTTTGCTAACAAACTGTTTTTCCAAAGTTTGCACATGAGCAATAAATCATGAATAAAAAGCAAACATCAAATATTGATACCAGAGAGCTATTAAACAACGGACCTCGCCCTCAGCTGTACCTACAGGTAATTCAGCTGCTTCGTGCAGTGTAAATAAACTTGCTGACGTCATCGATGCAGCATGGAAACTTACAGACAAAAGCCAAATGTAAATAATTGTCTTCAACAGACAGTAACAAACATTTAAGCACCCGAGACAAATGACAATGTCAAAATACAAATAATCAAAGGTCCAATAAGGCCTTCACACGATAAAGTTGAAGTTTAGGCTTTCAAAGAAACTCCTCGAACATTGAGGTTTGTCATGGGCTAAAAACTTTGGGCATGACAATACTAACGAAAGGGGTAATACCGTGGTACGTGAGGTGAGGTTTTTAAAAGCCAGAAAACGCGAGGCGAACTATGAAAGCTTTGAAACACATAAACGACGAAAGGACTTAAGTGAAACGATGCACGTGACAAATGTAGAGGAATGAACGAAAAAGGTTGATGCAAGGATGCCTATTTTCATTTGATGCAAGAATGCATCTAAACGTCTTGTTTGCCTATTCAAACTGAAGCTAATTTCACCTATTGGTACTGTGGGTATAAATAACAAACTGAAATTTTTAAAGCCGATCGTAAAAAAACAAATTATTGCGACTGTATAAACAAATTTATGGTTTAATTAATGACAATAGCTTAATTAATGTTAGTAGTGTTTATTTCCGTTAATCACTTGATTTCCGGAATTGGCATACCGTAAATCATCGAATTAGCCCCCTGGGGGCTTATTCATGTTGATATATTTTGATGGGGGCTTATTCGAGGGGAGGGGGCTTATAAAATTATTGTAGACAATAAAAAGAAATTATTTAAGACCACATTTATTTTAGTAGGAATCTCTTTAAAAAGCATTTAATTAATTATCACCAAAAGTATGAATTTTAGTGTTAATTCAAAACAAAACGCCAAAGGCAACCTCAGATGGCTAAAGTTATCAAATTGAGGGGTCCAATCCGTGATTTACCGTACTGCCTCTAGCGATGAACTGTTATGTTAGATGTCATATCAGACCAAGGGAAAGGTCTTTTGTGTTTTTAGATAATTGCTAAATGAAAATACGCATTGGGTGCGAAAAACAAGAGCCAGGGGGTACTGTGGATTGCTGATATTTTTTCTGCACATCTGCACATGGATGCCGCATGGTCAGTTTCTATAACCATCTGGATGTTCTAAATCTGTAAACACTGCCTAGAAGACTCAAATATGTTGCATGATAGAGTTTTGCAATGAACCCCCCAGAAATAGTTTCTAACGCTAAAAATGAATGTAGTTGGCATTCGTGGCTAAGAACAATCTTACAAAAACTGGGCAAGGTGAAACAGAAGAGTAGAAATAACCCCCCCTTCCCCCTCAACTTGAGAAAGCATGTGACAAAGAAAACAGGAATAACTTATAAAAATAAAAGCTGCTGTTAAACGGGACCCTTTGGGGCAAGGATTTGTGACACTTTGGCACATAGTCATAGGGCAGGGGCACCAGTCCCCCAATCAGGCAAAATTTATTGAGTTTCAACAACATTCAGACAATTTTATCTCAATGAAGCAACAATATTTTGGCAAGATCCATACTTAGCGCCCCCCCCCCCCCCTACATAATAATTTCTTGAGTAACCATATTTAAAAGAAGATAAGTGAAATTAAGAACAATTGTTGGTACATGAAAGACCAACAGGATTTTACCAAAAGATTTGCTGCAGGCATATTGCAACAAGTAAGGGCTTCATTTTTTGGACACAATGGAACTAAAATTAAGTTAGTAGCATCATAGGAGCTAAAAAATACAAAAATACAGCTGAACTGACAGGGTTGTGGGCATTTTCTTCCATCATTGTCCTATTATAGTAGGCTTTACTTTTTCTAACACTAGAATTGACCTTATTCCGGTATTGCCTGTACAGAGACCAATCATGATTACTGCCCCTTCTTTTAGCTTTCTTCAGATGGTAAGATACTTAGTTTCATGATTTATTACAAGCTGTATGATTTCAAAACAGAGTTAGACAAAGGGCTTTTTTAAAAATGAAGCCATTGTTCACTACAATAATTCAAAAAGGCTTAATTAAAAGGTTAAGGAAAATAAAAAGTTAAGGAAACATTACTTGAAATGATCTAAGATGGGTTGGGAGACATACATCTTGTCTCTGTGCTTTATCACTCAAAGGTAAGAATAAATTATGTCTTTGATATGAAATTTTTATCAAGAGCAAACTATAACTAATTTTTATCCTGTGCACAAAAAATTTTCATCAAAATGCAACATCCTCAAGCAGAAATATAAAAAAATCTGAATTATGCAAGCAAGACAGAAGTTCATAATGCTAGAAAAGATCCCTTTGAATCAAAGACTACAGATTTTTCTGCTGTACAATTGATCAGAGTTTCTTTTAGTGATATCTAATGGAAAACAATTTATTAAAAAAGAATTTGTTTGTCAATTTCTGAAAATTAATGCTGCTGTAAGGACTGTATATATAGGTCTAAAATTTTTGAAGGAAGCAAGAGGTTCTGAATAAGATATATTATCTCAAAGACAAAAAATCACATTATCACCTGTGATCTGATGAGTATAGTTTCATAGTAACAAAGCTGGTTTTTAACATTAAAGAAATATCAAGAGTGCCAGGGCAAATAAATAGATGTGACAAATTGGCATTTATCTTTATCATTAAAGCTAAAAGAAATTATGATGGAGGTTCAAATTAATATTCTATCATAAGCCTTGCTTTCAACATATCAGAACCATGCCAAAAGTGATTTCAGGCAATTTGCTGTGTTAAGGGCATTATAAATATTATTGATTCAGCCTAGCTCAGTTTAATGGTCTCTCCTTATTGAAAATTCCATCCATAAATACATCAATTTGCATGATAACTTTTACATTCACTCCAAGCTAACAATCTGATAACTGCTTTATATTTCTTTGCCTATTATTTGTTAATATAATGTATATACAGCATACTTTTTTAAAAAAGAACACATTTGTTCAATTGCAACACAAGTGTTTTTATGTTTGGGCCAAACATCAAGCTTTTTCCTATCTCATGTTTACCAAGCAACTGCCTCTTTAAACATTGATTTTACAAGACAGGGCTTAAAGGCAATCTGTCTTCTTGTGGATTGGTTAACGAGAACAATAACTGGTGATATTATGAACAGTATGTTTAATGTTTAAGAAATCCACAAGATTTCAGTCATTGATAGCAGCTTCTGCAACAATTTTATGAGTGCAGAGTTAAATTTGGTCACTACAATTCATAATAGCTTATGACAACACAACATCAAACTATTGAGGTCTCCGACCACATAAAAATCCTTTGATAAAACTGATTCCCAGTAAAGTTATATATGTAATACACTACCATGATTTAGTAACATGTCTGTCTTAAAAGGTGTTTTTAAATCTTCAAAATAATTAGTTACAGACACTATTTTATCTTCATCTTAATTCAAAACTCCCTAACCACTTTCAACAATCAGCTGCCTAATAATTCATTTTTTCTATTTGAAAAAATACTTTTCCTTCATAATCATCCCTGCTTAACCAAACAATAATGAAGATTTGAATTCGCATTCTTTTGAAAGATTTCCTTATTAGATATAGAATCCATCAACTGGTCCTGTTACTCTGAATTCCTTCTTTTTTTAATCAATCCTGTACCTTAGGTTTTTCATACCCAGTCCAGCTTTTCTTTCAAACTAAAGAAAGGTTTCCAGCAAAGACAATGCTAAGTTTTTCATGAGATAATTTGAACAGCCTCAACCACATATTAAAATCAAAATAGACCAGGTGAATTGCAAATTCTATTTCTTATTTTCTATCTATAAGCTAATTGATACTCCCTTTGACATAAGATTACATCCATACATTAACTTTATTAACACAGCAAAGAAAATCTATACAATAGAAATTTCAATCTTCTTTACAAAGAACTGTTTTGTTTAAAAAAATGTTTCCATTCCTCCTTAGCAACATGCAGTTTTTGGTTGGCATACATTTACTGAAGTTGTAACAACCATTAAATTGTGAGAGATGTGATACAATTATATGTCTTGAAGCCTGCTCTTAGCCTCGTATGGTACACATTAATTAACAATAAATTTGGTTCACCGGACCTAATTCTCATCATTAAAGTGACCAAAACATTGTAACAATAAGGGAGAGCATTGATGTACAAAACTAGAGCAACTGGCAGTGTATCTAGAAAACCAACAACTTACTACTTTCAACTGAGGGAAATGATTCACCCAAGTATTTCTTGTTGCAGGTTCATCGCTTCAACAGCCCGGGCCTTGAACACAAATGGCCTGCTTTTCGAGAGATCAAATAGGCCTACGCTAAGCCTTCTGGTTTTGGAAAACATGAATCGACAACAACGCTTGCTCAGGTTACTTTCTATGACACGGACAACGGATGCTTGATTGAGAAATGGCAGCAATATTTTAACAGAATGTCAATTAATGATTGAGTTCAACTTAATACCCAGGGTTTTTAGTCAAATGAAAAACAATTACGTTGTTGTAAACACAAAAAAGCTGTTCTCCAAAATTTCCGGTGGCCTGAATACAACCCTTGAAAACTGCCCTTATACGCTGCTAGGCTCAAATAACATACCTTGCTCTTCACTTCAGCACTTAATGCATTCTTTTTGACCATTTTTTGCTCTTCAGCTCCGCTTTGTCCTGTATCATTTTGGGCTGAAAGAGCCATGACCTTTACATCTCCATCTCATATCTCCATCCTCTAAATTTTGTTTCAAGTTTTCGTCGGGGTCTCAAGGGTCTGGGAGCGAGCAATCGTCACCAGTTTTCAAACGCTAGATGTCATATCTGCGAAGTTGCAATCAGCTTCTTCTTCTGCTGGCTTTATAGAGGATTTCCTTCTTCTTCTTCTGCTGGCTTAAATGTGACGTCATACAAATAAATTTCTAGAACTTTTTACTTTTGACCACATATTCTAGAAGACTAATATGAAATATATCTTAATATTCAAAATCAGCTAACGATCTTGAATATTTTTAATGTTTTCTAAAGTTTGATATTTCAACTCTGGCTTGATGCAAGGCTTTTACTCCCTGAGTACAAGACTCTCTCTAGAAAAAAAGAGAAAGTGTTTTTTTAGAAATATTCTGTTATCCACAGTATAAAAAGGTGAACTGAGACAACACTGCAGCGAATTGAAGGGGAAAGAGCCTATCGTCATATCTCAGCCGACCTGCAACAGATTTAATTCATTTTACTTATCTTACCGACAAACTAATGATCTTATTGATTAAAAAAAGATTTCTTGACAAACTCATGGAATATTGGAAGTGTCATACCTTCTAAATTCCTGTTAGCTGCACCCCTAGGCGTGGATCGTCCTTATACATTCCTTTGTTCCCATGCCTCCTCTTACTCCCTGCATTCCTTTTGCTTACAAGATCCACCCTTCGCTTCCTTTTTTCTACGTATTCACTGTCTCTTTCTGTGGATATAACCAAACTATTCTTGCTTTCCCCGGCACAAAGTTTTTAAACATGACTTTAACGGTCTCATTCTTAATAATGATAACACTCTTTTTTATAAGAACCAGTAAATTTAAGTTCAGGCTGACTGTTCTTAATTTTTTCGAAAATCTGAGGCTGGATTGTTCTTAATTTGTTCTTAAATTAAGAGGGTGTAAGCAGTGCTATTGCTAGCTTTTTCGCTCTAAGGAGGTGTTCAGGCCTCATTTGCCAACAAAGTGAGTGAGACAGCCTTAATTTGCTGACAAATTTTGAATATTCACCGAAAAACACCCACACATCGCTAAAAATCCTCGATTTTGAGAAAAAACGTTGCTCAAAATTGCATTTTGCAGAAGCTCAGCCTCAGCTTGTTCTTATTTTGTTCTTAACTTTTGACCAGTTTTGAGGCTCGTGTTCTGATAAAATTGTTCTTATAAAAAAGAGTGTATGCTTAAAAAGGGTGCTCTCATCACAGGAGTGGTTTCACCGCAGGATTTTCACCTGAATTTGCTTTTACTAACTCATCACCGCCATGGCTTCATCTCATATTACAGCTGAGGCTGGTCCTGATTTAATTGTAAGTTTACTTCGAAAGATTTTAGCAAACATTGCTTAACTATAATACCAGAAATGGATGATTTTTTCAGGGACCCTGTTAACCTTTAGTAGCTCTGGACTTTATTCTTTAGTCTTTATATTTGTCGGGTCTTCATTTGGTTTTCAAACGCATTCTTACTTTAAAGGAATTGCAACGCAAATCACGGATACTCTCTTGAAAATACCAATGTATTTCAAAACATCTGAACAATATGGAGAAGTGGATAAATTTTTGATGGTAATAGCTACTTCTATGCAACACACATTCAAGCTGGCCCGTCGCTATAGGGAGGCGCATGGGGCGTAGCACTTTCCTTGAAAAATAGTTGCATTGGAAAAGCGAGGAGTTGCTTGCCATCTAGAGGTGCTTAGTTGGCAAATTTTCAAACCTGTCGGCAAATAAAGGATGGCTCACCCACTTTGTCGGCAAATGGAACTTGGAGACCCCCTCTTGAGCATAATAGCTAGCGACGGGCCTGCAATCAAGAGTAGAATTTCGGATGATGAAGCGAAAGCTCTTTGGTTTCCCACAGGGATGGCTGAGGAAAGAGGCAAGTGGAATAAAGAGCGACCTTGAATTAAATTGCCCGAAAATTTGACTGTATCTCCTGCGGCTCTCACTGGGAATCTCTTTTAACTTTGCTCTTAGTTTATTTTAATGATGTATGTCATTTCAGCTTTGACGTCAGCAGGATTTAGGCCAATCAAATTCAATAACGTGAACTGATGGAAACCTCGAGAAAAATGACACAGCGGCCAAGATCTCGTTAAATTATAGCAATTGAAGTCAGCAAGACAGCAGAGGACAACAAATGACCTGTAATTTATTGAATGCAGATCTGCTGAGAGGTCTGGTGTCGGCAGGTTTCTAAATTAGCCTCAAATAGTAAATACAAAAAAGCAAATTGGCGTATTCAACCGTAAGACACTGCACGCGGCAAAACACAGCTTACAATCATGTGCCCGTATCACCATATCGCATACACACTCTTTTATAAGAAGAAATTTTGAAATAATATTGAGGTCTTCATTTTTTAGATTTAAGAGCCAATTCCGAATGATAACCAGGTTGAATAGACAGAGTGACTTTTTATCTTTTTATAAGAATACTTTAACCTTTTTCCAGCCTTGATATTCTGAATTCATTCGTTTTGAGCCTGATTTTATTCTTGAGGTATTTTTTCAAATCTGATATACATAGTTTCAGGGGGATATCGTCTTATAAAAACCTTGAAAATAGCCTGAATATTCGTGTGTATTTTGGGTAAAGCAAGGAAAGATGTCATACAAAAAGTAAACATGTTTCTGGTACTGCAAAATCTGACGATGACTGGAAATAGCTGAAACATGGCAACGTGAACTACTCTTTTTGTTTAGAATCTTTATCGCTTACTTTAGGACAATATTACATGCTGAAATGTCGTTGCATTGAATTGGTCGAATTGATTTCTTAGGAAACAGATGTTGATCGTGATAGAAGTCAGGCAAAGGAGAAGCACAAGCACGCTAGCAGCACTGGGCTATTACATAAATAGCACAAACAACATCATTCCCACAGAGGACGTAGAAAATGACAATTGATAAAGTCTGTCAAAACATTCATTCGGCTCCACACAAAATTTTCAATCGCTTCTACACAAAATTTCACAAATCCACGCGACAACTGTCTGTTGCATTAAAACATAAGAAACAACTTAATAGCGGGAGAATTGTCTGTAAAATGAAACATGCACGATTAAATAATTCATAAAAACTTGTTTCGATAATGGCTGCTGATTTATCATTCTAAGAAGGTTTTACTGATACTAACGAGATTCTTGTGATCACCCAAAGCGCTAAACTTTTGCAGATTCTTCTTTGTTTCACTATCTCACGCAATATTTAGACACTCAGCTGTTCCATTAAGAATATGGGTGAGGGGACTAGAGTGGGTGCGGATAGAAGGATGCCTGTAAAGCGCTTACTTTATCTTTTGCTGCTTCAGCAAAGTGATTGTTAGTCATGCAGTGGTGGCTTTCAACGGTTAAAAGAAACTTGACTAGATCATTAAATCTTGCTAAGCAAATAGAATTATTGCGGCGCGACAATATTGAATTCATTCGGCTTCTCTTATATATAGATATGTCAAGGCTATAAACATTGGGGGTACTTCAAGGATCTTGTCTTGGTCCCCTTTGCTCATAACTGATCTATTATTTACATTTATAAGATAGTATAAGAAACGTATTATGATGGGATTGTTTTTGGATATTGGGTAAGCAATTTAAAAGGTTTTCGATATCATGGTAAGTTCAAAATTCGCTTACCTTTACATGGCAGGACGGTGTTCATGACAACGTTAATTAACATTTTTAATGGCAAACCTAATTTCGAAAACAATTTCTGTGAAATTCTCAGACATTGCACATAAGCTTTTTAAAATGTTTTTGGGTGCTTCAATATATTCAAAACTCCGTTGTATCAGAATTCCAAGGCTCTTTTCCGTGCAGTGCTTCTTATGAAGTGCAAAGATAAAGGTTCGTTAAGTTTTATGTTTGCCATGATAAATTAACGTAAATTTGCAGTTAGCTTTAACAAATATCTTCGTATAAGGAAGAAACTACTTGCCGGAAAGTACAGTTTCCGAAATTACAGAAAATGCGTCCGAGAGTTTTGTACGAGTTTTGTTTAACATAAATCCTCCGACAGAAACAAGGATTCCTGTTTGGTGGATGTTGAGAACCAAAGCAATAATTGAACCTGTGCAACTGTTGCTAGGCCATGGTTGGTGAGTCGTTTACGAAAAACAAAAACAATATCTCTTTATTTGATTCTTTAATCTAAACATATAAAAATAACAAAAACACACAGCTCATATATTAAGTTATCATTTTAATAAGATCAGTTTAATAAGTGTGCGAACATAGCAAATATAGTTTTAAAACCACACAATAGACGAGTAGCTTGCTAAAAATAGTATATACGTATTTAGGCAATAAAATCATCTAAAGTTTTGAATTCTTAAAATTGCTATTAAAATAAACAACTGTGACAGTGATATCATCATGAAAATGACGTTTGTATTCAACAGGTAATGACATCATATTCGCTAAAGCACTGTCATTTCCCTTTCCTAACGCGTATTTGATCAACAAAGTGGCGCCATTCTCTTCCTGTTCACTTTTCTTTATGTTGTCTAAATGCGAGCCAACAAGCTTCACTGCTTGTTCACTGGAAATCTTTTCCCAAAGTCCATCAGTAGCAATTATAAGAAACCTATCTTCGTCTGTTATCTTTCGATGACTAACAACAGGCTCTGCTGTGAGGTAAGGCGGCGTCAAGTAACTAAAAGGGGAAACTACAGGCCTACCGTAAACTACATTGATGACTTTTTCGTGTAGCTCCTTGCTCCATTTGTATTGTACATCACCAAAAGAACGCAATGGCTGCAGCTGTCCTAAAAGACGCCCGTTGCGGATTACAGTTTTCTGTTCATTTGGGTGTTCATGCTCTATTCTTTCAACTTCACTGATATTCTCAACCGTCTGATCCTGAGTAATTTGGTTGGCAATCCACTTACCGGATGACGAATGCTTTCCAATCACAGCTCTGCAGTCTCCTGCAAGACAACAAAAGTAGGGCATTCTACAAATGATTATCAAAGTGGAAAGTTTTAGCTAAGGGGAATAACCTTGTCAATTGTATTTAAACAATCTTTTGGTGGTACAAAACTTGTAAATGGCTTTGAAAAAAGCAAACATTTAGTAAACTAAAGCTTTTCGTCTGACACTCTTCAGAGTTTAAAAGACTCACACTGGCACGTAAATTTATAAACGACGGAACTTTTTTGTTTGGCAGGAACGCAGTCCTTTTGAATGGACGGAAGGGCCTTTTTCGTACTATAAACAACACGTGGGTTGACCGCAAAGTAACAATTTGAAATGGCCTGTGTTATTTGGCTTTCAAAACGTCGTGGAGTTTTTCCTAGCGTAGAATGTTCGATCTATGTTCCGACGTTTTAAACTCTGAAGAGTGTCAGACGAAAAGCTTTAGTTTACTAAATGTTTGCTTTTTTCAAAGCCATTTAATTGTATTTGTTTTTAGTTAACATTCTAGGGTAGTTTCTTGGACACAGAGAAATTATGTTAATGATGCAGTGTCCTGCTCCTTCCTCTTCCTATGATCACAACTTGTGTTTTCTAGACCAGGAATTCAGAGAGCTTGCAACTTTCCTCAATCTATGTGAAAGGTTTGGTCATGTCAGGGTCTCAAACCAAAGACCTTCCAATCTGTAGTTACCCTAACCACTGAACCTATTAAAAACTATAGAAAAAAAACGACCTCATATGGTTTCATTAGAGAAAATTTTAGCGCAACTGAAAGTAGCATTGTAGCCAGTGTGCATTGGCTTTCCTGGCTGGGGGAGGTGTAAAATTGAACTTTACTCATAATTATAGAATGGTGGTACACAGAATATGGTACAAATTATGAAAAATTGACACATGTTGTGGCATATTGTTCAAATTATGAAAAAAGTGGCACTCTTATTAGAATTTGTACCAATTATGATTAAATTGGCATACACCTTGGTTTGATAATAAACCATTTTTCTCGGTTTTATGACAAGCATTACCAGATTGTGACTTATCTAGGAGAACTGCCTAGGTTCTGCCTCAATTTGCCAACTGAATGTAATTTTTTACTTGATTTGCTGACTGAGATTTGGCCTAGGGGGGTGCTGTGTAGTACTGTTTTTCACATGAAATCATGGTAACCTTGCGTTTACTTCAGTGGCGGCTGGCAGGAAAATAAGATGGTACTAGTAAAGCAAACAAATTTTTTAGCAGAGCCAAACAGCTAGAGGAAGGGTGGCACAGGGGCTTGATCCCTGAAAAATGTTTGTTTTTATAGCTAATATTACCAAATTTTCTTTTAATGGCGGGTGAGTAGTTTTCATATAATACCTTTGGTTTGTCTGATGTCATGTGATATTGCTAGCTGCAAAAGTTAAATGGCCTAGCAGCATATTATCACTAAAAAGAGGAATCTAGTACCGCTAGCAATTTGTTTATTGTTGGATTGTCAAAAGACAAACGGTTTTACCTATCATTGAGTCACAAATGATAATGGGACAGACTTCTGCAGCACTGGGTGAATGAGGTCCAGTACTGTGGTGTACATAAAGGGCTTATTCAATGCCAGTCTTTCAATGAGAATTCAGATAAGGAGTGTATTATCTGTGTATTCAGCTGCTCTTCCCTTTTTCTGCCTTAATTCAATTAACATAGAAAAAAGAAAAATCATACAAAGCAAAAATATTTCAAGATTTAAAAATAAAATGGTACTTGATTGGTACCACTAGTACCGCTGTAAGCCGCCACTGGTTCACTTGTAAATAACCTTCAGTCAATTGATAATGATTTCAGTCAGTTTATATTCTCGCTATGAGTTACATGCTGTTCTGTCTTGCTCTTTGCTCTAAAGACTACTCAAAGTAATAGGTCAAAGATTAAAGATCAAAGATTTGTTCCATTGTTCTCCCTGTAAAGCCAAAGGCCATTTTATAGCATTTTGCCTGGAGTGTCTTACAGAGACTTCTGATGCTTAAGATGTGTGTAAAGATTTTTACAGATTTGCATATTTATAATGTGAAGTCAATGGCTTGTGCACCTTTTGTAAAGAATCTACTTGCAAGACTTTCTTTCACATCAAATTGATGAAAGGCCCATTTGGAAAAACTGTGACAATTTTGCAGAACATTGTTGAAACCATATATAAACTCTCAGAAACCTTCCTCTCACTGAAATCAGAAACAGAAAAATTACTGACAAGATAAATATCTCAAGGTCCCTACAACACCTAGCAACGGGAAAACACTTCTTTTCACCAAGCAAGAAACACTGGCTATTTTTTTCTCCAATGGTGGCTTATTAGCACTTCCTGCTGTGTCAGCAGACAAATCACTTTTGATGCCAATAGCAACATGTTTGTCATTGTCTCCAGTATCTTTTTGGCATGCTAATGACATTCAACCATTGGAATCATGCAAGTATACTCTAAAGAATGCTGATGGCTCAACTTCAATGCCTCACGGAACCATCCCTGTTCTTATTACTTTTGCGAACAATGGTACTGTCAAGTTTCAAATGGCAGTCTTTGTCGCCTTTCTGCTGACATCATCTTTGGAAACAACCATCTTTAAAAGCCTGATGCCGAAATCTGACTATCCGATCAAATTATCTATTTCATGGACTAGATAAAGTCCAGACACTCATGTCCCTCTGTAATGTCACATAGAACGACAAAAGAAGACAAGCTTTTTTTTGTAAGAAGGAGTGGGCTGTAGTAAAACTGTATTTCACACGATGTTATGCTAATATCGCTTTCACTTGTAAATAATCTATAGTCAATTGATAATGATTTCAGTCAGTTTATATTCTCATTACGAGTTGCATGCTATTTCTGTCTTGCTCTTCACTCTAACTCAAAGTAATGGGTACAACTAGACATAGCTGTACCCTAGCACCTCCAATATTGCAAAGACCCTGACTGAAAGTTCTGTTGCACTGGCTTTAAGTTTAATCTTGGCTTTTCAGTTAAATCATTAGCCACATCAATTTGTGTCATTATTTTAAAGGGTCTTCATCAAGCACTCTGATTTTCATTCACATAGAGGACAGTTTACAGCTCTATAAAAGGCTTCTATTCTTTTGTCAATTACCTTTATAAATTTTATAAATTTTGAATTGTTTCTGTATGCGTCTGCCATGTTTGCTCAAGATCAGAGGCGGACTGGCAGCAAACCTCTCGGGTTGCTATATACAGAAAAGGGGCCTGTACTACGTATAGTGTAAGCAACAGGGGCATTGTGGCTCCTAGGAAAGGGCCGGGAGAAAATTATCATAAGGGGGCCCACGCTTGTGTATGATATCTCCAATCACAAACCCAAGTCACCAAAAATGATATATACCTGGAAACCATGCACCTATGAAATATTATAAAGATGCCAGTTTTTATCATTTTTTAAGGTTCATCTGCTATATTTGTTGGGGTGTAACCCTCTTTTATCTAACTATAGTATCTGCAAAAAATGTGAAACAAATCCAATGCTGTAGTGCACAGTTGATACTAACAAAAATGCAACAGAAAACTTATATGCACTGCGAGTGGAGGAAGCAGGAAAATTTTTTGGGCCTTGCCCTTTAAATTAGCTTTAAATATGTTTCAGAATGTTTTTTACAGGCGTTTCCCTCGTTTTACAAATTTTTAGGCATACCTTTTTGCGTTTCATTAAAATTCAGTTCTTAAATTGGAATTCCTTGCTTTAAGCAGACCCCTAGACCTTGAGGCCCTGGGACAGTTTGCCCCTTCTTGTTCCCCTCTCGGAAGCCCTGTTCATATTCTACGCATCTCTTTCACAGTTGCCTGTTTGTAAATGTTGACCTCCTCTAATTCTGAACTGTGAACTTGAGTATAAATGTAATTGAGGCGTTTTCTCACCAAAGATTTGTTAATATTAGATATTTTCCAATACTGAAATGTTTTCTTTCTAAGGATTTTATCTTCATTTCTGTGACTTGTATTCTCTTGAACATAGATATCTTTGAAATCAACAGAGTCATTTTCTCAGTTTTATCTTTTGAGGGCCAGGTTATTATGAAGTTGAGAGGGCCCGGGTTGCGATCCCAACCTAGTATCCCTGCCAGTCTGCCACTGCTCAAGATCACAGTTAATTTTAGCCATCAACAAAACATAAACTTGGACAAGATAAAGGGTGTGGTCACAATTATAGCAGAATTAAAATGGTTGGAACAACTTTAAACAGCCAGAACATTAGCTTGTGTGATTTCATGCAAAATAACTCTAATTTCCAAGCATACCAAGAGTAGTACTTTGCCACTTCAACACTCAAAGTTTAACTGGCAGAATTAAGGTTTTGCTGGTATTTTTAAAATTCCCTCCCTGTTTTTCCAAATTTTCTCCCCGAGACATTCTTATAATAAAAATGATTACAAAGACTTCCTTCATTAACTTTTTTGCTATCATATTTTTTGCTAATTGTTTATACAATGCAACCAAATTGAGGTGATCATAGTTTTTGGCCAGGTCATCCTGCTTTTCTTAATGAAAAATCTAAATCTCCAGGTTTTGAAAATTTTATGTTGACAGGCCTAATTTTAAAATCTAAGATGCAGAATCAAATTATTCATACCTGTATTAGCAATGTAGAGATCATCTCCTTGGATAACTGAAGCAATAGCACATGATCCTGCCAACCCAATTAGCAATGATTCATCTGCAAACCCACTTGGAACTGCTTCTTTGCATATATCTCTATCAAGTGTGGAGAAAGCCAACTTCAACAACTCACTCTGAGAAAATCGATTTTCAGATTTATCCAAAAAGTTACAGAATTCATCAGAGCCAGTCTGAAGCATTTTCTGTTTCCTGTCAAAGTTTTTAGCAAGTTCTATCACAGGATTATCATCATGCTCTTTTCCTATAATATCATAACTACGTGATTTAATTTTATCAATCTTTCTTTTAGCCTTATCATCACTTGCTATAGCACAAGAAATGTATTGAGGCATTCTTTGTCTCAGGGTTTCCGAGCAGTGATAACCACTGTGTCCATCGAATACCCCAAACATAAACGACTTGGAAGAACTGAATAAGCACTCTATATGACGATCCTCAATTGGGCTGTTGGCTGAATATTGATTTGTATCAAATCCTGAAACGATTCCTTCATTCATAGGTTTAGAAAACTCGTCCTTTCTAAGAACTTCGTCCATAACTTCGACAGGTATTGCAGGAATCTCTTCCTTCACCCTACCCAAAATGCTTTTCCACCAAGGCTGCTTGGTCCCTCCTTCAGAAATACCCGACCCATCAAGGGCATTAACAGTTAATCCCAGGCGATCAGTTATATCCATCCACCAGTTTCTCGCATGATTCATGGTGTACAAAGAGCTCGCAGCAGCAATCACTGCAACAGCCGGCCATTTCATTACCTTGGCTGCTAAACGTTGATTATGGCCGGCTACCATCTTTATGCCTTCAATGTATTTTGAAACCATCGGTTCCACTTGTGTCCTGTTGCTAGAAAAACCACATTTCGTGTTTCCAAACAACTGAAACCCGGCGAGTTTGGAGAGGACGAAGATCAAGAAAAGCAATTAACAACAACAACAGTCATGCACCTTCGCAGCAACAAACCGAGCGCCACTAGGGCCTACTCTAGTGTCTCTAATAGAAGGGGGGAGGTAATAGAAGGGAGGTGTTCATTCCGACCAATTTTCAATAGAAGGGGGTGTTCATGTCGACCAGTTTTCAAAAGAAAGGGGTGCTAATAGAAGGGGATGATCATGTCGGCAATCCTTCTTTGAAATCGAAGTACCTTTTAGAATATACTGTCAAAATTTGGTTTCAGTTTCTTGCATAGTTCTAGAGAAAATTGCAATCATACCAAGATAAATCAAATTCACAGCTTTTAACTTCCAAGTCAAAAATCATCGGTTTTCTTTGTACGGTTGAGGTTTTACAAAAACTATGGAAAGCAACGAATAATGAAAATCAAATGACTTGATTTGTAAAATTTAACAGAAGGGGGGTGCTAATAAGTGACGGGGGGGAGTGGAATTAATACACGGGGGGGGGGGGCGTCTATTAGAGACACCAGAGTATAGATCATTGTTGAAATTATACACGGTGGGTCGTGTCTGAGGGTCTACAAAACTGACCCTTATCTCTGATATTTGATTCCAATTTGATTCCCCTTTTCTTTGAAACCAAAGAAAATTTATTTCCTTTTTCCTGAAATTAAATAGTTGCAATAAGGCCAAACAAATAAAAATTAGAAACTATGTTAAGATTCCCATATCAAACACCCTTTTTTCTATGTTCTATGTCATAGATACATACATAGCAGTATTGAACCCCTTTTTCAGAGATATTGAAGACTCGGGGACTTACACTTGACAAGGAGAGTGGACCCACCGGGAAATTATAACACATTTTGCAGCATTAGGAGATAAAATTAAGATAGTTTGTCACGCTGGATGTTAACCTAAATGTTTTGCTTATTGTTTATGAAAGTATGAAGGGAATGCATTAAAACACAATAAAGGGGATATATACTATATAATAATATAACGAATCTTTATACAGGATGTACATTTCAACATAAAAATGCAGTTATCAATATGTGTCCTGTAAAAAAAGAAAAGAAAGATAAAAACCTATAAAAGAAAACTTTTTTAAAACTTAGCAGTAATAAAATACTTAAAAGATCCATACTTATAATATCACAATTTTCAACTAAAATGTTTTTTAACAGTCCATCGTTTTGCTTAAAAATTCAGTTTTTGTAAGATCGATTGGTAATTCGTTGTACAGCTTTGCACCCATACAATGGAACGACTTCCTAGCATATTCTGTTTTGATGCCTGAAAGCCTAATTAAACATTCGCTGTCTCTTGTTCGTGTCTTGTGCTGCTGTAGCTCGAAATAACCTTGAAAGCTCTCACGTATATCATTATCTAAACATTTACGCACAAGTTTACATGCCCTGGTCTTTTTGGCATTGGTAACTGATTGAGTTGCTGTGGGATTTTTGAGTTTCCGTTGGTTATTTTCAAACAGCGATCATGAAATGACGAGAGTCTCTTTGCTTGAGTTGAGGTCAACTTGAGTAGCAGTACTCCGCAATACGTGAAGGTTGGTAGAATCATCGAGTCATACACTCCTTTACAGAGTTCAGGTCAAGGGAATCCTTTATCTTTGCAAATAATCGCAATCTGGATAATGCTCGTTTGAAACACTTCTCAAAATGGGTATTCATACTTAGTGTACTATCTATTTAAATACCAAGATATTTGTATTGCTTGGTATTTAGTATCTTAGAGCCTCGGTACATAACATCAAGTGTCTCACTTTGCTTTGAAATTCTTTGCGAAGTCCCAAAAAGAAGAGATTCCGTCTTGCTTTTTTTCAAATTAAATATCAAACCATTTTCATCAAACCAATCAGCGATGGACTCCACATCTTTTGTGAGCTTGGTTTTGATGACGTTCAAATCTTTATCAGCAACGTAGATCACTGTATCATTAGCATATTTGACTATCCTGGAAACCTCAATTACATCAGTGATATCATTGAAGACTAGAAAAAATAGCAACGGACCCAAGATAGAGCCTTGAGGTACTCCTGTTTGGATGTTCGCTGTCATTGATGAGAATTTGCCATAACTTGCAGCTCCTGAACGGTGGAATAGATAATCTGTGAACCAAGAAAGTTTACCCTCATTGATACCATACTGAGGGAGTTTTTGGAGTAGGTTTGAATGGCTAATGGTATCGAAGACTTTGGTGAGATCTATAAACGTTGCGCCTACCAGTTTGCCTTGATCGAGATTGTTCCGAATTTCATCTAACAACAGGGTTGCTGCTAACTCCGTAGACAGTAACATATTGATGGGCGAAATGTTGGGTGAAATGTTTGATCGTTTGACCAGGGCTTTATACACAACTGAAAGGGAATGCAACTCCTGTATGTTCCTTGTGCAGTTCCCAGGGTCAGGGCATGGCTGCACATCACCGCACATGAGGATAAGGACGTTGAAAAAACTTTGTTTCGAGCTTCGAATACGAAAACAAAACTTGCCACCTTTCACTTGAAATAAACTGGAATAGATAAAAATTTCTCTGTGGTTTACTTCATCAATCTCATTTCTAAGTAATGTGAGTCCAATAAAGTCTGAGCTAACGAATAAGCTTCTTTTAACTTGTAGGTTTAACACCAAAATAAACAGAGTAACAAGAACCGTGCTGGAAGCCGCCATTTTCGAAAATCCTTTTTGAATTATCTAATATGCTAGACAATTTGTGGTCAGTGTGATTGGTACAGACAATGTCGTAGTGTCTGTTTTATCATTTCATATCATCCTTCTTTTTTTGTTATGCTTCGCATTTAATTTCATATTGAGTTTCAGTGAGTTTCAGGTCATGAAAACATAAAGAAACGGCAGAAAAACAAATTTTTTAGATATCACATGATTCACGAAGTAAAATATGTTCATTAGATGCTTGTGAACAGTGAACTAATGTTGACGCTAGGTCGAGAAATTTTGATGATAATCTAAATTAATTTCAATTGTTAACTTTCTAAATTCCACTAGGATCGTGTTGCAATATAGAAATTCTTCGATGTAATAATGATAATTGTTGCTAGTTTAATAAAATAGACAAAAATATTACAGAAAATAAGCTATCACGCTCAAAATGTACTCAATTGGCAAAAGAAAATGCACGAATTTGTTATTTTATTGAATCTGTCATCTACAGAAATGTGCCAACTCAAAAATTAAGAAGAGAAATCTCTCAGATTTTCGTGCAGGAATACCTTTAAACAACTTATTTTTGCTGGTGTAAAGTTTTGAAAAATTGTACTGGAAAAGAAAAAATATTTTAAAACAAACTTAAGCCATCCATTTGACACTCTTAAAAGTTTAAAAACTTAGCGTAGGTTTCTATGCTCAGAAATATACATACCTACTTGTGGATCAAAATGGCCTAGCTTATGGTCGCACTTCTGTCGAATTAAGGACTACATTTCAACTGAAGTAGGGCAACTGTAGCTAAATAGAAACCTTTCAGCCTTCCTTTGCGTTAATGTTAGAAACAAGCCCAGACCTGACATTGTAACAACTGAATCTAAGCCCAATGTGCTTTGGTTGACGTTAAGTCAATGGTACAAAATTTTCTGTACAGTAAATTTGAAGCATGCATCCCTATAGCCTTTGACAAAAATTCTGCAAAAATTTTAACTAGAGAGGTCGAAATTACCGGTCCTATATAGCTGCGTTGCTATAAACCTCTGCTGTTAAAACTCGACAAATATTTCTAAGCTCTTTCTCTAAAGAGCTGACCTAAAAAATTTGACTTGTCAGGCGTCACTTGTCATATTAATTTGCCAAGCAGGGCGAGTAATTTTGCACCAAGAAGATATTTTTTTGACCCACAGTATGTTTATGATAATTATTTATTGGATGACATTTATGAATTGTACCACATCAATTTGAAAAAAATTTTAAAAAATAATGAAGGTTCCTATCTCAACAGAAAGTTTGATAGCAGCGAGAGAGAGGGTATGTGTGTGCAGATGATGCTATGGTTTCAGACCTTTTGGGGGTTTCAATAGAAACTTTAATGATTAGAGAACCTGGAATTCTATAAATACAAAAGACAATTGACATGATGAAACCGTCTCCAAAAGATCTGATTAGAAATCGCATTAACAATGCTGATAAGCCAATGTGTAGTTAAATCTAGATAAAGTCTTTTTTGGAATTTCTGCCACAATGTAACGAAAACATACGGAACTGATAGTAATAGTTTGTGTATAAATTTTGTCTTCTAGACAGGTGCCCTTCGTTGCGACAATATGAAGCGGAAAACCTGGAAAACCTTTGTGAGAAAAGGGCACCTTGTTCCGACAGTTTTTGGTTTTTTGTTGTTGTTGATGTCTCATCGATGATCAGCTGTAGGGTCCATTCCAATCACCAGGCTGCTTCCATTCAAAAAATTCGAGATTAAACAAAGCTAAATTACAATAATACTGTTTTTGAAAAAGACAGAGCTTCAATCTATATTTTATTCCAAAACATATTTCTTTTCTTCACATTTTACCAAATTTGTCAGAAATTTCGGCCATTTCGGGAAATAATATCTTTGTATCCATGATATATTTAATGCAAAACGAAGAATTTCTGAACTTTCTCTGATAGAGAAAATGACCTCTATGATTTTGAAAATCCTGTGTCTATCTCTGAAATGCAAAAGACATTGAAAAAAACCCATAGCAATTCGTAAGAATTTAATCAATTTTATAAAACTTCTATTATAAACCAAAATTTATAAAAATAGACACTAAAAGCCGTTGAATGTGACTAACAACGAAAAAGACTGAGAATATAAAGTGTATAAAAAATTTGTTGAGAGGCTTTCTTCTTTAAATCCAAAGTAACTTCGAAATGTCTTCCTCTCACTGAAAAGTATTTTATTGCTGGCACACTTGATGGCATCATCTAAAATTCCTTTGTTTTATGCACATTTGCGAAGAAATAAGAAATATGGACATATTTCGCTTTCTTTGTATTTTTCTTTGTATTTGTGACTACCTAGCATCCAAAGATAGTTTTAAGGACACTGAGAAGCTTATGCTTATCGAGCAGTGTCCTGGTCCTTCCTCTCGATGTGGCCACGCAGCGTAATTCCTACGCCTGGAATTGCAGAGAGCTGCTAGCGACCCTCGGATTTATAATCGGTGACCCTAATCAGTGCATCCTCGCACCTGTATTCAATGAGGTAAATGCTGTATTCAATGCCCCTGGAATTATTCTAAAGATTATGGGTGCTTAAGCCTCTCGATGAATGCTGAAACGAATGGACCCAAGAGGAAGGAAGATATATGAAAAGGTTTTTGCTGCTTTAAACGACTGTTCTAATCATGAAAATTTGATGTTTAATTTTATATCAAGGGATAAAAGATGTGTCCTTGATGACTATGAAAATATTCTTTGTCACCAAGCATTCTAGCATGTGAGCAATCAACATACATGGTTGTAAATTAAGCCACTTAACAATTAATACGGTTAACACGCTGTCATTTAAGCTTTAACTCTGTTAAATTATTGGCTTCAATTTGCTGCTTATTAAGCTACTATGTCACCAAGAAAAGACTTGTGTCCCGTATCCACGAGCAACATGTGGCCAAAAAATCCTTTATTTTCGAGTGGCGAAATTATGGAAGAGTTTTTCCCCAAATTCAAACTCATCAAAAACCTGCAGCAATCAAGTTTCCGTCTTGAAAACTCAAGAGCATGATAGAATCATGTTTCATTCCTACCGATCGCTCAATTATTTTCAAGCTTATAATTTACGCCCAATTATTACATTTACTTTTTTATCACTTATTGAATATTTGGTTTGCAAATTATAAGGTTTTATTTTTTTCTTTATACAGGGCAACTTTGAAAAAATTCAATGCATTTAATTAATTACTATGTATACCCTGTTAAATGATTTAAAACGAAAATGAAGAAAAATGTTTGCTTCAGTTTTTTGTCGGGTAGTTTGCTATGAACGAGAATAAATGGGCGACAACTATCACCCAAAATAATCTGCAACAACACCTGACTCTTGCTTTTACTGTGCGAATTAAACCTATTTGCAGTTCTGTTAAAAACCTCTCCTTTAGTCTTTGAAATCTGTTGATATCTATACTTTGCAAATTTATACTTTTTTCCGCAAATCTGGAGTGTTACAGTATACAATGTCATCACAGTCACTGCAACAAACATACGAACTAGTACAAGATCAACCTTGCACTCATAAACATATGTGCATCAATCATCATTGCATCCATTAGCTATGACAGTTAGTTGCGAAATGCTTCCGAGAGTTTCTTAATTATGATGTCATGAATGATGTTATGAAATGTTCCTAACCTTTTTTATCACGTCAAGAGATTCGCTTCCGTTCTGATGCTGTATTTAGACGTGGAAGTATACTTTTATCCCTTGTGTTTTGAGTTTTAGGTCATCAGGGCAATCCTGTTCTTGGATTTTACAAAATTCCATTGTTCTCTGTTTTATGACGTTTTCATAGTTTCTAAACCTTTTGCTTCGAGTAGTGAAGTTTCTTGATTTTTTCTGACCGTCCAGCATTCGTTTCTTATAGCCAGTTTCATATAAAAAATGAATGTAACTGGTCTCTTCCTGACATAACCTGTTCCCTTCGCTTGAATGCTATGTCAGGAAGGGAAAATCGGCGCAAATATGATGTATCCATTTCAAAATTCTTCAACGAACTTCCGAGGTGGCGTTCCTGCGCTGCAATAAAATTTTTCTGGGCGCCCTGCGAAATCTTCGATTGCCCTGCAAAATCCACAATTTTTTAGATTGGGGGGGGGGGGTGTCACACGGGATTTTCGCCCCTGAGTACCACAAGAAACACGCTGCTGAGCAATTAAGCAAAGTTCAGAAAGAAATAGTGTCAAAAGTTGTTATTGAATTACTGTCCTACTTTTTCAAAAAGTTTTCATTTCTAAAACAACAGATAAGGACTTCAACATCTAGCTGAATGTTAGTCACTATTCCGACAAAAATGATTACAAATTTTTAGTAATAATTAAATTCAATTCCATAACTTCGATTTTGTTGAAACTAGCAATATATTTTCTGTGAACAATTTTTTTGCGGTACAGAATTTGAAAATGGCTTTGAAAAAAGCAAACATTTTACGACATACTAAAAGCTTTTTCGTCTGACACTCCTCAGAGCATAAACGTCAGAATAAGGTTCCAAAAGAACACGATGGAAAATATATACCCAGTTGTGGATCGAAATAGGCCAATCAGAAAAACGCAAGCACAAGAACGGTATGGTTGACCAATCAGTGCCTCGAGCCTAAAGAAAAATTACCACTGGAGTCCAAGAGAGAAAACGAACTCCTTCTGTCTACACAATGGCGGCTTTTTCGTTTTTATGTAGATCGACTCCAAAACTGCTAGATGGAAGGATGACCGGGCTCTGCCAATTATCCGAAATATGTCGTCATTTTAGAGTTCTGCACAATCTGGGTTGTCTAAAAGATGTTGACCGATGGCAGAATCACTTGTTTTAACAGTGTTTCTCATTCGTTACAAGTTTCTATTTATATAAATTTGTGATAATAACATTTTCAAAAATAGCAAGCCTTTGCAAGAACGAAATCTCGCCCAGAAATGAAATTATGAGGTCTTTATCGCAATTAAAACTATAGAATCTACAAAAAAAAATTTGAAATGCCAAAAGAAGATACAAGTAATAATACAAAAAAATTCATTGATTCAATCCACAAATCATGACATTCCAAAAATGCAATGATATAAATTTACAATTCTATCAAACTTTACAGTCGATGGCAACGATATTTACCGGGGCTCTACGACAAAGATAGGCACAAAATAGCGGGAAAAATATGTGTAACTAAAGACACGACAGTTCAAAGCAGGCTAACGGACGCCTTCTAAACTCAAAATTTAAACTCCACACCACCCAAGCTCAAACTTAAAGGGAAGTAGCAAATTATTTATAGATAATCCATATTTGAAATTATTTGGATCAGCTGTAAGAAATTTGATGAAACATTCGTGTGATGAAACCAGAATACTATTGTCAAAAACGGACCAAAGCTAGTCATTTCAAAATTCCATCAATTCAGTATAAAAAGAAAACTTAAAGGGTTTGATCAAAATCTAACAGTTTTTGTGAAGCCAACGAAACTACGTCCAGCAGCCATTTACCCAGCAAAAGTATACAAAATTGATATTTACAAACCATCTTGGGAAATTTTTGGAGTGATTTAGTTTTCTTTTAATAAAGGTATACAGGCCAAGAAGGCATATAACCTAATTACAAAATAATCTGCAAATAAATTTAAAATGAACTTACTGGACCAAAATAAACAATTTGAACTAACCTAATTGCAATTTTAACCTCAAACGATTGTGAAATGTGTCAGCAAAATGAAACAAAATCAAAGCTTGTATGTGAAAATGCAAGCGAGGCAATTATTATTTTTGGGATTCTGATTTCAGCAAGAACATTGCTATCCAGTTAAGGCAAGCGTAATCTTCTTATCTTTAAAACCAGATGAATTTATTCTAAACGCTTAGATGTTTTATGTTAGGATATATATTAGTCAAATAATTTTCAAGATTTTCTCTTTTCTTTTGGAACTGAAGACACAAAAATGTTTTTTAGGCCCCAAAATCCCCCGGGAAATGTGTGGATTCCTACGAGTCTTGTTATCTGTGGAACGTTTAAAACTAAGCATATGAAAAATATACAATTACTGGCAAAAAGTCTTGGAACACATTCTTAGTACATTTAGCAGCTCTTTGCCATGCTATGGTTCTATAATTATGTTGGCTATTCGCGTATTTTGCAGAAACGGTTTTCGTCTTAACGGTCTGAAGGCCTCTTTATTGTGAGACAAACATTTCATCGTGAACGCCTACTTCAACTTCAGATTCGCAAAAAGTGTTAATTGTTATTTGTAGATGCAAACATATTAACACGCAGGACAACAGGATCGGAAGTATAATGAAACATTAAAGCTTAAGGAATGTTTAGTCTTCGTAACTTCACATTTAGGTCGCGTTCCCTGTTTAGTAGATTTGAAGTATGTTTCTTATAGGCATCGAATTCCTAAAAGGGAAGGCACGTTATTCAATGATGTATGTTTTCACAGGCTAATACAGTTTAACACTGTAGGCTATATCTAAATCTTATTATCTATTTTTGAAGAGCTTAGTAGACGATAAGAGACCTGTATCTAATACAATATCACATCATGAAATTAGTACAGTTTCTAAAATTGGGCTGCAGAATTTTTTATTAAAATGCCAAAAAGTCATAATAATTGACTTCTTTAACAAACGGATTTCATTAAAGAAGTTTAAAACTTGACTCAAGTTTGGTATTTTTTGAAAAATTGGAAATTTCGAGAAAAAGTATTCGGAAGAATGTAAAAATTGTCTCATTATACAAGTATTGAGGAGATTAACCTTAGATTCAAATTCTCTTTGTGTACCAAGTGATGTTAAACATTCTGCCAAAATATAGGCTATTAAAGGTACCAACCTTATGTAATTGAATGTTCGACTGCTTTGCTTCGTTTATTTCAACCTTAAGTCGCCGAATTGTTTGATTAGTAGAAAGGGACTCGCTTTCTTTCCTAAAATGAAATTATATCAAAATAGCCAATGCATCAAAGAGATAAGAAACATTCAATTAATTTTATAAAGTAGAAATTACTATCTACTGCTGCTTTTCATTCTAAGATCTCCTGCAAAGCGAAGTCGCATGCAGTCACAATCACAAATTGCAGTCCTCAGAAAGCCCTGTTGCCTGGCTTGTTTTGCTATTATCATCCAGAATAGCCGTGCTTAATGCATACTGTAAAGCTCAATTAAGACCGGGGGAGGGCTTATTTTTTTCATCAGTCCAAGAGGAGGACTTAAAAGAGAGAGGGCTTATAAGAGAGGGGGTCTATTCAAAATAAAACATTATAAAAATGCCACAATGCTCTGGGATTTATTCAAAAGAATCAACATCAGTATCATCTTGACTTCTAAGGCGCACAAGGAAATCTTTACATGGGCCGTATTTGATGCACATGATCATATCATCATCACACCCGTCAAGCAAGAGACCCACTCAATGCGCATATTTTCTTTGTTTGACATCAGATGGTAAAGAGGGAGCTTAATAAAGAGGGGGCTTAATAAAGAGGGGGCTTTATAAAGAGGGGGGCTTATTTTATATTTTGGCTTGGTAAGGGTAGGCTTAATAGAGAGGGGGAGCTTTTAATACGGTTATTACTATTCCTTAGGACCATTTCGATTAAAAAATATTGACGCAATATTACAAACTGACTGTGAACGAAATGAGTTTTGGTTTCAATAGATTAATTATTTGTGACAATATTCAATATAATATCGAAATCGTGACAATATTATTTTGTAACCTCGTTCTTTAGAAAGGAACATATTTCTGCTACTCTCAGAGAATGTTTTCAAAGTAAAAATTTGTAAAAGCAGCAATTGAAAGTTCAATGTGATGAGACTTAAACTCTTTTTTTTCAAATTTCTTTCATGTCCGTTGGCATAAGAATTGGTTTTATACAAAATATTTGTATACATAACATCATGCAAAGTTTTACGGCTCCTGATATCGACACGAAGACAAAAAAGATCTTAAATTTTCGCAGGGAATTCGATAGAGAAGGGGGGAGGGGGCTAAACTGCAGAGCCAAACGTTAAAGATGCGACATCAATATGCATTCTAAACCACAACCAGTTATTTAAAGACGAATATTATTTGGTAAATACAAACTTTGAAATTGCGCTTTTATAAACATGCTCTACGCGTAAGTTTCAAAATCACCCTCAAAAATCTATATTTCTGCATATCATTTACCCTAAAACTGAACTTTCCAAAAATTCATTTTCAATTTGCAAAAATTTGATATGGTTTCAATTTATAAAATATCTAACATTTCAGGTAAAATCCACTTACTTGAGTCTTTGATCCAAATGTCTCACTTTTTCATTTTCAGCCTCTAGAAGTCTTTGCAGCTCGTTAAATTTTATCTCATTCTCCTGCGTTTGGAAAGAGCGGAAGTGAAATGCTGAACAATTTGCAGCGGTTGGGGATAAAGTGTCTCACCAAATTTACTCAAGTTTCGTACTACACAAACTATGAAGTTGTTGAAAACTTACAAAAGGGCAACATTAAGTGTAATATTAAACAAACTTAGGATCTTTTGGTGGTACAAAACTTGAAAATGGCTTTGAAAAAAGCAGATATTTAGTAAACTAAAGCTTTTCGTATGACACTCTACAGAATTTAAAACGTCAGAACATAGATAGCGTCATGTTTGCTTTTTTCAAAGCCATTTACAAACTTAGGAGTTGGGATAACTTAAACAAGTGTCACATCAAACTTGATAAAGTATCGTTCCAAACTTATTCCGGAGGCGGGTTCACAATGGAACCAACTTTTGACGAGAGCGGACCAATTTTCTGAATAAATGCAAGCATAGAGACAAAAATCTACCGCTAGCATGGATCTAGCCAAATCCCTTCTATCATGAATAAATTTGAATCAACCACTTCAAATAATTAACGGGACGGTGTGACACCTTCTACATCATCACAGTTGGCATCCCTGATTTGAACCAATCTTACTTAAATTTTAATAAGTTTCTTCGCATTTCTCACAAAATGAATATCTACTTTGAAACAAGACGGACCATCTGGTGAAAACAAAGTAAGAAAGTTGAACCTTACTTACTCAAGTTGATTTCGGGTAAGATGTGCCATATATCTGATACGTTTGAAGGATGGCATGGAATCGTAAAAGCAAAGATCGCTCTGCGTTCGTTATTTGGGTTTCGTTCAGAATAGAGAGTTGAAGAACCTATGCTTAGCGAAGAGGCAGAAATGCAACCCCAGGCCTAGGCATTAAACATACCTTGATAACTAACTGCTGAGCTTCCAGCAAATCTTGCAGCCCGGTCTTTTGCTGGTCGGATTCGTCTAGCTGCCTTTGTAGTGACGTCAGCTGTTTCTGAGCTGCTGAATACTTCTCTTCAAGTCGTCTGAATGTCTCTGGAAATACAAAGTATTAATGCTTATGTGGGAGGAGAACAATCCAAGCGCAATGAGCTGTTCCCATCGGCATTGAGAAAGACTCTCCCTAGCAACCAGCCTTAGCAACAGCAACAGCAACAGAAAACGGCAACAGCAACAACAGTATATCATGTAATCACGCATGACCATCTACAAAATTATAATGAATGGTCACAGCAACGAAATGATCAAGCACTCATTTAAACACGCAGGCTTTTGATAAATATCACAGCATACCTTTGCTATTAGATTTCTCATCATCTTGCGTAGTTTTGATTTCGATAAGTTGTTTTTCGTTTTGCTCTTTCATTTGATCAAGCTGGGCTTTGAGATCCCTGAATAAAAATCATACATTCTGTCAAATGCTTAGCAAGTTTAACCAAATAGCGACATAAAGCCAACATAAGATACAAGGAAAACACTGCATAATAGTTTGAAGACAAGGAGAAAAAATCGACTGGTAATAGCTCACTTTACACGTTTTTATATTTCATTCATCTGCGCACATGACTAAATTTCGAAAGTTTACTTAGAGAAAATGTGAGCCAGTGACAAGCCAGGAGAGGACTCAAAACCATGAAAAGTGATACTGTACGTCCGTAATTGAGCTACCCAGAAACATTTTCAAATCAAAGCTCAAAGCCATGCCAATCGCAAATACCGCCCCCTTCTTCGTGGTGCGCAGGGCATTTGTTGCACTGGACTGACTAGGTTTCGAGAAATACGTTAGTGCCCAACAAGATTTGAGAAAATGCACTTTGGAAGTTTAATACATACTGTTACTACATACTGTTAGCAAACATTCAATACGATACCCATCTCCACCACATATACAGCACAGCATAAAAGTCATCATCAATTTTGACTCTTGTCGCCAGGCACCCTGAGAGCCATGATGGTCTCTTCAGAAGGTCAGGCATGCTGTACCCCCCTTTAGTTAGAAAATTTAAAATATCACAAAGTCGGCTTTCAAATGAAGCGATGAGTGTAATTTGTGAGACAGAAACATATTAAACCAAAAGAAATGCACTAATTCATTCGTGTCCCTCTGTAGAAGTTTTGATCTCAGCTCAAAGTGGCTCTGGAAAATTCGTCGTCAACCTGCCGAACATTATCCGGAATTCACAAACCCCCCCCCCCTCTCCGAATAAAACTCATAGACAGCATTCTACAACGAGCGCCTTTGGAATATACAAGCCACAGATTTATGAAAGGAAGTGCTTTAAAATTTGAGCGAAAACAAGGCAATCATGGAAGAATTTCAAGACTGATTATCAGCGTACCTTTCCTTTTCGTCAGCTTCTTCTAAGCTTTTTTTAAACCTTATCACGTCCACGCTCAGTTCTTCAAGAATACGATCTTTCTCCCGAATCGTTTCACTGAACATATTTTCATTGTCCTGCTTCAGTTTCATGTTCTCTTTTCGTAACTTCGCGTTCTCATTTTTGTACTCATCCTTCAATTTGATCATTTCAACATGATTATGATCCAAAGTGTTGAATCTGTTCTTTAAAATCTCATGGTCTTTTTTCTCAGCTTCATACCGGCTCAATGACTCTGCGATTTCGTTTCGAACATTTTCTGAAATGTGCAGTATCAAATTAAAAATCATTAGCAAAATACCATCGATAAATTGGTAAATTTCGGCAGACAACGTGAGTGTATTCAGGAAACTTCCCTACACTTATTATTATCCTTCATCCACTTTCTGCATTTTCTATTTTATGGTTTATGACACACTCATAAAATTGCATGGCATCCTTTTGCATATAAAGAGTTACCTGGGGAGTAGAAAGGTCAAGTCACCTGAAAACAAACTATGAATAAGGAACCTGACCAGGTGCATGTGGAACTCATTCTGAATAAATACATTTGTTCACTTTACCCATTCACAAACATATATTTTAAGTAATAAAGTAATATCTGCACCAAAAAGCAGCAAAATCATGTCTTTGGTATCAACCATTGCATATTTACAAAAAAGATTTGGAATATTTTGTTGATTTTACAATCAGAAGCTGGCAAAAAACCTTTCTGATAACATTACAAAAACATAACATTACCAGTTCTCTTCTCTATTTCCATATATTTCTTCAGATATTCATCTGCTCTCTGTTTTAGGATGCAAATCAACTCTGATTGTTGTTCTATTCTTGACCTAAGAAGTCCTTCTTCAGAAACATCATCCTCTGAAAGCCCTCTCAACCTCCGCAAATTTTCTGTAACATCACTGTACTCCCTTCTTGTATTCTGTAAAATTAATGATTTTTAAATTTTTGTTGAAGCAGAGACATCTTGCAACTATAATTCATTAAACAGTGGCACAATTGCAGATTGTTAATCAAATTGAAAAGAATAAATTAAATACAGATTTTTAGAGCTTAAATCCAAACTGTTGTTAGGAATGTTTACAAGAAAAAAAAGCAAAACAATATTAAACTTCTTAACAATAACCAATAAAATAATCAATAAAATATCAGTAAATGTTAACAGTTAAAATATCATTATGATACTCATATAGAATTTTCCCTCGAAAGTGATCATACCATTATATTCCTAAACTTGGATGACAAATAAGTGTCAACTCTACTCAGGCAAAGATGAGCAGTTGACGAAGGCTAAGAATTATGCCACTGCAGCAGTCTACAGAAGGATGTGTCTACGTATAGTACCTGAAATTCATCCGGAAAGATCAATTTTGGAAAGAGAATCAGAAGGTACATTTACTCCAAAAATCTGCAACCCTTCAAAAATTAAATATCATTTTTCTAAAAGCTATCAGCTTCATAAGTCTCAGCTACATGGAGGAATTTCAAGGGGTCAGAGAATGGTAATAGGAGGCAGAGGTCATGCCAAAGGCACTAAGCACTTTGAGTACTAAACTCTTGCAATATTGGGGTTTGAGGGGCAGATAAGACTTGTGGTTGGGACAGGAGTGAAGATCTGCAAGCTCTCACAACTTAAGCCTATTCATTGCAAAATGTTCTTCAAATTTCATAATTTTTTTTTAAAATAAACCAGACTACTTGCATCTTAATAAAATTATGGAACATCTCTGATACCAAAAACCCTAAAATGCCTGAGAAGTTTTCTTAGGAGTCGGTCTTGAAGTATTTTGACATTCTTGGAGGGGAGGTTACAGCCCCACAAGATATACTATGTTGGAGTCCACTTTAAGACCAAAAACTTGAATAGATAAAGTGAAATAGGGATCAACATTACAAGATGCAGTGAAATGTATTACCAATAAAATAGCCAACCACTTAGTTTTCATGTTACTGCCTAGGTTTCAAAGATAGTTTTAAAGATACTAAAAAGCTATGCTAATTGGGGAGTGTCCCAGTCTTTCCCCTTGATGTGACCACACTCTCCTCATTCTAAGGGAAAGTTTGGTCATGTCATGGACTTTAACCACAGACATTGCATTTTAAGTCCACAATCCGTAACCACTGAGCCATCCTCCATTCTCATAGTATCAGTTAAAATTTTGGGAAGTTTTTTACTTAAAAAAATTAGTGATAAAACATCATGGTTGAACCATATAAGATAATTTTGAACTTTTAACTTGTCCCGCCTTGCTTTATCTTGTCTTTGTTTGATGACAAAGATGTTAACATATTATACAAACATTAGCACAACAGGGAAGAGATTTCACTGAGTGAGGCAAAAAAACTTGCGGCAAAGATAAACTTATCATATCATTTGGTTAGTTAGTCAACTACCTTTGAAACCTGTGTATATGGTGGCTGGTACGTTAGTGATAAAATGTGGTTAAAATGTTCGACGTAACATCGCTATTTTAGGCCATTCATTATCTGCAGGAAATTTTTGTATTTGGCGCGCAAGCAGTAGATCCAAAATATTGTCTCTTATACACAAATTTAATACGTCGTATACAGACCTGTTCCATCATTCAAGCAGCCTGTTAGCAACGGTAAAAATCAGTGCACAGTGTTTCAGCTGAAAACCTCAGTTGTTATCCAAAAACAAATTGATTGCTCTTTTCGCTTCCCTGTAAAACGCCATAGCAACCTCGGCTACCCGTCGTGTAAAACCCAGACCAGCGGCCAGTGGCAGAACATGAAAGACCGAAGCTTTGTGTGCAACTGCGCGCTAACTTTTGGATCACCAACGATGATTTAAAGCTTATTTATATGGATAAGGTCATATTGTCTCGCATCTGTTGCAACGATACGTTTCATCGTCTAAAACAAAAGGATTTGTTGTAGACTCATACGAAGAAGCAAGTGGTTGTAATCCGTGAGAATGCGTGGAGATGAACTCGTTGGTATGGTTTCCCAGTGAGTTCCGGAAACGAATTCCTTACCCGTCTAAATTTATTCACAATTTACTTGTTTGCCTCAACAGCTCTGCCTTCCTAGACATAATTGATACAAAAGCGTTTTTAGTCAACCAGTCGGCGCTATCACAGAATTCTGTGGCGCTATATCAATTAAATTCTCGTTATTCTGCATCATCGTCCCCCTGTAGCCTTGACAGTGCTGGACAGGCATTTTTGCTGCAGGTATCGCAATCACGCCGCTGTAGCTACAGTTAAAACATAAACTTGGATATAATATACAGACAAATTTAAGCTTAGAAAAGAATTACTTGTGCATTGCATGAAAACCATTTTGGAACTGCCGAACTTTTGGCTTTTGTCACATGCCATTAATAGTGAAAGCCTCTTTGAAATTTCAAATGCCTCAGAGGTCCTTTCCGAGCATTAAACAGTCGATGAGTAAAAGCAAAGCTTCAAGGCTTGATTTCGTGACGATCTACATCCTGTAATTTCAAAATGGGCGTGTGATGAACAATTTTTTTTTGTATTTGCAACAATCTTGTTGGAAAGTGACTTTTCCAACTTGAACCAAACTTATAAATTTTCTGGTGTTTCATTAGGTTTCTATGTCATTGGGTTTTAGAATCTGTTACAGAGAATTCGATGAATATGTTCAGAGAATTCGGTTGCGTCTCGATGCACAACATATTGGTTAGAGAAAGGCAACCAAGATGAAACCGCAACTTAGATAAATAAAAGCGATATCACTAATTGTGCAATAAAAACATCTGATATAAGTCTTGTTTATTTTAATTGGTCACATATGTTCATAAAGAAAACTCAAAAAGTTTTAGGGTTTTCAAAATGCTTGTTATGGGGTGCAACGAAACACCAGTTGGCCTAGGAGATCAATCAATTTGACGCAAGATCCAATTGTAACATGGTTGGTATCTTCAGCTCTCAAAAGCGGGCAAACCACTGAAAATGCTATTGTGAAAGTTCTTGCCACATTATTCTAGTGCGGTAAATCGTTACATAAAAAAATGAATTGGGATGGAAAAACTGAGATGTCAGTGATTCATTTAACATGATAAGAATGTTTTTGCTGACACGAGTAGGGTACATTCGCGAAAAAGAATATTGAAACTCCCCCTTTTTGCATATACCTAATGATCCTCTCGTTCTCGACAGTGGCGTAAAGAATATTTGAAAACTAAGACGGGGCGGATTGATACGTTGAAAAGTAATTTTGACTCATTAGCTGCACTCATTTTATAAGAGCCGGAATGATTTTGCCACGGCTCAATGTTCTTATTTTTGATAAACCAGACGCTTGGGTGTTTTGAATGTTGTTCTTATTTCAGCAATGATTTTCCTACATTCACATACTATAGATTTTTCAAGAACCACTAAGTTACAAACGTGAGTTGTATTTTTTGTAACATGGTTGCATCAATGTCAAAAACACATTGCATTTACTCAGGGACGTCGCGACCGGGGGGTGTGGGGGTGTCACATCCCCCTGTAAATTGGTTTCTAAATACGGCAGGTTCCGAGCTAAATGTTCGGCAAAACTTCAGAATGACACAACAAATAAACACAGATATAGTTTTCTCAAACGTATATCGTTGTACGACTTGTAACACTAAGCCTTTCACAAGAGCGAAGTGTACGTGCTCACAATGCTAGCTCTAACTCTTCACTAACTCAGGATTCGTAGAGAACGATATATATATGTTAAACTAGTTTCTTGTACAAATAAAATATGTAAATGTGCTAATCTTAGGTGTCTACATAAGAGGAAAAACGAGCTAAAAAAAAACAATAAGAAAGTGTCTAGATACGTATGTATAAGCTGAGTCAATCAGTAGTGTAGTTCTTAAAATAATACTATAATAGAGGGTGGGTTTCCTTAGTGAAAGTGTTCCTACTAGTATACGCAATGCAACAAAGAGTGCGATGCAAGTTGACGTAAAAGAGTATGCACAAACAAGTATGACTAACGCTGGGAGAGTGGATGAATGGGGCGAAGGAAATGCGCAAAAGAGGCAGGTAAGAGCGAGGCTTAGCGCTTGGAGTAGCGGTATTACACCCCCAATAGTATCTCAATAGGAAATTTCAGGTAAAATCCGCTCGGTGGAAGAAACGCTTTAGGTATTTCAGAGACCTTCATGTCATAAAATCAATAAAGGATCAAGCAGAGGTAGTTGCTCCCTTGGTTAAATATGATATTGCTTGATATGAATGAAGGTAAACAAACTAATGATTTGAAGATTTGAAGATTTCTTGTTGGCACTAAATCGAAATATCCAGGCCTTCTTTAGGTAAAATTGTGTCTTGTGTCCATTTCCCCTAAAGTTTCTCGGTAGAAGCGTCAACTGCAATTCACTATGCGCTCCAGATTTTTTTTACATTCAAAAGGCATGCTAAGATGGAAAGAGGGATCTAAATTGGCAACCAGTGCTGCTTGTTACCTAGCTTTAGAAGTAGCTGACAACATGGTATTTCTCAAGACCACGGCGAAATTGTACCAGTTGTTTTTATCTGCTGTTCAATTTGTTTGCAAAAAAATTATTTTCAATAGGATTAGGAGAATTGCTTTAGTAAAATGTGATTGAAAGAGTGTATTTTCCAGGGAACTAGAAGCATCAAAATTCGAAAATTTCCTGCTACTTCGGCGGCAACCATGGTGCCGCCTCGGGTAGTAACTATATCCTTTGCCCGTTCCGATATAGAGATTTGACAAAACTATTAGGAAAATTCCGTTATTACCAAATTAAAATGAAAGTTGTGAGTTATATACAGAGTTAGATTGACAAAATGCATTGCAGAGGTTTGTGACAGCAACTAAAGAATTTCAGGCAAACATTTTTTAATCAGGTAAATTTCTAGTCCACACCCCCCCCCCCCCAACAGGGCTTTCCTCGCGACGGCCCTGCATTTACTTCATTTCTTTCATCTCAGGCTGATCTTGCTCTTGTGTGTTGTTTTCATTTCATTAAACCTAGAGTCTTAGTCTTCTATTAAGCATGTTCTTATAATAAAGAAGGTCAATCGATAGCTTCCATAATGGTTCCACGATGGCTGTCGTGTCGAAAGTCCAGGAACAATCAACAAAGCTTTCGAATTGTTTAACGCATTTTTCAGAAGGACTCGCAAAGTTTTCTTGACTTTTCTCTTGGAAACCATCTTTCGTGGCCTAAACAAACATGTGATGACAGCAATGATTGGCTGCCAATCAACAAGAAGCTCTCGATTTTCATAGCTAACACGCCAAAATTTTCAATTATTCACATTTCTTTTATGAGAATGACTAAATGCTTTTAGCAGCAGCAAATATAAATTTTCGTATCAATTACCTCGAAAGAAATTAAAGCTAGGCTGAAACCATAGCAAACCTTGCCAAAAATGAGACCTTGCTAGATTGACTGCAGAAATTAATTAATATTTTATAATAAAAAAAGCAACAGTTAATACACTTTCGACAGGGATTTAATTTTGGATGCAGAAAAGTTGTTATGTCTGGCGCGAATAAGAAAAATATTCTGTATCAAACCTTCTATGGATGCTTCATAACATGGAAATGGTAAAATAAAATCGAGATTTGTTTTTCATTGTTGACAAAAGAAGTTGAACAGCCATGTATAAGTAAACTGCAAATCGCCATCTCAATTAAAATCAAGTCAGCCTTACTTTATTAGGATCTCTTGAATTAAAAAATGAATCAAGAACTTGATTTTGTTGATTCTAACAAGAGCAGGTCTTGATGAGTTCGAGTTAAGCTAAGTTGATGTTTGTTCAGACTTGATGGAAACAAATTCGAAGGTAGATGTGCGGAAAGCTGGAAACACAAGGAATGTTGTCCGAACACATTTGATGCTTTTCTGATGTGCTATTACATTGTCGGAAGCGGCAATTGGAGGACAAATTCAAGTTTGTCAAACAAACCATATAACAGTGGAATTAATGATTACATGTACGGCAATGTTTGAACAACCCTCTCTAGCAAGTGTTGAGTTCCCACACAAAACAATGGAAATGATGTGTATTCAAAGTCTTTAAATGTGAGCAGAATAGAATATTGATGGCCAGACTGGACACACTGTTCATCTCTATTAGCTTTTACCAGCGAAGGCAGCTGTTCTGTAACTGTTTTTTATAGCTAGAAATTACGTAGATTACTCGATAGCTGTTTTAAGAACAGCAAGCTTTCATATCGAAATCCTTTTGTTCAGGGAAATTAAATCTCATAACACGGTTTGATATCAAACAACATAATAATCCTATTTTTCCCTAAAGCCTGTGAGAAATAGTAAAATTACTGAAACAAAAAGAAAAGAAGCAAAAAAGACTGGTTGTCTGGGGATCAAATTTATCAATGTTCAACAAGATTGTGTTTTCATTCAAATTTTGATAAGATATGTATAAATGATATGTATCATTCGTGGTTGTTGAAAAGAAAAAATAAAAACTTGTGAAAGAAAATATTATGTGGGCAACATTATGCTGTATTCAGCAAACATTTAGATTTTAATTTACTCACATCTTCTATTCAAGGACAACTCCAAACAATGGAGAAGTTCATTTTGTCCACAATTTCAGTCATACTGTGACAGCCGGAAGCAACTTTTATTAACGGAAGCCCGAGCAAAAATACAGATCAATTCCACGTAAACACTACTACTATTTTCATTTAACCGACTATTTTTTTTAATCAAGATTCAATAATTCTGAAATGTGCTTTCTCTAAAATTGTTTTGCTCTCTGAAAGAAATGATCCAGGTATTTTGATTCTATTGCGAAAAATGTGCTTTGAAGTTTGGAAACATGTTTTTCAGCTGAAAAATTGATGAGAATTAAACAAAAATATTTTATTTCCAACAAGCGGAAAAGCGAAAAAAGCTTTGTTAGAATACTCTTAAGTTTTTCTTATTTGAGATAAACGTATAAAATTTTCATTTATCATCTTGGTAGCAATTTCATTCTATCAGAAGTTCAGAAATGAAAATTCTGAAAATTCATTCAATTTTCCGAAAGGGGGCTCCCCGACCCGGAAATACTTCCCTGTGGACGGTTTTCATCGGGCTCGTTAAACAGGGGTGCAAATATTCTTGATAATTTTTATGGATTACATTATACCAATTAAAAAATTA